ATTTTAATTTTTAATAAAAACTTAATGTATTGATTTTGAAAATATATTGTTATTGTACTGTTTTTATTTTTGTATTATAACTATAATAAAAATTAAACGACAAACTAGTGACTTATATTTTGATTTAGTATTCATTATGGTAAACATTTTTTTTTGTTATACAAAAATAACTTATCAATCATCATATGTTATTTTTATTTTATATATATAGACATGTATGTGTATAACAAAATACATGTACTTAAAAACTATGTGACATTTAACATTGGATGAGACAATTCATTTATCATTTATAGACTGAATGTAAAAGATTTGGTTATTTTTATATTTTTACTGATAATTTTATTTGTATTAAAAATAGTTAATACATGTTAGTCTATATGTAATATATACACGTATTAATTATAGATACAGTACTTATGTACTGTTTGTTTAAAATAATATTTATTAAATAATAATATAATTAAAATATTATATTATCAAATTTTATTGCATATATCTAATGTATATGTTAATTTTTTAATACTATATATCCATATATATTAGTTAATTTATTTGCAAATTTGTCCATTATTTAATATTTAATTAATATTAAAACATGAATTAATTTTTTATTGCATTTAATGTGTTATCTTAAAGTAAATAATCTTATGCATTATTCAATTAATATTTAATATTAAATAACTATTAAAACAATATCTTTTTAATTGTACCCATAGTAATTCAAATTCAAATTAGATTAATCCCAAAAAAATATTAAAATACAACTATAAAAAAAACTTAACTTTTATACAACAAAAAAAGACAATTTTTAGTTTATAAATATTACAATAAGAAAATTTCTTTGATTTTCATAGTTTTAAATTACAAACACTGATTAAAAAACAATATTATTTAGTAACTAAATTTTAGTTATAGTTTCAGTTAATTTAAATTATTATAGTCATTATATATTTAAAACACAATTTATATGTAATTGAAGACACATTATTTTATATAAACAGAAATTTCTTTTAAAATTTAGCTAAAAATTAATCTTTTATAACATTAATTAATTGTTGTCAATATACAGGTATTATTACAATACATAGTTTTATTTAATTAAAAACACATCTGCTGTTAATTATACTATTTTTAATTACTTTTTATCAAAAATATTATTATGTTGTCATTATTATCATTTTGATATGAAAACATAAAAAACAATTACTAACTGATAAACATATAGTTATTGAAATTTACATTAAAAAAATTATGAAAAATATTCACATAAACAATTAGTGTTACTTAATTAGGAATGTATATTAAAATTATGAATTGTATTTTGAGTAATCTTGAATATAAATTATTTTATTATACAAATCTACATAACTTGTAGTAGAATTTTTATAATTTTATAAATACTTATTTTTTTAAATTTAAATATATGTTATTTAAATAAAAATATATATATAGTAATTTGCAAAATTTAATATTTGAAATGGTGAATTTAAAATTATGGTTTACACAATCATCGTAATTACTCATCAAAAGCACTTAAAATAATATAAAATAACATTATTTGCAATTTGTTCAAAAATTTTATATTTTGTCTATATTTTAAATGATGTTTTGTTAAATTATATCATATTATAGTATTATTGTAAAATAATAAATAATTAGTATTGTAAACAAAAAAAAGTAGGTGATATAAAATTATATGATATGTACAATAAATAAAATATCTAGAATACAGCTATAGTTATCTTTATACTGTACTAACTACTATACTATCAAATATTTGCATATATTTTTTTAAATCAAATATTTTATCCAAATTGTATTAATTGTATCCAAATGTGTAATATGATAGTAAATCTATTATTTTTAATATATTATTTATTTTATAACTCCTTTAAAACATTTTTATTTATACTACTTATAAAATAATATATTAATTTATATTGATGATTAATTTAGTGCTTTATAACTAGTGATGAATTTATAATTTTAGTAAAAATAAATAATACTTTATAATTTATAGAATAATCATTTTATTTTAAAAATTATTTTCAAATAGTGAAAATCTATTAAACAGTATTTTATTAATAAATTTAAGAATCAAATTTAATGAATGTTTTTAATTTCTATTTTTACTTAAAATCAAGTTTTAAAGTGCATTACTGTTTTTTCCACTCTATATATTTACTGTATATTTGGTATAATATTTATACACTTAAATACATTATATTTATTGTACGGTATATTATTATACAGTGGTATTAAACAATATATATATATATATACAGTAATTCTGTGTCTATGAAAAAATCTTTGCGCAAACATACAGTACTGTATATCTACAGTATATAATACTATAATGTATTTTAGTTTCGAGACATAACGTCATACAGAATCCAAGTGCCAGAATCTACTCATCCTTTTAACAAAACTGTTCTGTATTTCATATTTTTATTTTTAATGTTCATTCAGATCATACATAAGCCGCATAAATACTGCTCTCAAAGATTTTAAGTAATAAAATAAAATTATATTTATATATATTATAAATGTATAATTTAGTGCATTTGTAAATAAATTAATAACTTTTCAGAAAGATTGATAGTTTATTTTTTTAGTTGACAAATAATATTATATAAGTTATTATATTAACTGATAAAATAATTAATTAAAAAGTTAATTTTTCTATTGATTAATTTATTATACTAAAAATAATATAATTATTTTAAACTGTATAAAAAAATTTTAAATGTAAGTATTAATTTCTTTTGAATAATTTTATTTTTTATTCTACTTAATATTAATATAAATAGTTATAAACTATCTTAATTTTTATAAATTTAAATATTAGTTTTTTTATTTTATAAAATAGCTTACAAAATATTTTTATATTAATATGATAGCAAACAATAAATTATAAATTTAACTGTTGATTTTATATAATATATTATTCAATATATTTTGAATATATAATTTTAGTATATATTTTAAGTAATAGCACCATGGTAACATAAAAAGAATATTTTGTGATATTTTTCATTATTACTTTATTTTTTGAAAAGATTAATAAGTTTATAAGAAAAATGTATTATAATATGATATAAAAAATAATAATTTGATAAAATTTTTAAATTAAATATTTTTTTCTATAAAAAATTATCAAGAATTTAATCTTTTATTATTTTTACAACATTTTCTATGCTTAAAATGACATTATTACAGTATAATAAATCTACAGGTGCATTTAATATCATGTAGTTTATTGTAAATATACTGTAAGTTAATAAAGTATAACATATTTAGATAATATTATTTCTCAACTTATAGTATACTTAAGATTTAATGGACTGCAAAAAAATGTTGTGTACTATAGATATCTACACCAATAAAGTGCATTATATTTACTTATTTTTATTTCATTTCATTAATTATTATAAGTATTAAAATGCATTCAATTTTTATAAACATGTAGTAGTATTGAATAGTATTGTCTTCTGGGAAGTCATACAAAATCTCAATTATCTATTAACTATATCTTTCAGTTTCTAAATATTTTTTTTGATTAAGTTTGTATTGACACAGATATTTATAGTACAATTAAGTAGAAAACAAAATTGTTTTCAATATATAGTACAGTATATACATTATTTCGAGAGTCAGATATATATATATATATATCATTGTATTGAATGACAAAATTAGTTTTACAGACAATAAGAGTTTTTAAATAAAATAAACTCATTTACAGTTATATAGATTTAATGAAACGTTTACTAATGATATATTTGATTAAATTACAAAAAATACCAATAATTATTAATTGAATGGACAAATGTGAAATTTGAGTATAAAATAATATAAATAAACTGATATAAACTTATGCATAAATATAATGCATTAATAATGTATAACATATCTCTTTAAATTTAAAAAAAAAAATTATATTTGATACAATTTAATTTAAATATATTGATAAATATAAGATTTATTGTATTTATTTATAATTCTTAAAACATTTTTATTTTTTTGAAAATTGTATTATAAAAAAACAAATCAAATCATAAATCACGAGATAATGTTTAGACAAATAAAAAAATTGCAATATATTGTCACATAATATAATGATTTATACGAGACTATAAAAATGTTGTAAATAAGACCATTGCTTAAAATTTAAATAAAAACTAAAAATTTAAACTTTATTTTGTCTGATAAAAAAATTTACAAATGTTTTTCATTCAAATTTTAATTATTCTTTTTAAATAAAATTTTTAACATAACATTAAAGGGCTTTAAATGTTATGTTTATGTATTAAAACAAAAGTCCTTGTATTTTGTATAATAGAAAGAATATAAAGTATATTCAGTTTATATATATATATATATATATCTTAGTTTTAGATCAAACAATTTTTGAGTAAATTTCATAGTTTTATGTTAATTATAATATATTTTGTTAGTTTTATCTTTCGTAAACTCCACTAAAAGCATTTATTTAAAGGTTTCGTGAATAGCAATAAAAAAATATATATTTAACATGAAACCACAAAATTGGTATATCTTTAAGTGAATATTTAACTATTATTTTACAAAATTATATATTATTATTTCAAATTGCATTAACTAATCATATCGTTTTATATTTAATATATAATATTAATAAATAATACTATTTTTAAAGATACTATTTATAAACTCTATATTATAAATTAACTGAATTGTTTCAAAACATAATTATATTAACTAAATTATTAATATGTATTTATATATATATTTATAGACGCAAATAGCATCAAATTTTTACATACATTAATAAATGATGGAAATATTATATGAGATTATATTTATATTAATTTGTCAATCAATAAAATTAATTATTGGAGAAAGCGTGTAAGATATTTTTTAAATGTATTTAATAAAATATAATAAACATATTATATGTTACATATTTTTAAAAATTAAATTCATATTTAATTTATAATAGATATGAGTCTAACTCAATGCTTGTCGATAGACTATTGCCTAGAAATTATGATCCATTATTACCGCCAAAACTTAATGGTAAAGTTTAATATAATTAATAATAAATTAGTTTAATTTTAATTTAATTTAATTATTTAAATTATTAGGAAATCCTGTTAATGTTGATGTTAAAATATCGATATTAAATATACGCTCAATAAAAGAGACTGAATTGGTTAGCATTGATATTATTATAATATAATAATAATAATAATATACAGTATATAACAAATGTGTTTTTTAGTGTATCTGTTCAGAAATTAATCCGATTATATACTGTATATTATAATAGTTTTTTTTCATATTATTTATAATATAAATTATATTTTATACAGTCATATATTGTAGACATATTTTATCACCAGTATTGGTCCGACTATAGGATTTTACCACAAAATCTAACACTTGACCAAAGGATAGTATTGGATAATAAATGGAGACATAAACTATGGATTCCCGACTCATATTTCAAGGTTAGTACTGGACTCGACTGGACTATCAGTTTGATTATTATAATGTATTTATTATTTAATACATTTATATATATATTGTGTAACAATCATTATTTATTATTTATAAGTTGATTTTATTGTATATAAGTCATGCACTGAAACACATTTATTTAAATATTTTATTGTGTGTCTGTCTTCACATTTATAAATATTTTCTTATTATATAATATATAATATTTATCTTAAAATCTCCAATAGTTTAAAATAAAAATATGACTTTTCTCGTTTATTGATTTATAAATATTATTTAGTTGATAATACAAGAACACAATATATTAATATTTATATAATTTTTTTATCAAGTTTTTTATAAATAGAATGGAAATTTATAATATATAATATTTTTTTAGAGTATCTATTTATTATTATTAAAATTTAAAATACTTATCAAATTTTTTTTTTTAAAAATATTATTATATCAATCAATTAGAATGCATTGAGTGGTCACGTAACTGATATAATATTTCCAACCCTTTATTTTGCTGTTCACAATCAAACGGAATTATTTATGGCATCAAGGTAATAGTAGTAGTCTAATATTACAAATTTTTTAAAATTATATATTTTTTAAAATTATATATATATAGTTTTCATTATTAAAATTTGTAAATATTCACTTTTTAAATTTTTTTTCCCTATTTATTTGATATATTTTATTTATAGAGTGTCTCTACAATTGAGTTGTGATATGGATTTTGTTAAGTTTCCTCACGACACACAAACATGTTATATAGATCTCATGTCATGTAAGTATAATCAGTGATTACAATATACATGTGTTTCTAATAAATTATGATTATATTAATTTAATTAGAAAATATAAAATAGATATTAATATTATTATCATTACTTTATAGAATTATTCTCTTAAATAATTTGAATTTTTGTAATATTATTTTACATAAAAATTAATTATTTTATATATTAATATCATATAATACTGTATATAAAAATTATACAATAATCAACAATCTAATAATATCTAACAATTTATATTATATTATTAATATTTAACTTATATAACATAATTTATGAAAATATTTAAATAAAGTATTATATTTTTATATAAAATTTCATTTTATTTGTCCCAATAGTATCACACAATACACAAACAGTGACCCTATCGTGGAAAGAGTTTTACATTACAAATAGCTTACATTTGTATGTATTCAATATTATTTTAAAAATAAATAAATATAATGCATAATACATTACATTAGATTATAGATTTATTATTATGATTATACTATAAAGATATTATATTAATGTTTATTTTAATATTTTATATAATATTTATAATTTTATAGTAAATATGATATACTTTAATATGCAAATCGAGTATTTATAAAATAATTTAATAAAAAATAATATAATGTAATACCAGAAGTAATGTATTTAAATTTTTAAAAAATAAAACAATATTTTATTAAAATGATAATTTATATCATTTTAAGATTTTGTATGAATTAGACACAAAGATATTTTATAAATATTTAAATTTTTATTATTATTATCATCAATTAATAATTTATTTCATGTTTATTATTGTTAAATTCAAATCATATTTAGTTAACATACAATTAGTTTATTTATTTAGATTTAATTTTTACAAATTTTATGCTAATTTTATTTTAATTTAGCATTTAAATAATATATTTTTAACATTTAAAAATGGATATTTTTATTATTTAGACAAAAGAGTTAAAGTAATAACAATATCTTTATAGAAAATGTAATATTAAATTAGTTAAAAAAAATAAAATTAGTTTATATTATAAACTTATTACTCATATTTAATTTATTTTTAAAAAATTAGGCCTCAATTTTGGCTCTCAGAGTATTCACACGAGACGTGTATGAAAAAGTATGCAATCGGTAATTATATGACAATTGATTTATTATATTAACATTAAAAAAAAATTTTAAATGCTTTAATAATAATTTTATTATTTATAACTCTTTAAATGTTTAAAATGTGATTTTTTGACGTTTAAAAAATAATACAGAGTAAATTGTATTATTATTTTTTTCTAGTTATTTTTTGCTTAAAATATAACTTACAATTTAAATTTGAACTATAAATATACAAATAAATTAAGAAAAGCAGTCAGAAAACGATGATTTAAAGGCATTCAAATAAATATTTGTTATTAAAATATTTTATATATTTTTACCGACATTTACATGTGTTTAGAGTTTTAAAACAAATTCAATGCTATTTACAGTATAATTACCATATAATATATGTCGCTGTAATTTATTTTTAAAATTATATATATATGACTTTAGTTAATGTAAATTTTTAGTAAAAATTATGTTTTAAGTTTGTAAATTGTAGTTTAGATTAATTAGCAAAATTTTTTAATTTTAATGAATCTTTTAAACAATTTAATTATGATACTAACATTATAAATTTGTTGTTTACTCATAAGTTTATGTAATTAAACTAAATCAAATAAAAATCATTTTAATTAACTATATGCAAACTAATTAGTAACATAAAATATTTTATCAAATTTTCAACTTATTTATTTAAAAAACTTAAATAAATTCTACATAAATAATTTACAATTTGTTTTTTATTTCTATTTTATTTCTATATTTAATTTTATTTACACTATTTGTTTAATAAGAGATAAATTTATATTAATTATATTTTGTATGTCATGTTTTGTCACTTTATTTTTTATTTTATTTTTTATTAAAACCAACTGAATTAGGAAACTTTTCGTGCCTCAGGGCAACCATCAAATTGAAACGACAGTTGGGTCTATATATTGTCAAGAAGTACATCCCGAGCACATTGATTGTTGTCATGTCGTTTGTCGGCTTCTGGATTCCGGTAACGGCATATCCAGCCAGAGTGGCACTGGTAATCATATACTATACTATTTGTATTTATTTTTTATTTTAAACAACATATTTTTTAATTAATTTTCTAATAATATTGTTTTTATATATAATATTTATTAATTAATGCATATATAATAATAATAATAATAATAATAATAATAATAATAATAATAATACAATGTCTTTTTTTAGTTAGTTAGCTAATTATTTAGCAATTATTTTATTGATTAAATATACTGTAGATGTATAGCATCAACAACAATAAAAACAAAAACATTGTCAATATATAATTAATTTTATGTACAGGTATTAGTCTATTGTAGTATAAATAATAAATTAAATAGGGCTCTCAGTAGTATATTTGCACTAGATTAATTTTTAATTATATGCTCACAATCCAATTATAGTACACTAAATAAAGTTTACTCTCTCTCTCTCTCTCTCTCTCTCTCTCTCTCTCTCTCTTTCTCTCTCTCTTTCTCTTTCTCTCTCTCTTAAATCCTAGCCATCCATGCAATTAAAATATATGTTTTATTTTATATATCATAAAAATACACATTCAATCATTGAAAACTATGTTTTTTTTTATTTTTTAATCCTTAATTTGTTTTTATTTTAGGTAATAACAGCACTGTTAGCACTGATAACACAACAACACCAGAGCAGCGAAGTTAATGTCTCGTATGTGATAGCGTTGAACGTATGGATGATTATATGCATCGCTTTCGTCTTCTTCGCGCTCATAGAGTACGCCATTGCCATCGCTTATCAGGAAAGTCAGATCCAGAAGTCAAGAGACTCGTCCAGACTCTACCAAAAAGGCTTACATTTAAGCCATGTATGTAATCTAATCGTAAAAAATCATTTTTGTCATCAATTATTAATGATTTTTTGGTACAATTTTTATTTTATTTTATTTTTTTCTGCAAAAACAGTATCTAAACAGTTTCGATACGATAACAAACTTTGATAACAATGAGAAAAACAATAGCACAACAACTACTACCGGTGCCAACAATGATGATAATCAACATTCATTGAGTACGGCTAAACTCAGATGGATTCAACATTTTATTAACAACTCATCTCCAGCACAGTTACTGTTTGCCAATAATATGTATGACTATCCTGAGGTCAGCACTCATATTGCTATCAATTCAGTGGATAAAATATCGAGATATTTGTTTCCCATTGCATTCATTGTGTGTGTATTTTTCTATATATTATTTTTATATATTTAAAATTTTATATTACATAAAAAAGACATCAAATTTACTGTAAATATTGAAAAATTATATTTTTATAATTTAATTTCAAATTAACATAGAGTACATCTAATACATTACTTGTTATAATTATATAATGAATGATAAAAAAATATTTACCATTTAATTAAAGTTGTAAATATTTTTAATTCATAATTAATTAATGATAATTAAATAGTGCCATTATTTTAATAAATACTTTTATTTAATTAATAATTTTTTGTTGAAAACTATTATCATAATTAAAAACACATTTAATAAAATATTAATATACTATACTTTAATTATATATTATATAAAAAAATTATAGCTAATAAAGCTAATAATTAAACTTTATATTTAGATAATTATGTTATTATTTTTATGTAACTAACTTTATTAAATTTTTTTTAAAATTAATTAAACAGCAAAATTGTGTTTATAAATATAGTTTAATAAATAAAAACTCACATTAAGACAAATACGTTACATATTTTATACAAATTGTCATATTATTTAATGATTTACACAATAAAATGATAATGTTGAATATCTAAATATTATTTAAATATCGAGTAAATAATTTTTATATAAAAAAACATATTTAATTAAAATTATTTTTTAAATGTTAAATAAAATTTTGTAAAATTTTAAGAACACAATCATTAAAATAAAACATGTCTTCAATGTATTAACTCTCTGGTATTCAATTGATCCGGAGGTCAATTGTCCTAAAATTTTAGGCGACATATCTTTTGTTTGACTACTGGTTAAACTGTTATCCTGATGTTGTTGTTGTTGTTGTTGATGATGATCTTCATCATCACCGGTACTATAATTGCTATTAACATTATCAGAGCTCAACCAGTTTTCACTAATGGATTGGTCATCGGATAGATCATTGGATCCTATATTTGCAACATTTGTGTCAATTGTTTCTTTGCCATTGTTGTTGTCATTTGAAAATGTTTGACTTTCGATAGTCTTTACAGTGGTTAGTGTGGTGGGCATAGTAGTCGGTGCAGTCCTCAGCAAATCAAACCAACACTGTTCAATGGGTGCGCCCTCCAGTTGGCAGGCATTATATTTCTCAAAGTATGACTGATGACTGTGGAACAGCTGATCGGCTATTATTGCGGCCTCCGGTCCACACTTTTGCCGGATATCCATTTGACTACAGTAGCGAAACTTTGTCCACAAACTATTGATTAAGTTTTTTTTAAAATAAAAGTCATTAGAATTTTTAGAAAATTTTTTTTTGAAAAGTTTATGTCATATAATACTGTATTAACTTATGTCTGACAAATGCATTGAATATAATCTTATTTTTTTAATTATTTTAATTAGAGAGAAGAGTGAGTGAGTGAAAGTAAGATCATTGGGCTGTTAACACATAATTATATAAATGAAAGATATATTTATACAAAAAAATAAATCTATGAATATATGAGCCAAAAAAAATAGTTTTGTTTATCACATGCCTACAAGTCATGTTGATATTGTTTTTCCACTCCTTAATAGCCTTAATGGGCTTATCATAGTTGACATCACATTTCCAGTTCCGAGTGTTAAATATACCACTAATGCATTCCTCATGTCTTATGAAACCTATAAAGTAGAGGAAATAAATTGAGTGATGGATACCATATAAAAAATTAGTCATATCATAATTTGTTTTAATTTTAAAAAAATTATTTTTTTATATCTAATTATATCATTGTTTAGATTAGATTAATTTAAAGTATACATCCTAAGTGTATATTTTTTGAAAAGTTAAAAAATAAGTTTTAATTATATTATTAACATTATTATCATATATAATTATTGTTATATTGTAAACATTTTTTTATATAAATATTTTCTTTAAATTTTTACCCTAAAAACATCAGGAGATTAGGATTTCACATAAAATGATAGTATATGTTAAATATATACTGTATATAATGATTATGACAAACCTTGACTTAAATCTGATGTCGGGTTATGACAGAGTCGATGAAAGAAAGTCGGTTTCCAATTGAATCGATTGATCCGCATCTTAAGCTTACGGGTTTCGCAAACGTATTGTCGGAAATTGATGTCCGTAGCACAGGCACCGTCCGAGTCGGCCGTTTTGGTGATGCACTGGACAAACCCCGAGTATATACCATTTTGAGCACTTTATATACATATATAAATATTTCAAAGTTAGAAAATTATATATTATTTATATTAAATAAAGTAATAGAAAAAATAGATGTTTTACTCGCAAATATCACTTAATTGACTGTCTGTACTCTGGAACTGATGTTTTTTATGGGTTTCCAAATTTGAAGCAAATTTATCCAAACAATTGTGCACTTCTTCATTACATGTGCTAACAATAAATGGGATGAAAGCTATTTGGATATTAGAAATATATATATAAAATATAATTATTATTTTGTTTATAAGTTATATTTATAGTATAGTAAAACATATTTAGTAAATATTAACATATAAATACTTACATAATGTAAAAATAATTATAATTAGCTGAATATAAGTTAATTGAGCCATCATTTTGAAAACATTAAAATCCTTATTATTGACTGAATTTATATTTTTTGTCATCAAATATAAATAAATATTATTTCTGTAAAAAAATTAAAAAAATATTTTTTTATATATATAATATATAAACTTTGTACTCAATACAGATGTAATCAAAAAGTATAAATTACAAAATATTTGTTAACAAAGAAAACTTATTATAAAAATTATAATATTTTTTGTATGATTGAGGTTAGAGTCAGTCAATAAAAAAACATGTAGTATTTATTTATTAATACATACTTTTGATATAATTAATAAAAATGTGAAAAATAATATATGTTTATTAGATTAGTGGCAGTGATAGAGAAAAAATAAGGAGCTGTTATACTATTATCCAAATGCTATATTGAATAAGTATTATATATATTATTATTATTTTGATATTATTTATGACATCCTGTGCTAATGATAGTGATTCCCGATTAAAAAATAAACAGGAATTTAATATACATTCCGATTTATATATTTATAATTAATATTATTTACTGTACAATATGTTTATAAGTTTACAGTCAATAATATAAGTATTGCGTATTTGTAACTTCATAGCAAACAATTTGCAACATTATATTTATTTAAAAAAATATAATATATCTAATAACTCTTTACGTGATGTGTGATGATGTTTGAGAAATATCATAAAAATGTAGTGGTTTTTTGATATCCTTTTTTATAATTATATATATATATAGTATATGTACAGTATTTTAGTAATATATTGTTGATTAATATCATTAGAAAAACAATATTACATCACAAAAACTTAGTGGAAATGATAAATATATCAAATAAACCTTTCAATTTTTATTTTTGTAAGTTATATATATATTTATATATATTATACATATTATCAATTTAAACGATCAATTTATTTATTTGTCGGAAAGTTTTTAATATACAGCGAAAATCTAAATCCATTTTTCTTTTGAAGCCATCAGTTGAATACATTTCAACACATGTTCTGGGAATAAGTCGCCTCTTATATAGTACTAAAGCTTATGGAAAGATTGTGAGGAAAGTTAGTGTTTCAGCGCCGGCCGATTGTAGCAATTAGTCAAAAAACCAGAGCTCTCTCTCTCTCTCTCTCTCTCTCTCTCTCTCTCTCTCTCTCTCTCTCTCTCTCTATTCTCTCTTTTATATATATATTAGAAGTTAGTTAAATGCATATAAACTTTGAAGAAACTCTACAGTAATTTAATCTGATTTCCGGTCCTATTATAAGTCCCGCACTAACAAAAAAATAGTCATAAATAACGGACACATTTTGTTTAACGTAATATAAAGAGATCTATTGTTATCCACAGTTTGTTTTATATTTTGTAAACTTATAATATATATAACTTATATTAATTTAAGACATGATGTCTAACAAGATAATTATTATGGATGAACACATATAATAAATTGTATAATGAAATACGATTTTTTAAAATATATTATAAAATATTATTTTATTATAAAATAGTAAATATTTGAAATAAAATTACAAAATTATTTTTTTGGCAAAATATTTATTAATGTAAATAACGTAAATAATTATCTAAATTTAGATAAGTTTTTAAAAATTAATAATTTTAAAAGCAATAAATAAAAACGTCAAAACTTTTAAATACTCATATCTGACAATAATGTAGTAACTGTTATGTATAGATATGTTTGTATGGATTGTGGAAATATGTCTGAATGGGAAAAAAGGGATAAAAATTGATGAAAATAATTGCTGTCTTTTTTTGCTTTTTTTTGTTTATCTTTTCAACTAATTTTATAACAAACACATCTCTCTATATTTGAATACTGTATTTGAAGATATTATTATTATTATTATTAGGAAAAACATTGGCTTTTACTCAGTTTTATGAATTCAAACTTACTGTACATTTATACAAACAAATTTAATTTCCTAAAATAAACAAAATTTATTATTTTTGGTGATAAATGTTTTGGTAAATTTATAATAAAATATTTTTCCAATAAATTGAGGAAATTAAGATATTTATGAATATTAGGCGTCATATAAATAAAGTTTAATAAAGTATAATTTATATAAATTAATAATAAATTAACATATTAAATGATATGTATGTAAAAAATTCAAACATTTAAATTTAGTTTAGTTTTTAAAATTTATAAAAATATAAATATATATATTTATATATAAAATTATAAATAAAAAATATTAATAAGATTTTTTAAATATATTATTATTTGTTGACAAATAATAAATACTAAATAAATAATAATTAATTATAAAAACCTGAAAAAATCAAAAGTGATGTATCATTTGTTAGGTGTTGTCATCCACTCATAGAAAAATTAGTTCACAAATCTCTTTGGGAAACAACATGTAATACAAGCGCCAGAATATAATATTCACACCGAGAATATCGTATAATATTTATATAAATTATTAGTGCATACAATACACAACTGATTTTTTCACTTAACTATTAGATTATAAGTTAATATACAGTATATACTTATATATTATATGAATGCGTAATGTCTATTAAGGGGTCTCTCTCTATCTTTCTCTCTCACTCTCCCACTGAATCATTTGTGTGCACAAACTCTATTAGGGCAGTGCTCTCCAAAAGTCTATTAGATTTTTCACTAGTAGTGTGTAGTAGACTATACAACACACGGTTTGTCGTTTACATACAGATAGATATTATGAACACTCTCTTCAAACCAAAAATCCAAGAATAAGAGAGAGAGAAAAAAAATTTCTTCAAAAAGCCGTTTTGACGATACAAATGGTAAATAAAAGACAGACCCATCAGTTTATCCGATGGTAACTAAGCAAAGCAGGCACAGAGCACAGGCAGATGAGACCTAATGGTATCAACACATGTGTGTGTGTGTGTGTAATGGCTATACAATAAATGTGTGGTTATGTGTTAGGTGCACGTGTATGCGTATGTTAGGTTATATGTGTATTGTAGGCATATGTGTAATGGGTCAGGGTCAGTGTTTGGCCACTTGACACTCCGACACTAGTAGCAGCTTAACTAACTTAACTGACTATAAATAGTGTTTTATGATCCATGATAAACTTTTTATAAAAAGTATCATGTTAACATTTTTTTGTCGTTGTAAAACTGTTTTTATTATATAATTTAGCTGTAATGAAGTTATTTTGAAAATTTCAATTTTTTCCCATTTAATAAATTATATTATTGTTTTCATAAACAATAATATACTGTATCTCACGGGAGGTCTTGAATAAACCTCCCGAAAAAAATTGTTTGTCTCAAACAAAAAAAATTGTTTTTAAAAGTTATATTACATAAACAATACCCATTACAACTAAATATTTTATGTGCAAATATAGTACCAGTAGTTTGTCATCCCCATCCCATTGCATGACACTACAGAGTTTTTTTTGTACAGTATGTATGCCCTGTCTTACTAGCCATTGATAGATGGCATACACATAGACTGACCACCCAATTTATTAGTAAACCTGTATAATAGTATAAAATTATTATTTTCACCTGTATTTTCCTGTATATTAAATATTATATTCCTGTATGTTAACCTGTACTTAAATAACAATATATTGGTATATATTTATAATTTTAATTAATAAATTTAATTTAGATGCTATAATTATATAAAAAGTTGAAATTATTTTATATTGAACATGAACTATTTTAGAAATATTTATAAATTTTTTATATTTAAAAAAAATATTTCAAATATTTAAACTGTATATTAAAAATACAAGCAATTTTTTACTAACAAAACTTGATTCATAGTTATTTTATACTTTTATTAATCAATTAGTTTAACATATTTTAAAACTGTATATTTTATTATACAGGTTAGCCCTTTCCTGTCACCTGTATTAGACCCTTGATTCCTGTATAATACAGGCGTCACCTGTATGGGTGGTCAGTCTACATACACATGGCTTTATATCACTTATATACTTGTAATTTAAAAATCTAACTTTCCTTTTACAACAAAACACATACACAAACACTCTTTACTTTCTGTCAGTAAATCATATGAACAGCTAATCAATCGATTTATTTGTATTTTTCTTTCGGCTATCATTTCTGACAGCACATAGAGATATACAAATTGAATGGTGGAAAGGGCTGATACTGTGATACCAACCAACAAAAAAACGATTTTTAAAGCGATATTTTTTCAGCAATTTATTTATTAAAGAAAAACAGACGCAAAAATACATGTCAAACCAAAAATGGTGAAATAAATATGAATAATACATATTAGTAATAATAATAATACTGTAATATTGCATATTATAATATTAATTTTTATATATATAAGCAAAATATATAGATATTCTCACATTTATGTTTTGTACACAAAAAATATATATCTCATATTTCATATATGTCACTACATATTGTATATGTGTGGTAAACATGTAGGATATATATATGTCATATATCTAAATCTAAATATATATATATATATACTGTATATACACATAAAAAATTATTTATTATAAGTATTTAGTCATGTATTATGACTGTCCTGTTTGTCTCCCCAAACGACACTATACTTTCACTGCCACACTCTATCTATCATTGCTTCTCTCAATTCCCTATCAATTCCCTATCCCTATCAGTACCCGCTTATGTATTTTTGCACAAACCATTGCCACCCCTATTGCCTCAATATTTCACATCTCATCTCATAACTGGTGGTAATAAGTGTTGTTAAGAGTACTTAAATATATATTTTTTACGGCGTCGGCAGTCATATAGTGAGAAAAAATTTATAACTTTTTTTTCACTGAAAGACACCAAATAATACCGCAAGAGGAGAGAGAGAGAGAGAGAGAGAGAGAGAGAGAGAGTCCCCCAATAATAAAAAACAATCATTAAAAGTGTCCATAAAAGTCATAAAAATATATTTATTTTTGATTTAATCAACACTTGTTTGATAAAAATCTTGTGTTTATGAAACAATCTATGTTTTGGTCAGCCATTCAAAGATAACTGTGCGCCCGACGACAGTATGAGTCACAAAAAATTAATTGTATTTCTAATTTTGATAAATTATTTTCAAATCAAAGTATTCGCTTATATCGATTTTAATGGTGTTCCCCATAATGTGGACACCAATCAAATATATGAGCAAAATGTAACTGCTAAAAGAGGATACAAAGTGACCTGGCTCAATTTTACTGATTTAAAATCCATCAATAATGATAATAATACTAATGCCAGTGTAAGTGACACCACTTATGGTGGACAGTTGTTAAGTGAAAAGTCAGCCAATATCAGTGGTCTGCATCTGGTCGTTGCAATGCCACCACAGCTGCGATACAGACAACAACAGCGACTTCCGACACGCGTTAGGATCGAAATGGTCAACAATAGCGCCTATATTATCATTAAAGAACCCAATGGTATTCATCGGGGGTTTTATAGTGCATACAAAGTCTATGATAATACAACTCATCAGTTGGTCACTGAACGCAGAGATTTTTTTATTAATATTCATGGTATTTGATTATATATATAATTTAAATATTATATAATATATTAAATATAATTTTATATATAAATATGTATAATTTAAATAATATTAATATTTAAATTTATAAATTATCTTTATATGTATCGTATATTAATGTACATACTTTATATACCAAATATACTGTATATTTAAATATTAATTTTAAAAAAATTATCTATATTTGATGATTAATAATTTAATAGTAGACTAAAAATAATTATAAATATAGTTTAAGTGAATAAATTAATAATTTATAAAACTTGTTGATAATTACCATGAATAGCCAAGGTCAGATATACTATATAAACAGATTATTATTATTATTATTACAATTTACTGGTAAACATTTACAATACATTTGATTTAGTAATGCATTGATGTGTTAGACAAACAGTTTATTGAAGTTTAAGTTTAAAAGGATAGTTTGGGCCTCAATTGAGATAAACAATTTAATGTTTGTTAACAATAACAGTATTAATTTATTAGTTTTATTAGTGACATATTTTTTAGTATTTTTTTCGAAAAAAATTATATAACTTAGACTATATATTATAAATGTAAATTATTGTTTAACTCAAAATTAAAAGTAAAATATTAATCACTACAGTCTAAAATATTTTTAATTTTAAAATTACTATTAATTTTTTTAATTTAGTTGTTGATTAAATAATAAATAATAAACTTAAATAATTAAAACTTAAGTAAAAAATAATTACTATGATATATTATTATACAGTATAATTTTACTAATAATAAAAAAACAAATTTTTATTAGCAATTTAATTAAAAAGCATCAAACGTTTTAGTACACTAAACTTATTATTTATATTATGTATTAAAAAATTATTATTGCTTTAGTCCAAATTCAATAGCTTTACAAATAGACTGACCACCCAATTTATTAGTAAACCTGTATAATAGTATAAAATTATTATTTTCACCTGTATTTTCCTGTATATTAAATATTATATTCCTATATGTTAACCTTTACTTAAATAATTATATATTCGTATATATTTATAATACTATATAATAAATTTAATTTAGATACTATAATTATATAAAAAGTTGAAATTATTTTATATTGAACATGAACAATTTTACAAATATTTATAAATTTTTTATATTTAAAAAAAATATTTGAAATATTTAAACTGTATATTAAAAATACAAGCAATTTTTTACTAACAAAACTTAATTCATAGTTATTTTATACTTTTAATAATCAATTAGTTTTACATATTTTAAAACTGTATATTTTATTATACAGGTTAGCCCTTTCCTGTCACCTGTATTAGACCCTTGATTCCTGTATAATACAGGCGGCACCTGTATGGGTGGTCAGTCTATTTACAAATATAGTGATGTTTGTACAGAAAAAAAAGTACTTAACAACAACAACAAAAAAGTATTATAAATTGTATTGACATTTAAGATTATATACAGTATATGCTAACTAATTGTTGTTGGCCTACAATAAACCGCAAAACTTAATTTATTATATAATATTATACAAATTATTTTATGCATTTATTACTACAATATATATATATATAATATATGATATGTTTTAAACTATAGGTTTGAATGAAAGTAACCAACATTGTAATGAAGACGCCGATTGTTTCAGTAATTTTTGTTTAAATAATCAATGCCTTTGTAGCGATGATAAGCCCGTCCTCGATGACCATAAATGTATTGCCGGTAATTATATTGTTAACAATAAATCAAATTAAAAACTTACATATCTTTCTCTTTCTCTCTCTCTCTCTCTCTCTCTCTCTCTCTCTCTCTCTCTCTCTCTCTCTCTCTCTCTCTCTCTCTCTCTCTCTCTCTCTCTCTCTCTCTCTCTCTCTCTCTCTCTCTCTCTCTCTCTCTCTCAATCTAATTGACTGTAAAATAGCAATTATATTATAATTTAATATTTTATAAATTGAAAACTAACACTTTTTTCCTTAACACCATTACAATGATAGCCCAACCAATAGTCAGTAAATGTTTGCATTCAAGTCAGTGTCAATTTATCGCCGGACCTAATGCTGAGTGCAGTTATAAAAGAAAGTGCCGGTGCGCTAATAATGGTCGTACCATTCATATACCCAAATATGGTTTATATTGTATTACACCAAGTATGTGATTATTTTATCAATAATTTTTATTCATACAAACAAACAAACAAAATTACATTTAAATTAATTGATTATTTTTAGGAAAGTCATATAATATTTTTACTATTGATTCAATTATTTTTTTCTAAGAAAAATAGAGTTGATACAAATTTTTACTATTAAAAAATATTAAATGATAATTATATATTAAATTACATTATAAGAAAAAATAATAATTTGAAAAATTAATGAATATGTATTTTATCATAATTATCATAAAACACATTTTTCTTAGTAATAAGTTTGTCTAAAATTTAAATTATTAATAATATTTAAGTAATTTATGTGTTTTATATATTAGATTTTATATAAACATTTCAAATAAATATAAACAAATATATATCTATTAATAAACAAATATATAAACAACATATATCATAACAATAATATTCATCTAATGTTATATTTGAAAATGGGTTATTAATTGATTATATTGATATTGCCTTAAATAAACAATTTAATTTTGTCAAAAAGTTTTTTTTAAATATATAAAACTAATTAATTGTATAATTGATATAATAATAATTATTTATAAAATTTTAAAAATAATATTTAATTTATTTTTATTTATTTTTTATAGAAGGTTATAACGATAGCTGTATTTTCTCAGAGGAGTGTCTAATGATTGGCAGCAATCGGTACTGCAATGAGATGTTTAGGTGTCAGTGCCGTCATAACTACTACCACCAGACGGGAACTGGATGTGTCAGAGCACTGGCAGTTGTCAGCTCTGGTCCAACAACGATGTCCACTATCATCAATGTCTGGTGTTTTTTAGTAATAATATTTTTGGCAACATTTGCGACAAATTTTAATTTATGACAAAATATAAATATATATTTATATTTTAAATATTTTTTTCTGTTTTTTTTTCGGGATGTTTGTCGCAAAAATAAATATGTTATTTACAACAAAAATACATATTTTGTTTACACTAAAAAATTTAAAAGCATATCTTATATATATAATTATATCTAAATAGTCTTGTTGATTTTTTGAATAAATTTAACTATTATTATTTTTAAAAACTATTGTTGAATTATAATAAATATTTGAATATTTTATTTATACATAAATTGATATTTATCATTTAATAAGTTGTACAAAAATATATATAAAATTATAAATTTTATTAAATTTAAATTAGATAACAATTAATACAAAATATACAGTAAATAATATCAGTAAAAAAACACGTTTAATATTAATCATCAATAAAACCATGTTCTCAAACATTAATTTAATAAAAAAAATAATTACAAAGTAATAATAACACTTTGATGTTTGCCGACTTGTATTTATAAATAAATTTATTAATTGGTTAGATAAGTGATTATATATATATATATAAATACACTTAATGTTGTAACGATTATTTTAACGATATTAATAAAAAAAAGTTCATTAGTTTTTCAATATCATCAAAAATAAATTTAAAAAACATAACCATAGATGATATTAAAATGCGCTAAAAAACACATTCATACAAAAATAACTAAAAAATTAATATTATGTTAAATATCAAAAAATAAAAAAAATAAGAAAATACTTATACTTATAAAAAAAACTTATAAGACATTGCAGACACCTTTTTGTTGGCCAGGTTTCGGAAATTTACGGACACTTTCGGTAGACGCGACAGCCATTTCAAACAATGGCAGTATTCCCTCGTTATTACGTGAACTGCACTCACAGTAACCGTAAGCACCGATATCTTGTGCCGCACGACACCCGTCACCAAATGATACCGGAGTTTGTTTTTGACGTTCCAGACTATCGACAGTTTCTTTATCGCTTCGGAGATCACTTTTAGTGCCGACCAAAATCATCGGCACTCCTGCACAGTGATGGGTAACTTCGGGCATCCATTTCTCGTAGATATTGGCCAATGAATCGGGCGATACTACACTGAAACACAGTAGCAGTACATCGCTGTCCGGATAGGACAGTGGCCGCAATCGGTCGAAGTCCTCCTGACCAGCCGTATCCCATAACTCCAGTGCCACCTGTTATCGAAAATTTATAATATTATGTACCGGTATTATATAATTAGTATCAGTATTATTATTTATTATTATAAATTAAAAATATTTAATAAAATTTATAAGTATATTTAATACCTGTTTATTTTTGTAATAAAAATTAACTACCGATGCCTCAAATACAGTGGGTATATATTCAGTAGGAAAGTGGTCTTTACTGAACACAAGCAATAGACATGTTTTGCCAACTTCTCCATCACCTGAATAATAGTTTTTTTGAAAAATAATTTATTATTTTTTTTTTTAATAATAAAACATTTTTATTAATATAAATTTATTAAATTAAAAAAAGCAAACCAATAATCACTAATTTCTTGCGAGTTATTTGTTTGAAAAACATTTTAATTTACTGTATTTAAGTTTTTATAAATGATATAGTATTACATCAATATTTTAAATAATTGAATTTATATTATTATTTTATTTTATTATTATATATAGTAAATATATAACAAATTAAATTGACTTGAAATATACAAACACTAAATTGATTTACTTTGAAAATAATATTCAGACACAATATCATAAATATTTACTAAATTTTTCTCATAACTCATAAATTGTTAAACAAATATGCGTTAATTGTGTCTCTAAGTAATAATATCAATGAATATAATAATACCTTTTTAGACATTTTTATAACACATATTTACGGATAACAATAGTTTTTAGATATCACAATAATATTTATAATTTGGTTTACTGACATTGATTTAATTAAATTTTATAAAAAAACAAATTGATTAACACTGTATAGCATATAAATTAATATAATAAAAATTATAGTCATAAAACAAATTAGGTATAAATAATGAAAGTATAATATTCAATACTCACATTAAACAATTTTTTTTAATATTCAATGCTAATACTAAATATTTAATAATAATAAATTTATTCTAATACATACTAAATAAAGTAATAAAAGTTTAAATTTTTACTAAATTATCTTTTAAATTATTTGTTATTTATTTGAAAATTAGTAATAGAATTTATAAATTTTATTTAAATTTAAAATTAAATTGTAATTTTGTAAACTATTAATAAAAAATTTTTTTATCCAATTTAACATATTTATATTGAAATGCCAATTAATGTTAATAAAATGTTAATTACAAAATAAAATTATTATTCACGGAAATAAAATAAAAATTCATATTATTATCATTATTTACTGTTAACATATTTATTTATATTTTTATACAAATCATATAAGTTTAAGATATCATAATTTTATGGACAAATCAATAGATAAGAGATGAACAAAATTCAACAATTATTTACATTAGATATATTTTCAAAAAATAAATTTAATTTTAATATATATGACACTAAAGTTTTTGAATTATATTTTTTTAAATCTTATAATTATAAATTCTAGTTAGATATAAATAATTTATTTTTAACTAAAATAAAAATACAATACTAAGTATAATGAATTATAACTATAATGTCACTACTTTTAAATATCAATCATTATGTAAACCATATAATAGTATTCATCTGAGATATATTTGGTTGGATGGCAACGGTATAAATATATTAATTAATTAAATAATTATGAATAATAATAAAGTTTTCTAAATAAATACAATTAATTGAACGTTTAGGCCGTGATTTGAGGACCAAAACAATTCGGGTAACAATTGAACCCAAGACACTACAGGAGGTGCCCTATTGTGCATATTGTGGTCAAACATGCGGTAATTTTTTAAGTTTTATTTTTTTTAAATGTATATTAAAAATAAAAATCATTTTATAGGACACATGAAATTGACAGCTAATTCTGACTGTTGGCTAAAACCAGTGCTTTTATGTAGCGATCCTTTTAGAGGCGACAATAATAAACTGATATTTTGTGCGCCAATTAAATATCAAATTGAAGGTAATTTTTTTTAATGTATAAATAATTGTCTTAAACATAATTAATAATTAAATATGTTTTTTTAAATGACAGCTTCAATAAACCGTCATTCGTGCGATAAAATTGTCAATCAATTAAGTGAATCACAACAAAGTGTGTCTCAATTTATCGTAAAACAGGTTAAAAATGTTTTTTTTTTCTAAACAGTAATTACTTTAAGTGATGCAATTTATTGAATACATTGTTTTTGTTTGTTTGGTATTGTAGCCTTATTTTCTGGTCGATAAATTAACCAAACGTGCCATTGGATGGCCATTTGACACGTTTGATGAGCTAAATGTCAGTGCAAACTATGCGGTAGGAGCTAACCGTGCCGTCGGTCGGGACATTGATGAAGCATTTTATAGGTAAATACTGTTTATTTATTGTTGATATAATTAAATGTTTAATTTTATGCTTTTTACTCTCAGAGCCAGTCTTTATGCTGGACTACCCATAAGTGCTTCAAATGTGGAGGACTTGCCGTCGATGTGGAGTTTTGAGTTGGGACCCACTCCCGGCACCAACATTGGTGACCAGTTATGGATGGCTCGCTATTTATTGCAATATATTGGCGAACAGTTTGGTTTTGTCATATCTTTTGAGCCGTTAAGACATATTCAAAGTAAACATCAATTTATTCAGTTGTGGACTACAGAGAAATGCTGTGAAAAGCAATTGTTTGCTATGAATAGTGACCCATATATTGCTATAAAAGAGATATGTTTAGCAAAGTTGTCATAATTTGTTTTGCAATATTTAATATATAATAATAAAACAAAATTTAATATTGAATTAAGAAGAATAAAATAATTTATTAAAAAAATTATTTCATATAAATTACTCTTTATATCACAAAAATTGAATTAATTAATGATTGTATTATTATATTGATATGATTTAGATTTGTTTTTTTAAGAACCGGTATATGTTTTTGTATAACAATATCTTTTATAAGAGAAGACATTTTTGTTTTTTCTTTTTTGGTGACACTTGTGGACAAAGAAAGGCACGGATGGCCTCATCGAAGACATTCTTGAGACCTTTTAATGTAAGTGCCGAACACTCCAAGTACTTAACGGCTCCGATATCTTTAGCCATCGACAGACCCATGGGATAGCTAATTGGTGACAGTTTTTTCTCTTTAAGCTTTTCCAGTGTTTTTGGATCTTCTCTTAAATCCAGTTTTGTACCGACAAGTATTATAGGTTTGTCCGGACAGTGGTGTCTGACTTCGGGCCACCATTTGATACGGACGTTCTCGAAGGAAGACGGATTGACTACTGAATAGCAGATGAGAAATACGTCGGTTTGCGGATAGGATAGCGGCCGCAGTCGATCGTAGTCCTCTTGACCGGCCGTATCCCATAATCCAAGATTAACAGGCTTTCCATCGACCATAACATTGGCCGAGTAGTTATCAAAAACGGTTGGTATGTATTCACCAGGAAATGCATTAGTGGTATAACTGATTAGCAAACATGTCTTACCAACAGCTCTATGGTGTGAATAAAATGATAAATAAAAAAAATATGATATAAAGTTATGTATAATTATTGACTATTAATCTATATTACAGTATTATTTTTATGTATAAATATCAAACAATGTTATATTAATATCAATTTGATAACCTTTTATTTTTATATTAATAAAACAGAAAATAATATCATTGGTTACTTATTGTTATAATACTGTATATTGTAAACTCATATTTCAAAGGTTATACATATTATATTGAAAATGTTAAATAATAATTTCAATTATAACAAAATAATTTAATTTAGCTAATTTTCTTTTAAATGTTTAAAATCAAAATTTACTTTAAAATTTAAAATTATTTATTAGCAGAATATTATTAATAGTAATAAATTAAAGTTTATACAATTTGTAAAGTGTATTTATTCTATATATTTGGTAACTAAATTTAATTTATATACTATCAATATAAATATATATTATAAAATAGTAAAATTATAAGTATATTGACATACCCATCACCAACAACAACACATTTGATTGCTTGCATTTTGAAAAAACAACAAAATTAAATTATTGACTATAATTAATAATGATTAATTATTGCACAGTTGTTCAAGTAGGTATTTCCACTTGTCTACCCTCAAAATACCACATATACAGTATATATGTTGATAAAATAAATTATTTTTTAACTAATAAAAACAATAATAAAAAGTACTTAATTGCTAAACATATTTATTTAAAAAACATAAAATAATAAATATTGTTATTATAATTCATATGAAGTTATGTTTGAAGCATTTGAAACAAACAATTTAATTATTGTAATACAATATATTAATATATATATAAATTAGAGTCGGCTTTCAATTGCCTTATCGTACGATTTCATAATGATTTGTAACATTTAACAGCACAGGTATCTCAAGTGGTTACCATTGTGTCTCCATAGAGAACAGGTAGATATGATAATAATATTTTAATTGGACTATATTTATTATTATGATATTTAATATGACATTTTATGTTATGTTTAATTATTGTATTAACTTATGACGTTATATAAAATGGTTTTAAATTAAAACTGTTTTTTTGTAATGATTGCTGGTTATGGCAATTGCAATAAAATATTTATAATAAATAATAGTTAAAGCGTTTATAATATTGTAAATAACAGTTAGTTTTTTTTTGTTAATATTAGTATTATTATTATTCTTACTGTTGTTTTTTATCTGAAATCTTAGTTATACTCAATATTATACTACAGTATTAATGTTAACTTTATAAAAATGTTTTGTATGATATTTATCTTGTAAACTGTATGTGAGAATGTAATATAATCTCATAATTTATTATTTCATAATATACTGTATAAGTATAATATGATTTATAAATTATTCTCAATAATATACAGTCAAATGTGAAAACATTTCAAATACAGTATTGATAAATATGAAATTGATATTTCAAATATCAAATGAGACTTCAAATAATAAATATCTAAATTTTGAGTTTAATTAGTATTATGTTTATAAGATTCCTCAAAACTCATTACATTAGACAGTATTAACCTAATTAAACTACATTTAATTTTTTTTAATTATGATTTTTAAAAATTAACAAATTATTTGGTAATTTTATTAATAACTTTAAATTATTAAGATAAAAATTTATATAATTATATGTGCTTAAAGTATATTGCATTTTTTATTATAAAAATAGGATTTAGTAAATATAACATTTATTATTTCAAATTAATATGATATCATACATAAAAAAATCTAAATATTGGCAAAATAAAAGCATTAAAACAAAATCTCTATTTTAATATAATTCATATATACATAAATTTAATTAATTAGTAAAATAATTTTTTTTTGTTATAAATATAATATGAGAAAAATATAATTCATTAAAAATGTAGAATTTAAATAAGTATTAAAACTAAATATAATAATAATAATAATTTAAAACCAATAAATTTCGATATAAATTTCGATATATAACTAGTTGTGATGTCTATCCATGAAGTATCTGTTTGACAAAGTATTCGTAGTTAACCCTTCCCTCCTCGTCCTCCATACCGACCATAATCTGTTCGACCTCATCGTCGGTCAACTTTTCTCCCAATGCCGTCAATAGATGTCTCAATTCAGCCGAACTAATATAACCGGAGCCGTCGTTATCGAAATGTCTCAAACCTTCGACAAACTCGTCGGAAGAATACTTTACTCTATTCTTGACTATCGACTGAAAAATTGGCAAAAACTTATCAAAACTGATCCGTTCTTCGGCTGTAAACTCTTGACAACACCGTTTGATTTCAGCTTCAGTAGGATTTTGACCCAAAGCACGGGCGACATCACCCAATTGGGACACACCTATCATACCATCGCCTTTGGTGTCAAATATTGCAAACGTTTCCTTATATTCTTGAATCTGATCCTCACTAATGGCAGACATTATTACAGTATTACTATTTACTAATGAAATCGATAAAAATTTGTAATAATAATACTAAAAAACACAAGTAATCGCTTTATTACACAAATATGTTATTAAACTAACAGTTGTTTAACGCTTAAACTATTTTGTAGTTTAGTTTATTTTTAATAGTACTTATAATAAAATAACTTCCAATTCATTGTAAAACAAACAAAACTTTTATATACAGTATATATGTATAATATGATAGGCAAACACTAACATTAATAATGTTAATACTAATACCACTTTAGTATATTCACAAACATATTGAGACTGTACTGAGAGAGCAAAAAATATTATTACAAACAATTATTTTCAGGATATTATTATTATTATTCACTGCAAAAATATGGTATAAAATTCACGATTACTTTTTAACTGACAAACTATGAGAGAGAGAGAGAGAGAGAGAGAGAGAGAGAGAGAGAGAGAGAGAGAGAGCTTAGAAAGAAATACAGTGAGAGAGAGAGAGAGAGAGAGAGAGAGAGCTTAGAAAGTGGTAAATACAGTGAGAGAGAGAGAGAGAGAGAGAGAGGAAAGTGCTGTACTATGAAACACCGGTATATATAATATAATAGTTATATAGCATATGACAAATATGATAAATAAATAATAAAAATTATGAAATGTGTGTGTATATAATTTTTTACCATATTTAAACAAATTTTTTACAAATATGCTGGTAATAAAATGAAATAAACTAATAAGTATACAGTATATACCGGTATATATACACTATGGGGTGATAAATACATTTAAAAAAAACAATTTGACAAAATCATGATTTTTATTTTATTTCAAATATATTTAGTTATTTATAAAATTAGCATTGTTCAAATATATAAAATATATACAGTATATAAATAGTAATATTATATAGTGTGTCATAAAATTTATTTCTATCAATAATATGCCAATTACCGTTATTTAATTACCATAAAATCAATGAAACAAATCAATTACAGTATATCAATAAAATAAACTATAAAAATCAATAATTAAACTATAATTTAGTTTATTTAACTTAGATTTTAATTTAGATACAGATAATTAAGATATTATTAATGAACAAAAAAAATACAATTTATAAAAAACCAATTGTAAAACAATATTAATAGATACTAACGGGTGGCTCATCACCGAACAGTTGTCTCCAAGAGAACGGTGTAATCCAAGACTTGAAGGTCTGAAAGTCAACTAAACTGAGCCATTGATTGATGGCATTAATAAATGCAAAACTATGCGGTCTATTGTCGCCTTCGGAACAATAGATGACAAGTCCGGTGCTAGCAATCTGTTGTTTGTCTAACCATTTAAGCACATCCCGTAGTCCACCGCTTCCCGGCAAATGCATGACACCATCGGGTTTGGGTTGGAGTGTAAACGGGTCCACGCGCTCGACAGTTGGCCACTTTGCCGATGCATTTTTGCCAACAGTATCCTTAAAACTTTTATTAGTAATACATTTGATCGCGTAGTAATCGCCAGAGTCCAGTGCCGATGCCAAGTGCTCGAGAAAACTCGAGCTCAACACAAGCACGTGTCGCACGTGACACGCGGCCAACCATTTAGTTAGTGAATCGTAAAACTCTTTACGTAATTCCTATCGACAAAAATAAAAATTAGTTTTTCACTTCAATCTCTATGATGTCCATTGCAGTCATCACTTACGCGATAAACTGGTGTCCGCTGTTGTATAATCAATAGCCGTCGGGAAACACATACATAAACTGTTTGTTCAACAAAAAAATTGGACAAAAATTATTAAATAAAAAAATCATTCAATCATTTAAAACAAACCCTGTGCCGAAGTGGTCAACGATTGTCCGCCGTATCGATAGGCATCGGGTCCGACCAATGGCATCAATGCCGTAGAGTATAAATGTCCGGCCAGTCGGCAGTCCAACAATTCTGTCAGAGTGGACACCAATAAATCGATGGCCAATTGCGGCACATTTCCCACCGAAACACAGCCGTAGATAACAGTAAAATCGCGCCACTGGTCACTACTTGGCTGTCCATAGCTGGCCGTCGGTATGAATATGCTGTCAGTATTAGTAATAGTAGTGTTAGTCATGTTTTGTTTGGACAGTAATCGCGGCTTTAATTTGATTACAAAAAAACAAAACAATATTTTATTCAAAACTTTTTTTTGTTTTATATTTTATGTCAAATCATATTTCAATTGACAATAAAAATATTGTATATTTTGAATAATAAAATCAATAATAACGTTACGTTAAAACAGTAGTATTTGTAACCCACTATAACATCAATTACTTTAAATAAATACTTTGTATTGTTTATCAATTTATACCCCGATATATAAAAATGTAACGTTTGTTACTGAAAATACTTAATGTTTAAATATATAGAGAATGAGTACAAAACAATATGAATAATTGTAGATCAAATAGTATAGTAATTCTATGCATTGATGTGAACACAAAAATAATCATTTCAACATTATTATCATTACATGTGTTGTCTGTAATACAAAACAATTGTTACGTATTTTTTATTGACATAAATTAGTTCCCCATTAATTTCTATATATTATTTACAGTTATAGTTAATACAGTAAATTACTGTACATTTATACTAAAACATTATAAACTTTTCAAACACTGTCCCATCTGTTGTAACAATGTTTATGAAATTTAAGTCTAATATTACATAAGCATAACTACCTCTACATTGAATGCATTTTTTAGACTGACATCGAAAACACATGTATTGACTGAAATCTTTTGAAGACATAATCGGTCGGTAATCTAGTGGTCAAACCAGTGGTCAATCAGTGCTTTCGTAATTAACCGAATCAGCGGCCAAAACGCCTGCTTGAATGTGATGTGTAAGAAGTGTCCGTTTCGGTGATTGTGTTCACTGTTTTGGTGTTTTGTTTATTTTTTTTGTAAAAAGTTATTTACCGATCAAATTATCCGACAAAATAAGTGGTCGATCACTGAATATAAAAGACATGACAACTATGACAACAATAGCATTAATCAATGGCCACTGTTTGCGACATTTAAGACAAATATCGAGACTAAACTTTCGTTCACATTCGTGGCCACGATTGGCGACGACATTGTGCACCCGAAATGGGCCACTGATAGCGGCCACTGCCGGCTGTCGTCATTTTCAAACAGGACATCCATTGAATGCCAGTAAAGACTATTACGAAACATTAGGTGTTGACCGAAGTTCTTCTCAGAAGGACATCAAGAAAGCGTACTATCAGTTGGCCAAGAAATACCATCCGGACACCAATAAGAACGACCCGTCGGCTTCCAAACGGTTTCAGGATGTGTCCGAAGCTTATGAAGTGTTAGGTGATGAGGGAAAACGCCGTCAATACGATCAATATGGGTCGGCCGCGTCCAGTATGGGTGGTGGAGCCGGATCTCAAGGTTTTAGCGGTTTTCAGGGCTTCCACTCAAACATAGATCCCGAAGAGTTGTTTCGCAATATTTTCGGTGATTTTTCGAAAGGTTTTGGCGGACAGTCAACAAACGAAGGCTTTGATTTTGATTACGGAGCGCCACAAGAGATACAAATGAGTCTCAGTTTTAAAGAGGCCGCCAAAGGATGTACTAAAGAAATTAATATTAGTGTTGTCGATACCTGTCCTAAATGTAACGGTTCCCGGTATGTGAACACTGCAATGTGTTATTGCATTTTAAAATTACTTATTTATATTTTATATATGATATATATTTTATACTTTCAGATGTGCTGAAGATCACAAGCCAGTCAAATGTCCCTATTGTCAGGGAACAGGTATGGAGACAATATCTACCGGTCCTTTTGTTATGCGATCGACGTGTCGTATGTGTAAAGGCACCCGTCTATACATTAAGCATCCGTGTCGTGACTGTGGCGGCAAAGGCACAACACAGCAGCGGAAAAAAATTCAAATACCTGTGCCGGCAGGTGTTGATGACGGTTCAGTCAAACGGATGCAAATTGGAAATAAAGAATTGTTTATAACATTTCGTGTCTCCCGAAGTGATTACTTTAGACGTGACGGCGCAGACATACATACCGACACTGAGATATCGTTAGCTCAAGCAATACTCGGCGGTACTGTCAATGTTGGCGGTCTCTATGAAGATGTTACACTTAAGATACCATCGGGAACCAGTTCACACAGTAGAATACGTTTGTCTGGTAAAGGTATCCGACGAGTCGATAGCTATGGTTATGGTGACCATTATATTCATCTCAAGATTAGAGTACCACAGTATGTATTGAATGTATTTTAATTTTTTAATTACCATTTTTACTGAGTTTATTATGTGTGTGTGGTTTATATAGAAAATTATCGCCAAAACAAAAAGCTTTAGCACTTGTTTTGGCCGAATTGGACGAAACCAATTTGACCTCAAAAGGCACTACAAATGGTATAATTGAAACCCGAAGTGGACGGGTAGCTGAAGGCGATGCCGAACACGAAGAGTTAGTTAATAATATTAGGAATGCATTGGAAGAGACCGACGGAGAGGAGTCGGATAGAGACAGAGCGGCCGATAAAAAGGATTAAAAACATTTGATTAGTTTATAATTATTATTATTGTGTTATAATTTGTTATATAAATTTAATATTTAGTTAGATTTTAAAATTTAAAAAATATAATATTTTCAAATACATATATTCACATAAAATATATGACAAATAAATTGTATAATTGTTATCAACAATACCAGTATAATTATGTATGATTTTTTTATTAAAAAAAAAGTTTGCAGCATTTTTAATTACAGTAAATATTATATATATACATTAATACTATCAAATTTATAGTTATTTTAATCATTTAAAAAATAGCAATATAAGCATGAAAATTAATAATTTATTTAGTTTTCATTACAATTTTGCTTATTGTATAATAATAATAAATTTATTGAAAATAAAATAATATCATCAAGTTTATAACATTTAGTAATAAAATTATTAAATTTTATTAGTACCGTGATAAAGTTTTATTTATTTACCTGTAATAGAATCTTAATAAACTATAATAATTTTAAAAATAAATATTAAAATTTATTTTAATGATATAATATTATATGTTATGATGTGTCTATTCTCGATGTTGGCTTAATACAGTATTAATACTACTACTACTACTTAAATAAATGGTATGGATATTACACTAATTATATTTAATATTATAAATATATGATACATTATAAAAATAAAATATTTTTATATGATCACAACAATTAATTTGGTTTAACAAATTAATTAGCATAATCTAGAATATAAAATATATTTCATGAAAAATAATATAATAAGTATTGTATTTAAATTAAATTTATATTTTTGTCACTATTTTTGTTTTTGAAATTATATATGAATTTTATTAGTTATATTAAAATAAGTTAATATTTTGTTTAGTAAAAAATAAATATTTGTTTTATAAAAAAATGTATTTAATAGACAAAATATATGTCAAACTTTGAAACAATTATTTACAGTATATTTATATATAATTGTTATATAATCTGACTTTTATTTTATCGTATTATTGTTAGTATTATAACACTATTACTAAAATTATCTAATTTTAAATTAAAATCGTTTTTCTCGTAAAATTGTGTGTGTTTTTTAATGTCAAACAAAAATAACACATTTTTTATTTTTATTTTCTTTTGAAACACCCAAATAAGGTGCGTCCGAATGGCACTGGTATGTAATTATTGGGTAATTGTCATAAAATTAACTATCTATCTATTGATGTGTATAAAATATAATACCCAAAATTGACACTTAAAATAGCCTTGAAGTTTTTTAAATATATGATATTAATAATAGCAAAAAAATAATGCTGTAAAAAAGCTATCTGTTTTTATATTATAATATCAATTTATACATAAGAAAAATAATGGCATAAAAATAAAAATTCAATTTGTATTACAAATTTGGTTATAAAATACTTAGCAAAAATGCTTTGTTTAAATCAATGTTTTATGTGTTTATCGTAAAAGAGAAAAAATAAACTTTTTTTTATTCTTTGCGTTAATTATATTTAAATTATATTTTAAAAATACAGTAACACTGGAAAAATATGGTGTTTTTTAATTGCTTATATATTTATATAAATATATTTAGTATATTTAAAAAATTTTAAACAACTCATTGACGTATATAATTTATGTATACATATAAATGTTTAATACATGTGTATGTATGCGATATATATATATATATACTAAAGAATTGTTTGTGTATTTTGATAGTGATTTTTATTATTTAATGTATTTAACAAAAAAATATGGCGACAATTAAATTTGTTTGGTTATCATTGTTGAGATTTTATGGTTTAAAATTATTTCACGCATTATTATAAGTGGTTATATAATAGTTATCACTTTTATAACACAACACCACATTTTTTAAATTGTAAGTTCAAAATAACTGTTTAAATATTTTGTGGTTCACAATCTCTACATGTAAAACATATTATTATATAATTATTTGAAAATATAATTATTAATAGAGACATTATACTATGAGGTATTTTATTAGATAATAGCAAACAATTGGCAAAATAATAATAACAAAAAAAATGTTTGCATAAAGGGTTGGCTCGTAAAATCCAAAATCATTTATTTGTAGACTATAATAACTTACTGTATGCTTCAATTATTTTATTATATAACATTATCAACGGGTACTAAGTTTGACTCTATTATACATTATATAGATAACCTAACCAAATATACCAGTAAATATTAATATAAAAACTTAATGATAATTATATATTTTTTAAATTAGAAAAATTTTCTGATTAAACAATATTGTAGTTGACTTATATTATTGATATTAATTAATATTTGGATTATTTATTTAGTTGATCAAAATAACATTATTATTATTATAATATATTTTTAGAGATAGTCTAGTAATTTTTTTTAAATGTAATACATGTAATTGTAATATTTTGGAAAAATTTGTTATTTAAAAAAAAAATATTATACAATATAGTTATAATTTATAATGTTATAAATATTTAAAAAAAAATAAAACATAATTTATAAAAAAAATTATGTTTGCACTAGATTAAATTCTCTCTCTCTCTCTCTCTCTTTCTCTGTATATATGTGTGTATGTAATCACATGTTCTCTATTGAAATTTTGTTTAAAAAGTATACTTATATTTATTATCAAAAAACTTTTTTTTTTAAATATAATTATATCTAAACATAATTGATTATATGACAAAAAAGTGTTAAAAACAGTGTAAAGTTTTCTGTTACTAATAATACTAATAATAATAACTTTTTGCGCGCATATGCTCTTCTAATTATGTCATTTAATGTTATTAATAAAAAAATTGTTTGCACACATTAATTATATATTATATAACACACAATATATTGTACATTCATAGAAATAAAAAAACAAACAAACAATAGATTTATACACAATTATTTTATATAACTATTTATAAAAAGCATTTTTGAAAAATTTAAATATCTCTCTCTCTCTCTCTCTCTCTCTCTCTCTCTCTCTCTCTCTCTCAATATTAAACTTATACATTTGATGCAATAATTATTTAATTATATATATATATATATATTCTGTAATATAGTAACTGTACTGTATATCTAAATTTATAAATTTGATTTGATTATGAAATTACAGTACAGTAGTAGTAGTAGTAGTAGTAGTAGTAGTAGTAGTAGTAGTAGTAAATTTAATCGCACGAATACATGGGCGACACAATTGGCTGAGCATTGATAGTCACGTGATTCACGCAAATGTATGACATATACCGTTGAAGTTATAATAATAATAATAAAGTGTTTAGAGATTTGTGTTAATAAAGAGTGTGTAAAAGCAATTGAAAATTCACTGTAAATTCTGTTTTGTATTATATATATAATAATATATTTGCAAAAACTCTTTTTGCATTATAGCTAACTAACGACTACACCGACGACGACTGACTGACTGTTTTAAACTAAATATCGGATTTATTTTTGGCTTTTTGTTTATCACTTGTTTTTATAAATACTTTTATATAATATAATATATATTATATGATATATATAAATATACATTATATATGTCTATCATGATAGCTAGTATGGTTGTGTGACCCAGAATTTTTGGGGAAATGGCTTCCATTCCCATAGCCATGTCTGAGGTGTCCATATCGTCCGCGTCCTCGTCGGCTGATTCCGAACTATCAACCCGTGAGGACATCAGTGCACTCACCGATTGTGTCAAACAATTGAGAGAATCATTAGCTAAAATCAAACGCGTTTTCAATGTAAACCAAGAAAGAGGTTTGAATTACTTTTTTATCAAATAGTTTTTATGTTAATATGTTTTTTAAAATTTATATATATATTTAGTAAAATTTATTTATTAAAAAAATATTTTTTACTTTATCTTTTTGTTGTTGTTGATAAAAATGCTAATTTATTTAAAATGGTAGTAATTTAAATCATTTTTAAGATAAGATGTCTCAAAATTAATTAATTTATATAAACAAAATTTATACATATAGTATGTATATATATAATTAATATATATTTAATTCATTAGTAAATTGTAATAATTAATATATACTTAAAAATTTTAAGTATATTTGTTTGTCAATTAATTAAATTTACATTTAATGAATTTTAGATTAATTAAATCAGACCAATATTAAAATGTAATTATTCAAAATTATCCATGACAATTATTATCATTTTTTATCTCCATATTATGTCATATTTGTAAAACGAAATTTTTCAAAAATATTAATATGTGACTTAAATTTTAATATTATATATATATATACATATAAATTATATTTCTATAAACTGTTTTGTGTAGTATAAATATACAGTACATTATATACACTATAAATATACTGTATATGAAAATATGATTAATTATGTTTCACAAGTTACCCTAATTTTGAATGCAATTTTTGCGTCAAATAGTAATATAATATAATTAATTTATTATAAAATTATAAAAATATGTATTTATTGTCGAAACACACGAAATATATTTTTGAAGAAAAATGTTTATATATATATATATTTATTGCATATAAATATCAAATAAACTGATTTTTATAACAGTTTAATAATATTTAACAATCATATCATATTGACATCTTAATTAGCTAACTACATACACACAAATTTATATACCTGTAAATGTATATATTATAATATATACTTTATAATGTGTATATACCTGTATTTTCAATAAATTTATAATGTATACATTGCCTCAAAATACATATTAATAAAAATGATAAAAAGTATTAATTAAAACAAATTTATTTTATAATCATTAAAAAAAGTAAAAAATGTATTTTTATAAAATTTTATTGCCGACATGAAAGAGAGAGAGAGAGAGAGAGAGAGAGAGAGAGAGAGAAGTCAATGAATTTAAGTCATTTTTAATGAATTCATATAAATTCAAATATTTTATTAAATAATGTTATTTTCCTTAAAATAAATCAGTAGACAATCTTATATTTATCAGTTATAATAAATACAGTTTTATATTGAATTTATATTTACATTATATGACTGATAATCATAAAGTCATAAAATACTGGTATTTCAAAAAAAATAAAAATATTAAAACAAAATCTCACTTTAAGTTGAAGTACAAAAAGGATTGAAAGATAATGATTGAAATGAATTTTCTTTTTAATATTTAAATTTTTTAAAGTCTTTTCTATGAATTGGATATTTCTGTTTTGAAGTGAAGGCATATAAAATAATATACTGTATATACAGTACAGTAATTATATGCGAAAAAATTATAACTGAGAAAAACATTACAGAGATTTATTGATAATTTTTAATCATTTCACGGAAAAACATTGCCTCCGACTTTATTGAACAGGTAGTCCAACATCAGTCTACCTGTGTGTGTGTGTCTCAACATCACATTCACTACATAGAAATAATACATAAAATAAATAATAAATTCAACAACAAAAATATAAGACGAGAGAGAGAGAGAGATTGAAAACTTGTTTTTTAAAATAACAACATATAGTTTCATTCACTTTCTATCCCTATATTTTCAGACAATTAGTTTTCAAACAAACAGACACACAGTGTGTTAGTTATTAATTTATAAAAACAACTGTTTTTAGGGTTGAAAGAGCTTTTCAATATAATAAATAACAGATAACTCAATGTGTTTTATCAATAATTGTTGTGTCAATGAATGTTGAAAATTTTATTTTTGACTGTTACTTTATTTAATAATAAATATAAATATTTTATTTGATAATAAAATATAAATTACATTGCAACTATATATTTATTAAGTTTATTATTAAATAAGACAAACATTATATTTTTATACCCCATAAATATTTAGACGATAAAGTGTGTATTTAATCACAAAAATAATAATAATTCATAACTGAATAATATGCCATTTTTTGAAAGTTAATAACTTGTATATTAAGTTTAAAAATATTATTTATCAAAATTGTGCGCTTATATGTTGTTATAAATTTTCAATTCAATATAATTGTTTAATATCATACTGTATTAATGTTTATTAAAAAAATTATGATATTTTAATAATATTTATTAAATAAAACATTGTTTCCAAAAAAACCCTCAAAAAAAATATAGACAAAAAAGAGACACTTCGTGTTGCGGCTCACGAAAGACTGGGCGAAGTTTTGAAAGCCATGAGACAAATACTGGAAAAGTATCCAAAACTCCAGTCGACTGACCTATTGATGAGCGCCGGGAATCTCATACATCACGTGAAAAACTTCAATTACGACGACAGGTCGGCGGACAACAAACCGTTTATTGAGGCCGTCGACCAATTGGCACTGGCATTCAGTACAAGGTATGGTATAATTTTTTTTAAAAAATTTATTTTATTGATAACTTTCTATTTATTATTTGCCATATATTATTGTTAAATATTTACATTTTTCAAGTATATATATATAAAGTTAATGATTATTAGATTTCTAGAAATATGTAGTGTTAAGGAAAGTTAGGTTTTATTTTTCTATTTCTTGTTATTATTATTATTATTGTTGTGAATTATAAGTGTCTTTTAAGGAAAGACGGTATAAATAGGAAGTATTTTTCGTTGACATTTCCAAACAAACACAACATCTTTTAAATCTGAAAAACATTTTATATGATTATTATTATTAATTGTTTATTTTGATAATACACTCTTAATAAGTTATAACATTGTACTGTATAGTACACTAAACATTTTCAGAACAAACTCGGTACTTTTTTATTTATGTTACTTATGTTTTTTATGCTACATTTGATAATTATAAAAGATACCATATTGTCATGTGTTGTTTAAAAAAATGCGACATCATTTATGTAATTATATAATTATTTAATAGAGATATAGTTACACAAAAAACATATGTAATATACATAAAAAGGGCCCGAGTCTTCGGTAGATCATAAACCGTGTACAGTACATACTTATCCTAATTTATAACTGTACTGTATATTACTTTTTGGGTTTGTCAACAATCAGTAAATTACTACAATATTTACAGTAATAATAATAATAGAGATGAGACTATATTTCTAGTGAAAACCCGTTTGTTGTTTAGACATAACATTTATTATTATTATATACAAATAATATATCATCAAATGCCAAATATTTTTTTTATATAAAAATTGTATTTTTTGTGAATTATATTTTTTCCCACTAATTTTTACTTAATTATGAATAACATTAATTGTTATACAATTTTTAAAAATATAAATATATTTAGATTAAATATCCGAGTTTTGTTTCTCTATGAGTGCCATTGAATATATAGATGACACTTTGAAAAGCATCGGTACCCTCGTTATATATCTACCCGTCCCTTATTATTATAATGCACTCATGAGACAGTTCCGGTATATATATGTATGTCTCTGTCTTTCTCTATCTCAATAAAAAGAGACATCCCATATAAAGAAGCACTGGTGTGTATATTATGCCAATTTTTAGGCATAATAAATAAAATAAAATACAATTTATAATAGTAAACCATATGTTTTCATAATACTTATAGTGACATAACATAAAATATCTTCTTTTTTTGAAAAAAATTCAATATATTTTTAAATATTTTTTTACACTCATTTCCTATTTAATTTAAATACCAAACAAACTGTTATTCAATTTAAGTTACAATAATAATGGTTGTAAAAAATAATTATAACAATAATAATAAATAAAAGTAGACTCCTATGCAAATGTACTGTTTATTAACTTATTTAACCCCATATACTGAGTTAACATTATTGTTGTTATAATTTCAATGATTATCTCTTTCAACACTTGAGTTTTTATGGGTCTCTTAATTGAATTTGTTGTTTGCTATAATAGATTGTTAATATTTTATTTTAATTAATGATTAATGATAATGTAAATGATTATTATAAACAATAAAAATTGCTATTTAATGATTGTATGCATTAATAAATCTATTAAAAAGTTTACTAAAAAATATATTTATAACAAAGTTTCTAAATTTAGTAATTGATTTTAAAAATACAACATAGCATAACATATAATAGTAAGTTATATTAAATATTTAATTTATTAGTATATATATATATATATATATATATATTAGGAATAAACATTTCGGGAAATAAATATTTTGAATAAACACTATATTTTATAATAACAAATATAATATCTAATAAATTCATCAATAGTTTTTTGTAGAGAATTTACAAATGTAGTTAAATACCAATTTTACAAAAAAAATATTTTATATATTTTATATATGTTATAAAATATGTTAAATAGTATGTTGTATACAATGTATAGATTATCTTAAATATATTATTCACTAAATACTCTCTATTTTCAATATACACAATATTTTATTAATATAAACAAAAGTAAGAATAAAATTTTATTATTATTATATACGATCTCTTCCTCAGTGTTTTTATTAAAAATACAGTAAATATATTACAAATATATATATACAGTATATATATATTTAAATTCATTTCTTTCTCATGTAATCTATAATTTAGAAACAAAACAAAATGAGGAAAATATGAAAATTTATCCCAAATTGAAGGTGTATTGTATATAATGTTTCACTCAAAAAAATTATAAAAAAATAAAATAAAGTTAATTGTGCCCATAAAATGCCTCTCCCTTTCCGATGAGTTATTTATCGTTTAAGAATATCTATCACTCATTTCCCATCCCATTATAATAAGGGGAACGGTATGTTGTGTATTGTATTTAAAAATACTGTACTACTTATATCATATATATTTATACATAATATATTTAGTTTATGTAAGTGTTGTGTATAAATATATGTGTCTGAAGATATCTCTCAGCAGTTTTCTTAAAGCGGCGAAAAAGCAACAAAAATCACTGAAAAAATTTAGGTCAAAATTTACGTTAAAATAAGCGTCACATACAGTATAACATATAGTGAGCGATACATAATTTAGATTATATTTTAGTGTTTTTAGTGTATATATATATAAGCAGCTAATGATAGCAATTTTCTATGTATATGTAATGACAATATATATATATATATAAGTTGGTGTGTGTTTATAAATATATTTATATTTATACAAATAATATAATTTTAAATTGAAGTGTTATTTATAAGTAACATTTATATGTGTGTTTGAGTGCATTAAAACAATAATGTCTTAAATATTTATAGACCACTTTTTCATATATATTTATAATAAATATCTAAAAGATAACTACAGATAAAAAGGAGTTCACTGGTTATTATAATATTAAGCAACACTTATAAAAAAATTTAAAATTTTTATTTTTATTTGAATTATTTATAGCAAGAAAAAAAATCTGTTTGAATTTCTTTTATGTTTTAAACGATATGAAACATATTTTGCAATTTTTGTAATATACTATCTTTTAAGATGATTTATATCGCATGTCCAATATATTTATAATATAATTAATATTATGTATAATAACTGATATAGTTATACTGCAGATAGATATAATAAATTTTTGTTTTTATATTAATATTTTTATTACTACTATTTTTGTGTAGATTTACTGTCTAATATGTTAATTATTTTAGATAATATAGTAAATGGTCTATAAATATATTTAATTATAATTTGATTTTCTATTACGATATGTTAACTAATACATCAAAATCATTCATTAAATTGTTATATAATTTTTTTGAATATTTTTATATATACTATAAATATATTTTTATTAATCATTAGAGCATTGCTATTGCCTTATATGTGGGAAAGTGTTATAATTATTTTAAAATTTAAAAATATATAAATTATATTTATATATATAGATAATTCAGTACATATAATTAGAGGTCAATAAAACAAAAATTATATGTTTTTATTACATATAATTTATATCAATATTTTAACACATTTTAGGGAAATCGTATAAAATAAACATTAGTTTTAAAGAATATTAAAGTAACGATAAAATGATTATATAATTAAATTTATATTAAATTCATTTATTATTAATTTTATTTTCGGTTTATTTTATAGCTCACTATTAATAATACAAAAATTAGTAAAATTATATTAAATATGATACTAAAATTTAAAATAAATAAGTGCTATGAAAATATTTTATTAAATATTATTAGTTAAGTTTATTATCAAAATAAATTATTAAACTTATCGCCAACATAATTATTTTTGTTTATAAAAATATTAATAATATTTGTTGGGCTAATATATCACGATTTGCCCCAAACATAATTTTATTGGTAACAAAAGTAATAATAGTTTTATTTATGAAAATATCAGTTAATAGATTAATTTATAACTCTCTCTCTCTCTCTCTCTCTAAAATTTAAAATAAAGTTTATTTTATAAGTAATAATCTTATATATAAAGATACGTGAGATCACTATAAAATATAATTTAAATCTATTAATATATTATTTTTACAACAACAACAAAAATAATATAATTTAAAATTCACTAAAATTATATTTATATCAAATATCAACTAAAATCATCTAAAAAAGATGATCACTTTTTTTTATTTATAAGGAAACCTTCATTACAAATAACGTAAGCTTTTAAGTAATAACGAGTGTATTATCTCTTAATTAATGAACAAATTTTTTTGTTATTTTTTGTTTATTAAATTCAAGGAAGAAATTAGTGCTAATTAAATGAGAAATCTTTTGAAATATCATCAGAAAAATATATATAAAGATATTTTTAATACAGTACTAACACAAAAACATAGTTGTGTGACATTATTTTTTTTTATATATACACATAAACTAACAACTAATTCACACAATTTTTTGATAACACACACACAAAAAACATAATTTCTAATAAAAATATTATTTCAGAAAACGAAAAAAAATAAAATCAGATAAATAAAACAAAATTTATGACTCTTTTTTTTTGCTAACCAATTACATAGAAATTTAAAAAATAAATTTATCTAGTACATATTATTTTTTTTTATTTATTAGAGTACAAAAAAATATATTATAACTAAATCCTATTGCCCTCTCACGTGCATTCAAACTTTGAACACTCAATTATAATATATAAGGGGATCATCTATTTGTAAGTGACAACAGGATTACATCAATTAGTAAATTAGTTAATTGCATATGTTTTATAGATATTTATTATTATTATGTACAGTATTTTATCAATATATTTACTATATGTGCACGTAAACACAAAATAATAATTATTATCTAATATTTAAAATATAGGTAATATACTGTATATTTAAATATTATGAAAACATATAATAATATCTAATCAATTGGTTTATATATATATATATATATTATTAATTTCCTGTCGACGCGACGCCGAGATAGCTATAAAAAAATTTTAAACAAAAAAATTGTTTAGTTTAACCAATAAAGTTACTGATTATATATTTATGTATTTGTAATATACTTTTGATGAGTTGAAGTGTCTGTCAAAATAGTAAATCCTTGTAAATTATTATCAATTGGCAATGAAATATTGGGTTATAGTATAGATTTAAATAAAAACATAATAATAATTTTTATAACTAAAAGTGAATTAACAAATTCATAAGTTGGTAATTATAGTATTTGTTTTTATTAATAATTTAATATTAATTGCTAATAATTCAAACTAAATCATTGTAATTATAATAATTATATTATTATAAAGTATAAAGACATAAGTCAATAAATATATATATATATTTATATATAAACAGTAATTATTTACTATTTTATGACAAACAATAATATTAAACATTTACAAATGTTTTATGTATGTATATTACCTGTAATATAAATTTAGCATAATTTCATTGTATAAACTTATTTATTGCAATTGCTTTTGTTGTTGATGTTGTTGTTAAAATAGTATTATTTTATTAATAAAGTATTTCATACTAATTAATAATATCAAAAACTGTTCAACAATTATAATACTAAAACAAAACAAAAACAAACAAATCTTATTTTTTTACGTTGCATGTGATTTTTGATTACTATTATTATATTTGTATAAATTAATGATTGATAACTATTAATAGCATTATTTAATAAGCAATTTTTTAACTATTTATAAAATTAAACAGTTAAAACAAAAATTAAGAAAATAAAAATAAAAACTATCTTTTATTGAATAAACATTTCTTTCGATTACTGTAAAACTATGCAAACAAATAACCTGACGTTTGTTTGAATGTAATTATTTAAATATTGTTTTTATTATATATATATTTAATTTATTTTAAATATTGTTTTTAATTATATATAGTTAATTTATTTTAAATATTTTTTTATTTATAAAAAATTATTATTACTGTAAAAAAATCAATATATAATAGTTATATACTAACTATAAAAATAAAAACTATTTTCTTTCTTAAAAAATATCAATAGTTATAACCACATATTTATATTAGTTTTAATATTATTTTTCACAATTAAATAGTTTTTAATTCATAATAATTTATTATTTGATTATGTGTATTCAAATTATTTATCATTAGTATACAGTTAGTATCAAAAAAATAAATAATTAAAGGTTGATCACACCATTATGAATTGAAATATAAATTTAATAATCTTTAATAATAATAAAATAATAATATTAATTTAATTCATATAAATCATATTATATACATAATTCAAGGCAGCAGTTTTTCATTAGAGATTAACTATTAAATCTATAGGCATATTAAGATATGATAATATTTGCAATACATCTACAAATACTTATGTAATCTAATCAATAAAAACAAGTTATAATATTTTTAATAGGAATTATATGATAAATTTTGTAACTTTTTTTTGTTTGATTAAAACAGTAAACAATTTCTCATACATATATGCTGTACTTAAACTTCGGTTATAGTGATATTCAATTAATATATTTAATTTAAATTTAAAATACAATTTATGATTTATTTGTTTCTAATAAATTATTAAGTATAAGTAATTAAACAATATAAAAATATAATATTAATAATTACTAATGCTTACTGTGTAATTTGTTAATTAATAAATAAATGGTGCTTAATAATAATTATAATAATATAATGTTCAGGATAAAAAATTCAGACAACATTTATTACAGGACAACAAATCGGTATATAAATAATATTTTAAATTTATACAATAATTACTTTTATACTTTCTTAAATAACTTAAATCTAAACTTTAAGCTATATAAAAACCAATTAATTATTATATGATATTTTAATAAATTAAAAGTATCTTATCTAATATGCCATAAATACTCTATAATAAAATTTATTATTATTATTGTAAACAGTCTCCTCTTTTGTTTTTTAATTCTCATATTTAAATATAATTAATTTTGTATTTAAATTTAAATCTAATTATTATAAATAATAGTTATGATAAATTTAACTAGATTATTTTTTTAAAATGTATATACACTTTACATAAATAGCCTAAATATCATTGTAATGTGTGGTCCATTATAGTTGTGATTGAAATACTGCAGAGAACTGATAAACAAAATAATACTCAAACAATATGTCTATTTGTATTATCACTAATTAGCTGTAATTAATTCATATAATTATACGACTCATTAAAAAAACAAATTTTATGGCTCAGAGAGAAAGAGAGAGAGAGAGAGAGATGCTTAGAGACATAATAATAAAATTTCATTTTATAGTTTCATTATATTTTATTTTGCTAAACTTAGGAAATTAATATGCAATATATATTAATATATATAGAAATAAATTTAAAATTAAAATTTTAGTTTATCTTTAAAATTCAAATAACAAACTAGTACTATAGTTTATATTATTTGTTTGTTTGTTTTTTATTTTTAATTTAAATAAACAAAAGTTGTTTGATTACTTAAAAATTATATAACAATTATGTATATTTATACATCTTTACATCAATATATTTACATAATAAATATGTTATACATAGTAAAACATACTGTATTATCATAAAAATCAAATTGTTCGTATTATCTATATTTTAAAATTAATAATATTAATGTATATCTTGTTTTATTTGCATAAAAATTTATTTATAAAAACCAAATTGAAATTAAGCTTAAAGCTAACTAATAAAAATTATACTTAATATATTTATAATGTCTATATGTTTATGTGAATTTAAATAATAAATAATATAAATAATGATAGTAAGTTTTATATAATGATTTAAAATTAATTATATTTTTTATTAAAAAAACTATTTATCATTTTTTTGTGTAGATTTAAGAAATTTAATTTAGATTTAATTTATTTTCATAATCTGTTGTTCTAAATATGAAAAATTAAATTAATTTTAAAATTGAAACTATTTTTTTGTTGAGTCTGAAGAAAAACAAAATTTATTTATATTTAATTTATTTAATATTTCTGATAATATATCAATATTAATTATATTTTCTAAAATTATAAACATATAAAGAAATGTTTAATCAAAATTTTTAAAAATGTATGGTAAATGTTATTTTTAGTATAAAATAATTGAAGTATTATATCCTATTATTGTATATCATTTAATATAACAGTAGTTAACAAAAACATGCGTATAATCTATGAGAATATGTTTGACATATAATTGATTGAAAATAATAATAATAATAAAATCAAATAAAAATTTTGATAAATATCTTTTACAGTACTATCGAGTGTTTATTCATAAATCAAACATATATTTTTCAACAATAGTTCAAGGCTTTAATATTGCATTGAAGTTAGAAAGAGAGAGAGAGAGAGAGAGAGAGAGAAAATAAAATAATTATTTGATTAATTGAAAAATAAAAAACATAATATAATTAATTAGTTCCCTTTAAATACTATTAATAATAGTAGTATTTATATGATTGAATGCTATTAATTATTTGAATTTAAAAGATATCGTAATAATAATAATGTAAATAACAATTTTCCAGAGTTTCCGAATACCTGATGGGAGACATTGATGTGTCGACAATACCGTCATTCAAGTCGACCGAAAACCTAGTAACAGACTCGTCGTCGCCATCAGCGGTCCTGTCGGCCAATGATATTGACGACCGATTTTTGGCGCTTCCCGAAGGTATTGATCTGGCCTTACATCGGGCAAAGGTCTGGTCAAAGTATACAAAAGATGTTATTTCGTATATTGAAAAACGCACGAACATTGAGGCCGATCACGCGCGCAATCTAATCAAACACGCCCACCAAATGAAATCTATCATCAAAGAGGAGGTAATACTACTTAAATGATTAGTAAATAGTTTGAAATTATAATATTTTTAATTGTTTTTTTTGCAGTCATTTCTTCCTTTTCAATCGATATACTTGACGGCCATCGATCAAGACGTCGAAAACGGCAACTCATCGCTGGCCACGTGTTCTCTATTATTGGGCCATAAGTTTGTTGAGCCGATGAACACGCGTCGCGTTGAACACGAAAAGACACGCAAACAGATCAAAGAGTTGTGGACGCGTGAGCTCAAGCGTATGCACGAAGCGGTCAACACGTTGCGCAAAGCACGCGCACTGTATGTCACCCGACAACAGGAGCTCGAAAAGGCTAAGACTGGACTCAGGACTAGGTTTGTGATGTCATATATAATGACAGACTATTTATCACTATATTATTAATATTATTAGTATTAAGTCATGTCATTGAATATGTTTAATAAATGTGATTAAAATAAAAGTCACATAAATTAGTTTATAAACAGTTTTGCTATATATTTGTTACATTAAATAGAATTAATATACAAAATGTCAAAACATATATGTATTTAATGCAAAGTCAGTGTTTTAACAAACACATGGATAACACTTTTTAAAAATAATTTAATTAACAAATAAATAAAATTATTTTTGTCAATTGGCAGCAGTGAATCCGGCACCGAGTGGTCGGTAGAGAAAATGGACAAAAAGCGTCGGGCAGAAGAGGACGCATCGGTTCGGGCGCGAGAGGCCGAGTTGGCTTATAAGACCAGTGTCCAGGAGGCCAACTATAGGGCCGCACAGTTGCAAAAAGTTAAAAAAGATTTATTGGTCAGAGTCAGAGAGCTGTTATCGGTATGCGAGGGCACTATGAAGACGGCCACCAGTGCCTACTTTCAGTTATGTCATGTAGTGTCCGCACCATTACCTGTTCAATTGCAAAATCTGGTCGACTCTGTACGCAATTATGACATGGGATCGGCTCATATGGATTTTGTCAAACGATTGCCCGAACCGCAGGCCAATCAAACCGCTTTCACGTTTCAGCCACACGTGACCACTGATCACGATTCCAGTGAATCTGATTCAAACTCGTCCTCACCGGCCAATAGTCCGCCCACTCGCGGCCCGTCCGTTGGCGGCGGTATGTTCTCATCGGGCGATGAATTGGAGACCGACCACGACTTTAACAGTAAATTATTTCTTTATTTTCTGATATTTAAGACTTTTTACACTTTTAATTTGTCAAAAAACTTTATAAATTATACTTATTTTAAGTGTTTTCTTATCCCTTAAAACTCATTTATTATAAGAAGCTTTTAACTGAATCTCAATAAAGATTTGTGTTAATTATGTCAGACATACGGAAATGGCATTAATAAAGTAAAAACTTAAATAAATTGAAATTAAAGTTTAATTTGTTGTTTAACAACAAATAAGTATAAACTTTACATATAAATCAATTTGTTTATAATAAATAGATTTTTAATGATAAATCATAGAGAAGTTAATAATTGATTTTCTATAATGTTTAAATTTAAATGACTTTCACTACACTAACTATATTATACAAATGTAAAGATTATTATGACTATATTAATGCATTTTACCACAAAAAAAATTATTTTTGAAAGTTTAAAATAGCAAACATTGCATGAGCGTCAAAAATCAATTACTAAACATGTAATTATTGAAGCAATAAATTACCGGATTATATAAGTATCTAATCTTGTTTTTTGACATTTTTATTATGTTATGTAATATTGTAGACTAAAATGTTGAGATATTTATTAATGTGTACCCATCTTATGAACATATATTTCATTAAATAATAGCTAAATGTTTTCCTATAATCAAAGATAGTTTATTAAAAAAAACTAAAATTAATTATAGCATTAAACTATATATGTTGTTGGCTATAAAATAGCAAATTATATCAAAATTTATAACAGTGTATTAAATTTGTTTGTTGTGTAATGTTTAATAATATTAATATTACTGTATTTGTCATTTTGTTATATATTAATTTTAATGTAGAATTATGTAATATTTTTTTTTGTCTATCGTTTTGTTAGTCAAAAATTTGGTTTATGATTTGATAAACTATTTTGTAAAAGTATTTTATTAATATTTGTTATTTATAGTATTATAAATTTTTTATACTTGACTTTTACCTGTGCTTTACCCTAACAATGGCATTGATAATGACAATCAAAAACTCAAATACAAATTGAAATATAATTGTAATAAAATAGTTACTACAATATAAAAAAAAATAATAATAATATTAATGCTATTCATATTCACGTCTTACCAAAAAAATATGCTTTTATTCAGTCATTCCCTCAGAGATAGGGAAAGTCATTCATAAAATAAAACGATGAAATTTAATGTTAATAATGTTGTTAAACAGTGATTGAAAGTTTTTTTTTGTTAAAAATATTTTTCATTGCTATTTATTGTACGGTATTTGAATAGTAATATTGTTTAGACCGCTTATTCTCTTATATATATTTTAAATTATATTATTATTATTATTATTATTACTTTTTCTTTAACAACATTGACAACTATATTGGATTTGAAATCTCTTTTAATTCATGAAAGAAAAAAAGAAAAAAATCAATTGATTTTTAAAAAATAAATGACAAAAAGTGTTTTTTTTGAAGAGAAAAAGCAAACATTTATTTAACTCTTGTAAAGCCTTGAGAGGGAAGTGATGACAGTTTAAGAGTCTTAAACTTTTTTAAGGCAAAGTTTAAGAAAGTTTAAGTCTAAGAGAGAGAGAGAGAGAGATAGACCGAAAAAAATCAAATTTTTATTTTTGTATTCAAATAATTATTTTTGTTTCTATCTGTGAAATACTTGTGTGTTGTCTCGTGTTAGGCATGAGTTTAAGAGACTTACAAAAAAAGTTAAGTGAAAGTCACTGAATTGTTTAGGAAACACCCGAAACACACAACAAAACTTATTATAATAACTAATATTAACATAAAGATAACAACATGTATCAAATCCTATGTATTTTTTGTATATATAGTTTATTATTATTTTTATTAGTTCATTGATAATCAATGCTAAAAATGTTATTTTTCCAAAAATAACAAAATATATATATATATTATTTTTTAAAAACATCGAAAATGTTAACTATTTTTAATTATTTTCATTTTAATGACATACCAATTGTCAACAACAACAACAATGCAATAGCAGACAGTGGTTACTTCCCGTCCAATAATCGTCCAAAATCATCGACCGGTGCTTTACTGTCATCGGCCCTAATGAGCAAAGCTGCCGAAACCCATAAGTTCCGCAAACTCAAGACACCGTCCCGTTGTCGTGAGTGCGACTCATATGTCTACTTTCAAGGTCTGGAGTGTCTAGAGTGCGGTCTCGGTAGTCATAAAAAATGTTTGGAAACATTGACCATACAGTGCGGTCACGTAAAACTGCCCCGTCGTATGACAACATTTGGTGTAGCACTCAGTGCACAGTCCGATAATAGCGAAGTACCGCTTATTGTTAAGAAATGTATTGAAGAGATTGATGAGAGAGGATCAACCATTAAAGGCATATATCGTGTGTCGGGAGTCAAGTCACGGGTGGAAAAACTGTGCCAGAGTTTCGAGTCGGGCCAGAATCTGGTTGACCTGTCCTCTACACCACCCAATGTCATCGCCAATGTTCTCAAACTATACTTAAGACAGGTATGTGTTTATGTCTTTTTTGTGTAATTTTAAATATAATAAATATCTAAAATAATGTATACCTTATATGGGTTTTGTAATAAAATAATTAGGTTTTAGTTATAGTGAACTTTATTATTATTATAATTTAAACTAATAAAACTTATTTTAAAATAAGTGTGACTAAAATAGAAATTATATATAGAGTTTTAAATTGAATTTATTAAATTAAATTATTATTATATTTTCATAATATATTCAATTTTTATTGTGATTTTAGGATGAGTTTATTATATTTTTATTTTCGTTTTTTTATTGTAATTATTTTAAGAGACTTCCTCTCAAATCAACATTAATATTTAGGTATTAAATTACAAATCTATTACAATTAAATGCAATTCACGTTTACTATTACAGTATTATAGTATAGTATTAAAAGTTTAATAAGTTGTTTGTCATGTTTTTTGTTGTGTTTATTAATGTGTAAAAAGAAAAGTCCTCTTAATTAACATTTTAAAGTAAAATTAATTTTTTGTTTAATAGTTAAGAGATAAAAATGAATTCATTAAACGAGAGTTTATTACAATAGGATTTTATTATCATTAAAAAAACAATTTCGGGATCAGATATTTATAAATAATCTTATTTAGCATTTATTTTGAAAAAACTAAATAATTTCTCTAAAATGTATTATATCTTAAAGTCATACATATAAAGGCATTATATTTTTATTTATACCATACAATAATACAATGTTTTTTAATGAGTGAAAATGTTTTTATAGATAAACAATTATCTGATAGTAATTAGGTGTTTAATAATATATTTTTAATGCTATTTATATTGACTATTGAAATGTTGCTCTAAAGGTTTACTTTGAAGGCATATATATATATATATATAATGATTAGTTGTATTTTATATTATTAATTATACATAAATTATATTTATCTATGATATAGTCTAAATTTTTTGTTTCTATAAATTAATAATAATTATGAGAAAACATGTTTAGAGGAGACAATTATCGATCGATCGAAATATATATTAAGTGTTAGTCAACTTATTAATATTTGTATTAATTATTATATAATCTATAAGAAAATAAATGTTAATAAGTTTTTATTTGTGTGCATCAAAAGTTTACTTTTATTATTAATAGTGTTTTTATTATTATTATTATTATTATTAGAGAAATTTAAACTTACTTTTTAATTTAATCAAAATAAAAAACTCATTAAAAATAGCCTCGTTTTATGAGTTTAGCTGAAAATTGATGTGTGTTTTGTTGACTTTTATTTTATTAGTTTATTTTTTTTTTTTTGTTTTGTTTCTGATTTTAAACTTAATAAATCTTTATGTGATTATTTATAATAATAATTTTGAAAGAGTAATAATATGGCAAAAATCGATTATACATGCGATTGTCTTTATTATATTATTATTAGTTTAATCGATTTTATTTTAGTCATTATTTAATAATATTATTATTATTAGATTTTATTTATTTTTTTTGTACAAAATTATTATTACTGTTTACAAGAAAGTTATCTATCGATTATAAATTCATTGTTTGTTTTACTCTCTCAAAAAATATCAATACTATCAGCTAATAAATCTAAATTACATTTCTGTTAATTATATTAATAGTGAGAATAAGTTTTTTATCTATTATTTTTTGAATTTTAAATTTCAAACAAAAGTTAACAAACAATCGCTGCGACAAAAAATACATTTAAACTATTAGTTTAAATGCTATAAATATAATTTTGAAATTTTGTTTTTAAGCAATATTTTTTTTAGTTACACAAATTTTAATTATTTATTATCAATGCCTATACAGGAATTAGTTTTCTAACGATTTGATAATTAATCTACACTTTGGGCACAATAGATATAAATAAATATTATTTATATATTAAATATACAATATATATATATTTATTTATTTTTATATTTTAAATGATATCCTTGGAACTAACTTTTTTGTTAGTTATTATTATTATTATTATTATTTATATAATCTTAGAAATTGTATTTATTGTAAAATTAGTGTTTTGTTTGCATATTTTTAAACTTTTTTTAAAAATAATTTTAATATATGATATATATTTAAAATAAACTAATAATAATAATAATATATATATATATATATATATATATATATATATATCAATTTGTATATATCTTATGCCGATTGTTTAGCTCCCGGAGCCACTGATGACCTACCGTTTGTATCCCGAGTTCATACACATTGCAAAATCTTTTCCGTCGTCGGAAACGCACGAGACCTCCGACGAAGAGGAACAGGAGATCGTGGCTGAACTCAAACAAGCGGTCAGTCGACTGTCAAAAGTCTATTTCAATACACTCTCCTATTTGATGAACCACTTGAAACGGGTCTCTGAGCTGAGTCACGAAAACAATATGCCCTCAAGTAATTTGGGTATTGTTTTTGGGCCAACACTACTCAGAACTAGGTTTGTATAAAATAATAATAATTGTTTGTTTCATTCAAATAAAAACTTTCATCAATTCATTTATTATCAATAAATATATCGATCACTGACTCCCTCTTTCATCGAATACATTGATTATTATAAACTTTTTTTTGAAGCTTTTAACATTATGTGAAAAAATTATAAATTCATATCTACTAAAACAATTTAAATTAATTTTTATAAAAACTTTTATTGAAATTATATCTGTATAGCGATGGCGACGCTTCCCTATCATCACTGGTAGACACTGTCCATCAAAGTCGACTGATTGAGCTATTGATAACCTATGCCACAGAAGTGTTCGGTTCTGGTGATGAACAACAGGATATGGATTTACTTATCGAAAATTCGCCGAAACAATCAAAAGTATTCAAATCGGCCACTTGTGTGACCATTTCGGGTCAAAAAGTGGTGACCAGTAATAATAATAATAACAATAACAATAATACACTTAATAATAATAACAATGTGAATAGCAAACAAAATTTAACAGAAGCCAGGCGTCAGTTTTTCACATCACCGGCTTCTCCGCCACAATACCGAACCCAAACAACATTAGGATCGACTAACGGCTCTACTGTTACTACAAATTCATCGACAATATCGCCGTTTTCGCAGTCAATCGCTTCATCGCCGACACCGCATCCAAAACTAAGAAGAACCTCATCATCGCAACAGTCATCGTCGGTCAGCGTTGGCGGCGGGACTATAGGTCCCGCAACTGCCGTACCCAATGAGTTGGCCAGATCGGCATCGCACGCATTCACCACTCATACATTTACTGCGCGCAATGCTCACCCGTCCAGACAATATAAATATGTCTGAATTATTAATATATATATATATATATATATAAATCATTTAACGTAATATAATTTAATTGACATTTTATGGTTAACTATATAATCAATTAAATATTATTTGTTGTAAATATAAAAATCTTATTATTATATCATTAATATTAATTAATTTCATAAAGATTTTTTTTTATTATTTATCAATTTGTTTTGTTATATTTTTTGTTTATATATCATAATATATTTGGTTTTACTGTACTTAGTTTTTTTCATTATTTTTAAAATTTTAAATCACTATTTTTAAAATCATCACTTCATTGTCATATTTGATGCCACATATCATTATATAATTTAAAGACTTATAATATATTATTATTATATATAAATTTACTGTTAATGATTTTATCAATACATAATACAAATGCTTAGCAAATAAAATGCTAATAAATAGTTATTTGAAAAAATATTAACAAATATGATTTGTTATTAATAATAACTTATTATAATAAAATTTCAATAACAAATAATATTTATATAATTAATTTTATTTATAATTTAAATTCAGCAAAACGATGGCCTATCGGATAAAACATTAGCACTAAAATAGTGGTCGGCAAATGTTTTGACTAAAAAGTAAAATTCCTGTATTTTTGTCTAAATTGTGAAAATTACTAAAATGTTATGAATAATAAAATAAAATAAGTTTTAAAAATTTGTAAAATTAAAACCTATGAAATATATTGTAAAAAAGTTTATTAACAATAATTATTAAAAGTTCTAATTTAAATACCATAGTTATAATAAATATACCTTAATCAAATTTGTTGTTGACTTTAATATTTTGCTAAAAAAATATTTGTAACAAAATATCTAAAACAGGATAAGATAGTTGTCTATTGTTATAAATATTTATTTAATCAATATAATCCATATAAATATACTAATAGTGATACTAAAAATTTTATAAATGTTTTTATCAAGGTTAAGTAAGAGGGGTAAGACCAAAATACCCCCAAAGATCGAGATTTTTGGATTTTACCCCCAGACTTTTTTTCATCAAATGGGAAAAATTGTCGCTTAAAAACGAGGAGAAATGACCCCCTTAGTATTTTTTTGAAGTTTATGAAAATTTTAATTTTAATTATACTATTTTATTTAATGTTTTTATGTTTTTAAAATATATATGAATCTAATTATTGATTAAAAATAAGTAAAATAGTTAAAATAACGTTAAAACTCATCTAAAAATAACATTAATTTAATTAAAATATTAAACTAAAAAATTAAAAATTCCTTATTTGTTGAAAAGAGTAATCATATTAAAATTAAAATAGAAGCTTAAGATAGTTTAAGAAGTTAGTAAAACAATAAATACTTATATTTTATAGTTTTTATTAATAATTTTTAAAATTTTAAAATTTTTTTTTAAAAATTCAATTTTATAATTAATATAACTAAAACTTGAATTAACTAATTAGTTATCAATCAATATTTGTATAAAAATAACATTTAAAAAATAAAATAGTACTAAATCATATATGATTTTTAAATAAAACATTAGCCTAACATTAATATCCAAAATATAATTGGCAATAAACATGAACATATAATATGCTAAACAAAAATTTTTATAAAAATATTAATAGAAACTTTATATTAATATATGATATATCTATATCTATTTTTTTGTAAATTATTATTATTTTTGAGTTAATTATTAGATTTAATTTTAATAACATATAATTTGTTTAGTTTATTATACAAATGACTAACTGTTAATAATTAAATTAAAACCAATGTTTATAAGTTACTAACAATTTACAATATTTAGCTAAAAGAAAATAATAATTAAGTTAATTTTTTGTTTAAATTAAATAGTAATAATTTTTTAGTTTTTTAAATACTTTTATTGAAAAATTTCTAGAAAATTTCTCTCTAATTACGTCACATAGACACAATGCATTTATTATATTTATATCATAACTAAAGTTAAATACAATATAATTTAATTATTGATTTTTATTGATTGCGAAAAGCATTAAAAATTTATTACAAAGGATGTCGTAATATTAATATTTATGAAAAATTATAATTATTTTATTGATAATATAATTAATGTTAAATTATATTGTATTAAGTTTTTTGACATTATTGTGAAATTATTTGCAATTATTGTAATAAATTAAACTAATATAAATAGGAGTGTAGACAAATAAAATATGATTTTATAAAATTTATTTTAAAAAGTAAGATATAAAAATGTTTAATTTGTTATTTAGATGGATTTCAATTTTGAGTACTAAATATAAAAAATTTGTGTGCGATAATAGCCATAACTTGAATACAATACCATTGTTTGAAAAATTTATGACCCAATACTTAATAGTTGCCCATGATTATGATGATTACATGATTAATAGGAAATGTGTGCACCGGCAGGTAGTGCTAATCTTAGCCAAAATTATTTTATTTTTAGTGGGCATACGATTTAGTCTATCGGCACTCTTCAATAAACAATATATGAAGGCCTGGATGAGTGATCCATTGTATATATTAGGCAATGGATCACTGTTTGCCATAATAACCGCCATATCGGCATTTGTAGTGCTATCCATTAGCGTAGTGGTTCAATACATGGAGTTTCATCATACAATACCAGCTGCTGAGCTCATGTATCAACTAAAACACAAACAACTAATGCTACCATTAAATCATATAAATAATGAAAAATTTACATTACGATTGAGTATAATGATTAAATATTTTATGGCACAAACATTTTGGTTGCTTTTCATATTAACCAATGGTTTCATGATGTGGGCCACAGTGGTTGCCTATCGGGACCCACAATCGGGATTCACACTACCGAGTTGCATGTTTTGGACCATATGCAACATAGTATGGACGGCACAGTTTTATGCTATGGCACCGGTATCTGTAATAGTATTTTACGCTATGGCTGCTTATCTTAAGTTTAAGTTTAGAGAAGTTTACTATTTATTAGACTATAATTTGAAAAAATCAAACTTTGCATTATTAGAGAAATCAATTGCTGATCACAACTATCTGACAAAGCTTACAGTCGGTATAAACAATAATAATAAGTTTATTATATTTGTAGTCTACTATTTCGGTACGCCAGCCATTGAAGCTTTGCTACACATAACCTATGCCGAGGATACTATACCTATGGCCCGATATCCAGTAGCCTTTATATTTGCACTATTGATTGGTGTGGTGTCGATGCTCAATTTGATGTGCACCTGGGTCACCAACAATGCTCATAAACCCTACAAATTAATGTATTCATATACTGCCAGACATAAGTTACCCCTTAGAAAACATTTGAAAATATTGTTATTTATTGAGCGTTTAAGTGGACCAGACATTGGTTTCTATTGTTATAATTTGTTTCCAATGAATAACTATGAGTTTTATCTTTATGTGGCCGGAGTTGTGTCCAATTATTTTCTTATAATTGGTTTTATTTAAGTTTTCAATTAAATTGAAAATAATAATACTTTTATTATAAATAATATCAATACGATTTTTTATAACTCACTTTTCTTATATTTTATTATTTAATAAGATATTATACACTATTTAGTTATGATAAACAGTATTTAATACAATTATTTATATAAATAATTAATTTGTTTATTAAAGTTTATCAATTATTAATTTTATTAATAATTAATTTCAATTACTAAATAACTTATATTAAAATGTCTCATACAATAACAATACATTTTTTTATTATATAATATTGTGTATTCACTAATTTAATAATTTTCGTCAATTTACATTATATTATGACATTTTAAAATTAACAAAAATATAAAATTAATATTATAATAATCATATTATACAGATAACAGAGTATTTATTATTGTATATAAAATCGATTAGTAAAATATTTTACAATATTATTGATTTTTAATAAATTTAATATACTTTAATAGATTAATTAACAATAATACTTAAACTTCAATTAAAATATAATTTTTAAAAATTAAAATCCGTATATAATCATATAATATTACAATTTTAAAAAAATATGTATGGATATAAAATTTATATTATAAATTATGTATAAATTATTTACTATAAAATTTAGTAATGAATATTACATCAAAAATTGCATCAATGTTTTATATAATGTATAATATATGTATAATATTACGGTATATTTACGTAATAAACTGTATAAGTGTATAGTAAATTGCTATTAGTATTACTATTAATAATACACTTATGATAACACATTTGTCATTTGATATCAAGTGTACAGTCATAGAGAGACAGTCTTGTATTTCACTAACTAAACAACTTTATTCAAGTATCTAATTTTATTACAATAAATATTATATAATATTGTCAATTCATAAATTTTCATATATTTATTTTTTTTAATTATCAACTTAAATGTATGTATGAATTAAATTTGAAATCAACAAAAATAATAATATTTAAATTAATATATTAATTATATAGTAAAAAGTATTTGATTATAGTATAATAGAATATATGAATATAAATTATGATAAACTAAATTGATTTTAACTTAATTATTATAATTAATTGTAACTTTAAGTTGACAGCAATGAACGCAGCGATAGTAGGCGGAGAAGTATTAGGGAAAGTATTATCAGATATTCTTCGAGATATCTCTGATAAGAAAGACAAAGAAGAAACGCAAACTATGATTGAAGTAAATCGGTTGAAGGAAATGCAACAAATGGAAAGACAACGGTTTTCAGACTTATATACAATGGCCGGACAACAGATCCACGACCAGAAAAAACATAATAAAAAAATGTATGACAACACCGTTGGATTGGTTAAGTTGGTTGTGGACGGACAGTCAGACACGCGTCGGCTTATGGCTAATCAATCGCAACAATACAGCGACGCACTCATACAGGTTGGCAAACAACACACACAATCACTGGAACTGATCCAAATTGATAATACTGGATGGAGACAATTGCATCTGGATTAATTGAAGTCACAACAACATGACCATAATGAAAATCGTCGGGTCATTACCAGTACCATACAGTTAATGCATGACGATTCAAAGCACCAGGCTCAGTTGCATCAGGCACAATTGGCTGCCATACGACAGGACCATAGTGAACAATTGGTACTAAACAATGACACCCTAAATGTCATCAAACAGGATCACATCAATCAAATTAAGTTGCACCTGGATACATTGGAAGTCATACAAAATACTAACCAAACCAATGCTGATTTACAAAGAAACTCCCAACAATTGATGAGACAGGAGCACCTGGATCAATTGAATTTAATACATAATGATCATCAACGTGAAAATCAGACACTCAAGCAATTTGTTTTTCTCCTAATAGCTGTTATTGTGTTAATGATTGCATTTAAATTTGCTTAAAATATTTCTATCATACTATAAAACATTTAACATAAAAATTTGATTAAAATCTATACTTAATTTGATATAAATGTATTATTAATATTTTTACATGCTAAATTTATTACTATTACGGTATATTAATAATGTATTACAATTATTATGAATTTAGTCTATACTGTAATGTAGAGTACAGTATATAAAGAAATTAAAATTACTGTTATAAATAAAATAAATATCTTTGCTGTTATTTTATATATCATTTTAATATTATAAAATATAAAGTTAAATATTAAGAAAAATTTATAATTTTATGTAATTTTGAATAAATTATTTTCTTATCAGTTAAAAGTTATGAATTTGTCATTGAATTTAATGTATTTAATCTCTTTTTTTGAGTTTTCTGATAATGCAATAATGCTGTGCTATTATTTCTAACTATTAAGTCTTAAATAAATAACATTTTTGAATTTATTATATATAGTTATGTTTAAAGTACAACAAATATGTATTTGACTTTAATACTGTAAATAAGTTTACCAAATTATTTGTAGTTGTAAAGAAAAATTATTGCATTATTAAAAATAAAATAATTGCAATTAACTGATTTTTACATAAACAGTTATATAATATTGTTATACTGTATTGTTGTAAATTATCTGTATTATCAAAAGTTGTAAAATTATTATACCTATTATTTTGGTAACCATTTTGATACTTATGATGAATATGTTAAATAATTATATAATAATCAATTACTAAAAACAAAGTTATAATAAAAGTATAAATTGTTAATGTTATTTTATTAATTATATAATATATGGTATATAAATTTTTAATTATTAATAATAATTAATAATAATAATAATATAATACAGTATATTAATAATACACTAAAGTTTATTATATTATAATTATTACATCTAAAGTGTGTGTTAAACAATGGGCAACAATAAGTCTAAAGAATTGGAGAGAAATAAACAAGAATTGGAGGAAAAAAACAGAGAATTGGTTAGAGTTATGAATAATCGCGACCAGGATTTCGGACAAATGATGAGAGCAGCCGCACAACAGTTCAATGGATTGATGGCTCACTGCAACCAACAGGATAGTCAAACCAAACAAATGGGTCAACTTATTCATGGCGGACAACAACAGCTTATGAATGTTCTACAGGACACTCAGCACCAGAATACTAGAGCACTGGTAGAACTGGGCCAACAACACGACCGATCCATAAAATCGATGAATGATATGCATACTACTTCAATGGACACCATTACATCTATATTGGAACAGTATAGCCAGGATCAGACTCAAGACAGACAATTAATTAGACGTACTGTTGATGTAATACAGGAACAATTCAACGTCAATGTGGCCCTATATGCCAGTTCATTAGATATGGTCAAAAAACAACAAACCGATTACATGAATCTGATTGTGGAGATAATGCAAATATTGAAAACTGACCATGCTAATGATGCAATATTGCAACAAAATGCACTACAAGTAATACGCCAGGACAATTTGACTAATGCACAGTTACATGAGCATACCATTAATGTACTAAAGGAACAGTGTGGCAATCATATGTCACAAATTGGACTGGCTCATTCAAATGAGTTAAAGGCATTATACAGTTTTATTGGTATACTCTCTGTATTGATTATATGTCTGATTGGTATTATTATAAAAATAAGTAAATAATAACATTTGTTGTCAAAATTAGTTATTTTATCTTTTTTTTAAATATGTTTATTCAATATACAATACAATTTTTAATTGCATATTTTTTGTGTGCAACTTTGCATCCAACTATTTTTTATTTACTATAAGTAATACAGTAAATTAAAAAAAATCATTTTATAATATCATATTATATATTAAATTATTGATTATATAATTATGTAAAATAAAATAATATATTGTAGTAAATAATATTATATATTCATTTACTGTAATTTTTACATATATATAATATTTAATATTTACAACAAATTATATATAATATATATTTTTATAAACTTATTAATTATATTTATTATTGTTATGAATATTTAAATTTCTTGAGAGATAATGTTTCCACAATTTTAGTGCCAAATCATTGTATTCTTTGGTAACAATTTTGCCCACCATTTCTGGTCCACAATTTTCGTGTGGATTTGGTGTACCAAACATGCATTTAGACGACCGTTTCGGTGAATATGTGTTATCATATTTACGGTGTTTATCTGGTTTTACACTTTTAGGTTATAAAATATAATAAATTATAATAAATTAAATATAATAAATTATAATAAATTAAATATAAATAATAATATAAATAATTAAATGTTTAGCTTACTATAATAACTTATAAATATATTTTTAATTAATAATATCAAAATAAAAAACTTACAAAAATTTGCTGACATTATCTCCCAAACCAACTGTACTTTTATATAGTTTGGTTGCACTCCAGGACCGGGAGATATCATCCCATAAGAGTTTCATGCCATGAGCGGCACTATCGGTGGACTCGCCATTTAAACCCAACAGTTTGGGCTCTGAATCTAATTGATGACCACTTATTATTAATACAATTGATGAGTAAATTAAACAAATAATACATGTATTAATCAATTGTGAATAACATATACACTTTGCAACAATAGTAGCCATTGGTTCTGTAATAAGTTTTTTATATAACAAAGTTGAATATCAGTTATCAGTCATATCAAACATACAAAAAACCAGTTCATGATATAAATAAGTAGTTTGAAATCAAATGTATTAATTAAATAAGTATATACTGTATCAAAGTTAAACAAAATATTGATATATTTTTTAAAACTTGAAAAACTATTTATAAACACATTTACTTTTCATAGTGAATAAAATTATAATATTTTTTAAGAAAAATCTAAATAAAATTTTTTTATTTTTAATAAAATTATTAGTTGTTTGCTTATTGAAAGTTAATATAAAAATAACTTTATTATAATAAAAATAAGAAAAAAATTCAAAAGTGTAATGACTGTGAAATATTTAATGATTAATATATTATATATAAAAAACCTGATTATATACTTAAAAACTCATATCAAGATTTATGACACTAATTTTCATCGGTTTTTTTCAAAATAATGTTAACTCAAATGAAACAAACGATTTTCAGATTTAGTAAATGACAATATTTTTTATTTAAAAATATCTATAATACTGATTATATAATAAACAATTAAACAATAAGGAAAAGTAAATATTTTGTAAGCATTAGTGCATAATATTTACATAAATTTTCCAATTAAACAAATTTTATAATATATTTTTTCTATTACATTCAATTGTTTTTTTTGAGTTAAATTTAAAAAAATACACTTGATTTATTTTTATAGCCCATAATAGAAACAATATTTAAAATATATTTAAAATGTTGTTAAATTTAAATATATAATATAATTATAAAGTTTATAGTATAAATTAATACTTAAAGTCTAAACTTTATACAACTATAAACTTTATACATTATAAACTGATTTTTATGATATCAAATTGCGTGCAACTGAAACTTGCACTATATTTGTTTTCACATCAAAAAATTATTTTCAAATCTATTTATAGTAATACAATTTATTCAATTTTTATGGTATGCCAAAGTTGCTAACTAATATTCAATTTAATAATATTATAATTTATAAGTCACAATCAATAATAATAATAATAGTATAATAAAACATATCAAAAAATAATTGTTATATAGGACTACTATTTTGAATAAAAATCAATTGTATAATTATTAGTATTATCTGGAGGACAAAAAACTCTAAAATATGTAATTTATTTCCAATTGAATTAATTAAAAAATACTTAGTTTTAACTAATCTAATTATAAAAATGAATGCATAATATATTAATAGTTGATTTTAGTTGTATATATATTATCTTAGATTTAGATAAATGACAGATTTGATTAATTAAATATACATATGTGAAGTAAAGTTATAAATATTGTATAAACCAAATGAATTAAATTTTGTTAATTTAATAATAAACAAATGATTATATATTATATATTAGATTTGTTAAGTTTACAATCAATAACAATAGTTGTTACAGTTGACTAATATTTGACCAAAAAAAACAAGTTTGAATATAACAAAGTTTTGCGCTAAACTAAAAATAAATTGATTGTAAATCAAAAGGTGGCGAAAGATATCACCAAAAAAAGTCAGAATCACATCTATTCTTAAGATAGTATCCATTGTCAGCCATAACAGTATTAAATGTCATCACTAGTCATATGAATTTCTAACTCATTTTAAAAGCTAAATAACAAATTATTATTTTTTTGAAAAATGAGTGAAAAATTATGTTTGTTTTTTGTAATGATTTTAGCATATAGTTATGCAAATGAAATTGGTAATTATTTTAGAGTAGAGTAACTAAAATTATTAATTTAAATAATTACTATATTTTATTTACTATTATGTTTAGTACCAAAACTTATGCCTTTTGTAAAACAAGTAGATCTAAAACACGGCTCATATTTTCAAATACTTTGTACAATACATGAGGGAAGTCCTCCACTTTTCTTCGAGTGGACAATCAATGGACAGACTGTTAAGTCGGGTCCGAATGTCAACTATAAGATCGATAACTCGCGTATGTTCTCAATGTTTGTGATGGAGTCCATCACTAGAGCTGATGCGGCAAACTATACGTGTCGTGTGAACAATGGTGTCGGCACTGATAGCCAATCGGTTGTCCTCTCAATTAAAGGTAAAAACATTTAATATACATAAAAATACTAATGAAAACAAATAATTATAAAAATTTGGTTTATAAAAATATATACATAATTAATGTATTTACTGTATATTATATGGTTGCGTAAAATTGTGAATAAAATTTCTATCTATAAATAAATATAAGCACAAAATCATTTACAAACAAACAAAAAATTAATACATTTTATTATACGATTGTTTCATCATATAATAAATACCGGTAGTATAAAAACAATCGTATAATAAACTGTATTAATTTTTTGTTTGTTTGTAAATGATTTTGTGCTTATATTAATAATAAATAAAAAGATACATAATTTTTCATAAATAGCTATAATCAAGAGTTTGCAGAATAACATGTTATGTTAAATAATAAAAACTCAATTAATTTATTGGTTTAACTTGATACACCAAGTATCAAGTATAGTTGGTTAAAATAACCAAAACTAATAATTAAAATTTAATAAAAAAAAGTGTCTAGGACACCCGGTATTCCCAGGTGGTGTCCCTCCCAAGTACTAACCGGTCTCAACGCTGCTTAACTTCGGTGATCAAACGAGAACCGGTGCTTTCAGCGTGATATGACCCTAGACATTATCAATAGTTTAGCTAGATGATTTTATTATTATAATATATTATATCAATTATAAATTTGTTGAATTAACATTTATTGTGATGTCATTAATGTTATTCCAAATAAAAAATTTAATAATATTAAAATATTTTATTTAATGATTAGTAATAATTTTATAATTATAGTCTTTTAAAAATTATAATAGTTAATACTATTTAATTGATTGATGTAAATATTATATATAATGATTTTACTGTTTTAAAAATGATTAAATCAATTACAGGTCTTACAGTTAGATTAAATATATTTAAATATGAGTATATTTTGCGCTTAAATACAAATAAATTGATTGCAAATCAAAAGGTGGCGAAAGATATGACCAAAAAAATCAGTATCACATCTATTCTTAAGACTGTATCCATTGTCAGCCATAATAGTATTGTTGTCATTCATATGTAATTTTTTGGTACTTTAATTGATAATACACTAAATATCTCACAAAATAAGTGAAAAATGTATTCAATATTATATATAATTTTGTTATCAATCAATTTTGTTACAAATGCTAGTATAACAGGTAATGAATTTAGAAGATTTATTTTGAAATAATAAGTAATGTGAATATGTATTGATTGTTTAGTACCAAAACTTATGCCATTTTTAAGTCAAATGAGTTTAAAGGAGGGCTCGCTTTTTCAAATGACTTGTGCCATACAAGAGGGAAGTCAACCACTTTTCTTTGAGTGGGCTATTAATGGACATTCAGTTAAACACAGTCCTGATGTCAACTATAAGATTGATAATTACGAAACGTTTTCAATGTTTGTCATAAAGAGTATCACTCGTAAAGACTCCGGTAATTACACGTGTGTTGTGAGGAATGCCATCGCAAGTGACACACAATCAGTGATATTATCCATCAAAGGTTAAATTATTTATAAAATTATTATATAATATATGCTATAAAAATATCAAAAACTTTATGCAAATGCTATAATTAGTATTACAATGTGTTACGCACTGTAAGAATCGGTAGTTAATATATACAGTAAACTTACAGTTTTCATATAACACTCAAATAGTGGCGGTTTTAACAAACATATTGAATGTCAAACAAAAGGTGGCGAAAGATATGTAATAAAAATCTATTAAATATGTTATATATCCATAAAATTTTATATATATGTCAGCCATTAGACTAAAGAACACACAGTATAATACTGTAAATAATCTTAAGATAAATTTTTAAAAATGTTTCTAATATTTTACTTATTACTATTAATATCACAATTAATGATTACTAGAGCATCTGGTATTGTATTTTTTTAAATGTTTGATATTTGACAACTAATTGATAAAATTTGTTTCAACAATAGCTCCTATATTGAGTCCATTTGTAAGTCCTATAGAGCTAACAAAGGGGACTACATTTCGCGTTTTGTGTTCAACTTTTAAAGGATCCGAACCTCTATTTTTTGAGTGGAAATTGAATGGACAGACAATTAAGTCCATTCCTGATGTCAACTATAAGATTGAAACGAGTAATGAATTTTCAACATTTAGTATCAAAAATATTGAAACAACAGATGCGGCCAACTATTCATGTATTGTTTCCAATACATTGGGAACTGACTCACAATCAGTTGTTTTAAATATTAAAGGTTTGATTTTTCTGTAATTTTAAGTCAATTGATTTTTAGTATTTGATTAAAATTTTATAAATTAATATTGTTTAATATTAACTCTACAAATTTGTAAAGATAGATAGAGTAACTAATAGACTGCATATTAAAGATTTCAGATAATATTAATTTATTTTTAAAAATGTCAAAATTGCTTGTTTTTTAAGTTTCGACTAACTATTAACATTTAAAATGTTGAGTTAAGCGCCACAAACTAAACACATTGTTATTATGAATCAAAAGGTGGCGAAAGATATTCACAAAAAAATATATCAATTGATTTCATTGATGTCAATGTGTCGGCCATTAGTTGATAATCATATTTTAACAAAAAATATATCATATATTGTTTAAAATGTATTTAAACTCGAAATCATTACTGTCTTTATTTTGTATTTTATATATTAATTTTGCAATCATAATATGTGGTATGTTTGTTACACACAAATTATTAATCATTAAAACTAATTATTTAATTTAAACTATATTTAGTACCAAAACTATCACCAATACTTAAATATAAAAATCAAACAATTGGTACATATTTTGATATATATTGTTCAATACAATTGGGATCACTTCCCATATTCTTTGAGTGGACTAAAAATGGACACAAATTAAAGTCCACTTCTGATACCAATTATAAGATTGAAAGTTCTCAGAGGTTTTCTACACTAATCATTGAAAGTGTTGCCGAAAGCGATGCCGCAAACTATACGTGTGGTGTAACTAATGCTTATGGATCTGATAGTCAATGGGTTGTACTGTCAATCAAAGGTAGTGTTATTTTATATATATATATCAAAAACTATTAACCTAAATAAGTATTGGTCAATTATAAATATATCTAAATACGATTATGATAATTTACATATTTAATTTTATTTATCTTTTTAAAAACTTATAGTCTACAATATAATATACTCTATAATATATATGTTATAAATATTTATTGATATTTGCATAATAATGCATTTTTTAAATATACAAATCGCTTTAAATAAGATATAACTCTTATAACTTTACAGTTTTAAAGCAATTTAAAAATACTATAAAGTTATAGTATTAAAGATTAATTTATAAAAACAATATGAGTCAATTGTGTTATAAAACATATAACATATAAGCATCATCATTTACTTTTAATATTGATATAATTTACATTAAACATAAGTAAACCATTGTTGATTATTTTCGCTAAAATTTCTATATTTTGTAGAAAAAAAGTCTTATAAAATTTATATAATTGTGTTATACATAAAACTATAATATTGACATACAACTAGTGATACTATCTATTAAAGGTTAGATTATTTATTAAACTTTTATATAATATATACTATTAAATCAACACATACTTTATACAATGTGTAACATATCATATTATAAGATCGGTAGTTATGATATATTGATGAAAATTGATTTAAAATACAATAAACTTATGATTCTTACAGTTTGCTTGAAGTATAGGATTAAAACATAATATATATAAATGTTTATTAAATATAATATATAATGACATGAATTGTGAATCTGAATCAATATGTGGCGCAATATATATGTCATATAATGATAATCCATTGTCGGCCATAATATTATCACATTATTAACAAAAAATTGTTTATTATTAGTAAAGCAAAAATGATTTTGATATCAATTGTATTATTGTTGAATTTTCAACATTTTATATATTGTGTCGATATATTAGGTATATTATTTGAATATATATATAAATAATTAAAACTAATTTAATACAATTTAATGTCTAAACATATGAATAGTACCAAAATTAGCTCCATTGCCATCACGGACTCAAACTCATGGATCATATTTTCATGTGTTTTGTGCCCTTCAAGAGGGATCACTTCCAATATTTTTTGAGTGGTCTCGTAATGGACAGACACTTAAGTCCAGTCCTAATGTCAACTATAAGATTGATAATTATGAAAGACATTCAACTCTTTCAATAGCAAGCATTACGAGCGCTGACGTCGGGAACTATAGCTGTTCGGCAGCTAATGCTATGGGAACTGATAGTCAAACGTTTCGACTGACAGTTAAAGGTTTACATTTTGATTATTAAATTTGTAATCTTATATATTAATAATATAATTATCAAATTAAACGCATTGAAAGCAATTAAAATTTAATGATTTTTCTAAACTTGTAAAATGTAAACAACTGTAAGATTTTGCACAAAATATTTTTAAATTTTCACTCAAATAGTGGCGGTTTTGACAAACAAATTGAATGGCAAACAAAAGGTGGCGAAAGATACTGTATTTCGCAAAAAATTTTTAGATATATTATTTGTCGGCCATTATATTTCATGTGATCTTTGATTCTTTAAAATTTAATTATATATTTTGAAAAATGTTTTGTAAAATATTTTTATTACTATTGTTATCTAAACAATACCTAACATTTACTAATGAATTAGAAGGTATTTATTTAAAGACAATAATTGTTGATAATTACCGGTACTAATAATTTCTTATAATAGCTCCTAAATTGAGTCCATTTGTGAGTCCTATTAACCAAACTAAAGGCAAAACATTTCGTGTTTTGTGTTCAATACTTAAAGGATCCGAACCGCTGTTCTTTGAGTGGCAATTGAATGGACAGACAATTAAGTCCAGTCCTGATGTCAACTATAAGATTGAAACGAGTAATGAATTTTCCACATTTAGTATCAAAAATATTGAAACAACAGATGCGGCCAACTATTCATGTGTTGTCTCCAATACATTGGGAACTGATTCACAATTAGTTGTCCTAAATGTTATAGGTTTGATATTTTTATATTTAAATTATGAGATTGCATTGAAATTATTGAAATTTTTATATTTCGTTTAAATTATATTAATGATTAATTTGTTTTAACATCTATTTCTGTTTTAACATATATTCTTATAAAACTTGAAATTTCAAATTCTACATAAAGTTTAATTTAATCTAAATTATTCAAAAACGAAATATATGTTAATATTTAAAATGTTAAGTTAAGCGCCACAAACCAAATACATTGTGATTATGAATCAAAAGGTGGCGAAAGATATTCAACAAAAAATATCCATTGATTTCATTGATGTGAATATGTCAGCCATTAGTTGATTATCACATTCAAGCAAATTATTTTAAATGCTATTGATATGAAAATGTATACAAACTTTAAACATTCACTTTTATTTATATTTGTTTTATATACTAATTATATGATCATAATATCAGGTATATTTTCAAAGTACTTAATTAATTATAAATATTAATAAATTAATTAAATCAGATTTAGCACCTAAACTATCACCTATTGTTAAATATAAAAATCAAAGTATTGGTACATATTTTGATGTGTTTTGTTCAATACAATTGGGATCATTGCCGGTATTTTATGAATGGTATAAAAATGGTCAGTCAATCAAATCTAGTGTCGACACTAACTATAAGATTGAAAATGCTAAGAGACTGACGACACTGACCATTGAAAAGTTGACCGAAAGCGATGCCGCAAACTATACGTGTAGTGTTAACAATGCTTATGGATCTGATAGTCAATGGGTTGAACTGTCAATCAAAGGTATATATATTTAGTTTTTTTTTTGCTTTATATATACTGTATGAGTAAATTAATGATTACCGTAAATTCATAAATTAAGATAGATAAAGTATCTTAAGTATCATAATTTAATTAAACTAAACTTGAAAAAGTTAATATATATATGACTATGAATTAATCATGCTCATTTTAAGTACTATGTTTGTTATATAAAAATGAATTTACTAAAGTACTCCGATTTAAAAGTAGAGTAAAATATAAATATTATAAAAATAAAATAAAATTTTGTTTTTTTACGAAAAAAGGTATCAAATATTAAATAAATATTATGTTACAGTTTACTCAATATATACTTATTTAAAAACTTGTCTAAAGCGCCAAATGAAGACATTATGAATGGCAAACAATATGTGTCACTATTGTAGACATCAATACATTTACTTTTGATATCAATTATAATCTTTGGTTCAAATATATGTCAGCCATTGTTGAATATTTGATGTGATTTTGAATGAAATGTTCATTTAAGATAAGATGTATAATAAAAATTTTGTCATTGGATTAAATTGTATAATAATTACAATATTTAGTGTAAAATGTCAAGATTTTACAGGTATTTATTAAATGATTATAGGGTTTGCCTATAAATTATCTAAAATACTTTACCATTAGTCCCAAAGTTAGCACCTTCAGTTAGCCACAGGAGCCAAACTGTGGGCACATACTTTCAGATAACATGTACATTACAACAGGGATCGGGTCCTATTAATTTTGAATGGCATAAAAATGGACAGTTACTCAAATCGGGTCCAAATGTTAACTATAAGATCGATAATTTTGAAATGTTTTCAACATTTACCATAAAAACTATCGCAAGACATGATTCCGGCAATTATTCGTGTTTTGTAAGGAATCCTATGGCAAGTGATTCACAATCAACTGTACTGTCAATCAAAGGTTATATTTCTATTTATAATTATTACAAACATAAGATAAAAATTATAAATTACATATATATAGGACTGTCAAAAGTATGATAAGTCTGAAAGTGATAATTTAGTATTATATGTAAATTAAATGTTTAGTACAACTAATAACATGAATTGTCTTAACCGCCAATTGATAACATTATGAATGGCATTCAATGTGTGGCGCGATATCTGCTTTTAATTTTTTTGGGTAAAAATGTATTTCAATTACTTTTGACACCATTGTTGTTATTATAGTATCAATTTAATATCTCAATGATAACATTTACAATATATTTTTTAATCATTTAAATTAAAATGCATTTAAAATTTATTATATTTAATATATTTGTTAAATTGCTATTTATAAACTACCATGATACTCAGCAATTGACGGGTATTTGACATTATATTTATTATTATCTTATGATAAATATTATAATGCATTTTATTATAGCACCAAAATTAGTGCCATTATATAATAGAAACCAAAGTATTGGTTCATATTTTCAAGTGTTGTGTACAACACAAGAGGGTTCACTTCCTCTACAGTTTGAATGGAAAAGAGATGGACAGACACTACAGTCCAGAGCAGACACTAACTATAAGATCGAGAACTCTATCCGATTCTCGACGCTTACTATTGAAGCCATTGACACAACCGATGCCCATAACTACTCGTGTGTTGTCATCAATGGTATCGGTAGTGATACACAATATGTTGTACTTAATGTTAAAGGTTTGACATTATATCTAATTAAAATAGTTATTTAAAACTTATGTTAAACAATTTATATAAATGTTTTGCAATTATTTTGTATTTAAATAATTATAAAATTATTAAGCTATAAGTGGTTTTTAATAATAATTTTTATACAAATACTAAATTATTCAATAATTGATATATATATTCATAAATACTGTTTGATATAAAACTCTTACAGTTTGTGAAAGAGTAGTAAATAAAACAATTTTTGTTAAAATATAAAATAAATTGATTGCAAATCAAAAGGTGGCGAAAGATATCACCAAAAATGACAAACAAATGTCATTTTTTATATTCTTAGAGCTATATTGTCGGCCATAACTGTTAACTTATTTTTTCATAATTTTCTTTAAACTGAATATACGGTATACTATAATAAATATGTTGAAATATATACTAATTGTTTGTGTTTTCAAACTGATTGAATATATTAATTCAGCCCAACTAATAGGTATTAGAAATAAAAAACTATTTAATAAAATTAAAATTAATAAAATAATTATATTTAGCTCCAAAAATAAGTACATTTTTGAGCCAAAAGAATCTAAAAGAGGGCTCATATTTTCAAATCACGTGTACTATTGAAGAGGGAAGTCCTCCGATTTTCTTTGAGTGGGCTATTAATGGACAGACAGCTAAACCCAGTCCTAATGTAAACTATAAGATAGATAATTATGACATGTTTTCAACATTTGTCATAACGAGTATCACTCGTAAAGACTTCGGTAATTACACGTGTGTTGTGAGGAATGCCATCACAAGTGACACACAATCCGTTTTGTTATCCATTAAAGGTTTGGTTTTATTTAAATAGTAAACTATATAACTGTAATAATAATAATAAATAATTTTGAAAATTCATATTTTTTTATTAATTATTCTATAATTACTATATAATCTCAAATACTGTTTGATTAAAAAAAACTTACAGTTTGTGATGAAAGAGTTTTTCTACAAATATTGAATACAATATTTTATATATTAATGCCAAACGAGTTTTTCTATTTACTACTCTATATATTATTTAATAATTAAAATTTTAAAAATTAGACAATATTTTTTGTTATAAATATAATAAAATAATAATATAAATTATTTATATTGTTAGTGATTAAAAGCTTACAGTTTGCAAAAAAAATAAGTATATTAGCTATTTTATTATATAAATTTATATATAATATATTAAATTGATTGCAAATCAAAAGGTGGCGAAAGATATCAACAAAAAATGACAAATAAATATCTTTTTCTGTATTCTTAGAGTTATATTGTCGGCCATAACTGTTGTCTTATTTTTAAAAAATAATTTTGCAATAATTTTAAAAAACCGATAATATGTTAAAATATATTTTAATTGTTTGTTTTTTCAAACTGAGTGCATATACTAATTCAGCCCAACTAATAGGTATTATAAATAAAATTATATATATTATAATTTAAATTAAAAGCATAAATATATATTTAGCTCCAAATATAATGCCATTTATGAGTCAAAGAAATCTGAAAGAGGGCTCATATTTTCAAATCACGTGTACTATTGAAGAGGGAAGTCCTCCACTTTTCTTTGAGTGGGCTATTAATGGACAGACAGCTAAACCCAGTCCTGATGTTAACTATAAGATTGATAATTACGATATGTATTCTGCATTTGTCATAACGAGTATCACTCGTAAAGACTCCGGTAATTACACGTGTGTTGTGAGGAATGCCATCGCAAGTGACACACAATCCGTTTTGTTATCCATTAAAGGTTAGCAATCATTAAATGAAAAATATATTTTCAAAAAAAAAACAATTATATGTTTTGTTGCAAATTTATTTCTATTACATAACATTATATAAACACAATTTGATAATATACTACACATCTGATAGAATATTTCATTATATAACTAAAAAACTACATATTTTTGGTAAATATATTGAATGTCAAACAAAAGGTGGCGAAAGATATCATATAATTCTTGTTTTTATTTCTGTCGATAATATACTTTATATTTGTTGTATTTTTTGTTTGTCAGCCATTACTTCAATGATGATATTTTGTATGACTGTTACTAAATATTTATGCCGTATAGAAAATAAGCAATGATGCAAAAAATTAGCATGCTTATATTGTTGATTATTGTGTTAACAAATTTCAATATTATTTCTACCAATATGTCAATAGGTATTTATAAATATAGTATAAAAATCTAAGTTTTGATTTTAATGTTTCAAAAAATTATTAATATTAGCACCAAAATTGACTCCACTATTGAGTCCTAGAGTTCAATCCAAAGGCACATCTTTTCGTGTTTTGTGTTCAATACTTAAAGGATCCGAACCGCTGTTCTTTGAGTGGCAATTGAATGGACAGACAATTAAGTCCAGTCCTGATGTTAACTACAAGATTGAAATGAGTGATGAATTTTCCACATTTAGTATCAAAAATATTGAAACAACAGATGCGGCCAACTATTCATGTGTTGTCTCCAATACATTGGGAACTGACTCACAATCAGTTGTCTTATCAGTTAAAGGTTTGAAGATTTTTATACATAGTTTTTGACAAAATTGTCTAAAAGTCTATATAGTATTTTTGATGTAATACAATAATATCATATTTATTGTAATTAATTAACTGCTCTTTGACTATAAGCTTGCATTCAAAGATATATAAAAAAGTTTAGTTATGACTTAAATACAACAATTTTAGCGCCAAATAATAAACAAATTGATTGCCAATCAAGAGTTGGCGAAATATAGCACCAAAAAATATATTTTCTCTTTTATTATACTGTATATCATATTTGATACCATTTTCGGCCATAACTTGAATTTGTTATTGAAGTGATAAAACAACAATAATAATAATCATGTGTTACTTAAGTAAAAGTATCTGTTTGTTAATTATTACTATTACCACGTATTATAACTTAACATTAGCCTCGGGTATGAATAATACTTATTAAAATGTTTTATAATAAAAATTATTATATAATATAATATCGATTATAAATTAGCTCCAAAACTGACCCCATTGTTGAGTCCTCGTAAACAAAACAATGGTTCACTATTTCAAGTGTTTTGTTCAGTACAAGAAGGATCAGGTCCTCTATTTTATGAATGGCAAAGAAATGGACAAACAATTGAGTCGTCCATTAGTGATGTTAACTATAAAATTGCAAATTTTCAAAGTTTTTCTACATTTACTATCGAAAGCGTTTCGCCAAAAGATTCCGGAAATTATTCCTGTTTTGTAAGGAATATCATTGCAAACGATATTCAAACAGTGATTCTTATTGTTAACGGTAATCATTATATTTATTATTTTATTAATTATTTACTATTTTATTTTTTTTTAAATTTAATATATTAGTAAAATTAACATTGTTAACTTATTATAATAATAATAATGCTGGCTTTAAATTATATGATTGAATGCAATAGTTTTAACCCTAAGCGCCAAAATTGAAACAAATTGAATGGCAAACAAAAGGTGGCGAAAGATATCCAAATTCATGACTTAAAACTCAATTATATATTATTTGCTCTTAAAATCATTGTTATTGTCAGCCATTGAATCGTTTTTTTGTTAGTTTAACGGATTGTCTGAAAAAATGGATTATTTAAATAAGTTTCTAATTTTGTGTGTATTTACAAACTGTTTCTTTTCAATTAAGTCTAATGTTGTAATAGGTATTAACAATAAATAATTTAGTATCAATAACTTTGATCCTTATTTGATTTTTCATATGAATTATAGCACCAAAATTGATGCCATTATTGAATCATAGAAATCAAAAGTTGGGATCAATTTTTAGAATAACCTGTTCTCTAGAGGAGGGCTCACACCCACTAATTTTTGAGTGGTCTAAAAATGGACAGACATTGAAAACTGTTTCTGATAATAATTATATGATTAGTAATTTTAAAACTCATTCAACATTTACTATTGAAAATATTAAACGAGACGATTCCGGTAACTATACGTGTGTTGTACACAATGGTATGGGAAGGGATAGTCAATCGGTTGAACTAACTATTAAAGGTATTTCAATGATTGATATAWAGTATTTGTATAATTTATAGGCAATAATTAAAAAGTACATAAATTTTTTATTCAAAACTTTTATATATAACAATATATAAATTTACAGTTTTATACAAAAATTAGTATTTCAATTTTAATAATACTACACTATCATTGATGGCATTAATTTATCATTGAATTCAATAGTTTCAATCCTAAGCGCCAAAATTGAAACAAATTGAATGGCAAACAAAAGGTGGCGAAAGATATCCAAATTCATGACTAAAACTCAATTATATATTATTTGCTKTTRAAGTCATTGTTAATGTCAGCCATTGACTCGGTTTTTGTTGATTTGTATATCATTTGCAAGTTTTATGATAAAAATGAATAATTATAATAAGTTTTTAATTTTGAGTGTATTGTTWAWCAATATCTTTGTAATTAAGTCTAATGTTGTAACAGGTATTGAATGAAATAATATATTTCAATTAATATAATTASTAATTTGATATTCATATATATTATAGCACCAAAATTGATGCCATTATTGAATCAAAGAARWCAAAAGTTGGGTTCATTTTTTATAATTAACCTGTTCTCTAGATGAGGGCTCAYACCCACTGTTTTTTGAGTGGTCTAAAAATGGACAGACATTGAAATCAATTTCTGATACAAATAATAATTATGTGATAAGTAATTTCAAAAGTCATTCAACTTTTACCATTGAAAGTATAATACGAGACGATTCCGGTAACTATACGTGTGTTGTACACAATGGTATGGGAAAGGATAGTCAATCAGTATTGCTAACTATTAAAGGTATTTTTTCAAATTATAATTATATTTTAAATTAATAATTAAGCTATTAGTTTCATACAATAGCTTCAAATATTTCTTACAATTATGAATTTTCTATAGTATAGAATCTATACTACAGGTATATGTCGATATAAAACAGTATATTTATTGAATATTTATGATATACGGTAAATATTTGCAKCAAATTWATGTCCAAATTGAGTCCCGTATAGAATACTATTTTTAAGATTTTTAGTCGATATTGATAGTATATTTATTATATTGATATAAACCGCCAAACAATTGCATTATGAATGACAATCAAAGTGTGTCACTATTGTACACATTCATGAAAAATATATGTTTTATCAATTCTTASATTTTTKATATTTTGTCGGCCATTATATCATTTAAAGTGATAAAYCAATTGWACAATAAGTGAKAAAAATGTTGATTTTTGTGRTAWTCTTATTGTTTCTWAATATTAACAATAAATCAGGTATTATATTGAAAACKTAAGCCTATATTTCATTTGATTTAATTTCTATAAATTTATTAAATCAGCCCTAAAACTATCGCCACTCGTTTCTCGGACACAAAGCTTGGRTTCATATTTTCAGATAACRTGTAMTATACAGGAGGGCACACCTCCTTATTTCTTTGAGTGGGCTATTAATGGCCAAACAGTCAAACCGGGACCCGATGTTAACTATAAGATTGAAAATTATGAAATGTTTTCAAYRTTTGTGATTAAAARCATTGTCATAACCGATGCGGCAAACTATACGTGTTTTGCCAAAAATGACATCCAATCTGACATCAAATTTGTTGTCCTCACTATTACTGGTAATTTTTAAAATATATTTTTGTTGATATCAATAATATAAATATATACTGTATATATTATAGGTTTAAGTACTTATGAATGCTAATAATTGATTTTATATTAAAAATTTATGTGTTTTACTATTAACATTTACTAAAAGATTTGCAAAAATTGTTATTTAAATCTATATAATAAGCGCCAAATTATTTCATTATGAATGGCATTCAATGTGTGGCGCAATGTATCCAAAAAATATGTCTGAATCTTATATCAATTGCTTATACTATCTATTGTCAGCCATAGTATTACTCCATTAGTTGATTCATAAGATATGTTAAAAATGAAAGTTGCAATCATTGTGTTTGTTATTATAACAAACATATTGTATATTAAGTGTAAGGATTCACAAGGTATTAATTAGTAGATAATATATATTTCATAAAAATAAGACAATAAAAATATTATTTATTTAGTACCTAAGCTTAATCCATTGAATTCACGACAACTAATAGAAGGATCATATTTTGATGTCTATTGTTCAATACAATTGGGATCACTTCCTGTATTTTTTGAGTGGACTAAAAATGGACAAAAATTAAAGTCCATTTCTGATACCAATTATAAGATTGATAGCTCTCATAGATTATCGACTCTTATCATTGAAAGTGTTGACAAAAGCGATGCCGCAAACTATACGTGTAGTGTCAACAATGCTTATGGATCTGATAGTCAATCGGTTTTATTAACAATTAAAGGTATTTCTAATAATATTATTATAATATATAATATAATTCTTTACGAAATTATTAYTTACAAAAAATACTTTTACAATACTAAATGATTTAATACTATAAACTGTATGATTCTTACAGTTAAATAGCTCTTACAGTTTGCTTGCTTTCTATATTAAATATAGATGTTTAGTACTATATATACTATAATATATTATTTCATGAATTGTGAATCTGAATCAATATGTGGCGCAATATATATGTCATATAATGATAATCCATTGTCGGCCATAATATTATCACATATTACTTGAAGTAAATATAAATATTCAATTTTTTTTGTTGATACCTATTATTTAATAAATATTGGTAAAATGATTATTTTAAACAAGTTTTTAATATTGTTTGTATTATCAAACAATTGCTTTGCAATTCAGACAAATGATGTGACAGGTATTGAAACAAATAATACTTTTGTGTATTTATAAGTAATGATTATTTAATATGAAATATAGCCCCAAAATTGATGCCATTATTGAATCATAGAAATCAAAAGTTGGGATCAGTTTTTGTAATGACATGTTCTCTAGAGGAGGGCTCACACCCACTGTTTTTTGAGTGGTCTAAAAATGGACAGACATTGAAAACCATTTCTGATAATAATTATGTGATCAGTAATTTTAAAAGTCATTCAACTTTTACCATTGAAAGTATTAAACGAGATGATTCCGGTAACTATACGTGTGTTGTGCACAATGGTATGGGAAGGGATAGTCAATCGGTATTACCATCTATTAAAGGTATTTCATTATTTATATATTTGTATAATTAATATATTATATAATTAAGTAGAAAATATATCATTTTTATTTATTTAAAAAATATATAAATATTTTTACGGATTGCTGTAATTGTTATAAGTTTTGAATTTATTTTACTAATAATTGTGAATCTCATACAAAGTGTGTCACTATATTCGACACTATATTACAGATATATCATTACTTTGGCTTCTCTTACTTAGTCAGCCATTGTTTATCTAAAAATTCAATTTTATTATTTAACATCTTATAAAATGTTTAAAATATTAGTATTAATTTTGATTATATTTAATATGAAGATATGTGTTATCACAACATCAGGTATATATTGATTATCAAAAGAGAAATTATAAATAAATAATTTGTTAAATTGTTTGATAAATAGCGCCTAAAATTAGTTATACGGGTTTAACACATAAAACACAAGACATTGCCTCTAATTTTCAAGAATTTTGTTCACTTGAAAGAGGTTCACATCCCGTGTTCTTTGAGTGGTCCAGAAATGGACAGACATTCAAACCGGGACCGGATGTCAACTATAAGATCGATAATTTCAAAATGCACTCAACATTTACTATTGAGTCGATATCCATGAGTGATRTCGGGAACTATAGTTGTGTTGTTAGCAATGCTTTCGGATCCGATTCTCGCAGTATTTTGTTATCCATTAAAGGTTTGATTTATTGCTTATTATTATTTTAAAGTATCTATAATTAACTACCGGTAAATAGTTGTCTATCTTTTAACTTAGACCATTAAATATTGTTTTTAATAATTTTTCCATTTTTAACAAGATTTTTATCAAATTTATTATTAAAGCAATATTTAAATTCTAAACTAAACCGCCAAATGTTAACAATATGAATGGCAAACAATATGTGTCACTATTGTAGGCATTATATCATTACTTCTTTTATCCATTTGATCCTAAATATAATGTCAGCCATTGTATAGTCATATTACAAATGTTATCAAAATGTCTTTAATATCAAATTTATATTTATTGTTACATTTGTTTTCAACATTGACGCAATGCATGAAAGGTATAATTAATTATAGAAAATACAATTAATATAATATGATTTACTGATGATATTATATTAAATTAGCCCCAAAACTGATATCACAGCCGAGTATGAGAACCCATTCCGAGGGTTCATATTTTCAGATATCATGTACAGCACAGGAGGGCTCACTTCCACTGTTTTTTGAATGGTTTCTTAACGGACACTCACTTAAGTCGGGTCCAAATGTCAACTTTAAAATTGATAATTTTGAAATGSTTTCAGTATTTACCATAAAAAGTATTAGAAAACATGATTTCGGTAATTACACGTGTGTTGTGAGGAATGCCATCGCAAGTGACACACAAACAGTTCAGCTTTTAATCAAAGGTTTTTAAATATTATTTATTATGTATTGTTTAAAAATATTACTTTTTACTCTATAATTAATTAATACAATTTGTAATAATATGTCTTAATTGGATATAAAATTTTAATTCAATTTATACAAATCTATTATATTGCACAGCTATCATATATTTRTATATTTTAACTTACAGTGTGTACACAATTTTAAAAGTTTTAAGACTTTTATTTCTGAATCAATGTGTGGCGCAATTGAACCATATATTCAATGATTTTTTTGTCACTATTATTATCAAATGGCAGCCATTTATTTTATAGATTGCATATAATTTATTTATATCAGAGTTTGTATATATTATTATTATTATTATTATGAATCTATTATCAATTATCTGTTTATTATTCACATTTGACTATTCAATTGGTAATGTATAAAGATTTAAGTATTAATAGAGATAATAATTAATTGTAAATATAATTTAGGTCTTAAATTAGTGCCATTATATCCCTATCCAAGAACCCAAAAGGAAGGTTCATATTTTCAGATAACATGTACTATACAGGAGGGAACACCTCCTTATTTCTTTGAGTGGGCTATTAATGGCCAGAAAGTTAAATCTAGTGCTGATGTTAACTATAAGATTGAAAATTTCAAKAAATWCACGACATTTTCAATCGATGAACTCRCCAGAAGTGATGCCACAAACTATACGTGTTTTGTGAGGAATTCACACGCATTTGACAGCCAGACAACTGTCCTTTCAATTAATGGTTTGTTGTTATAAAAAATACTTAAAATATTTTATCACATTTAAAATCAGTATCTATAAAATATTTGAAAATTATATATTATTATTCAATATATTAATTGTTTATCATTATTAAATTAAATCTATAATATTAATATTTAATRCATTGCATAGCGCACTGTAAGCCTTACAGTTTTGTTGATATATCACTAATTGTTTAGAAGTTTAACATGTGATCAATCATTTGATTGTAATTTGATTTTAGTATTTGAAAAAATATTTGAATTCTGATTCTATGTCCAAATATTTAAAAGTTTAATATTTAAAAAAATATGAATTCCGGTATATTTTTTACTTGTTTTGCATTTTTCTTTATCATTGATTAAAAATATAGTCAAACAATCAATTGTGAATCTCATTCAAAGTGTGTCACTATATTCGACACTAAATTTATATAGTTGTATATATTTTCTACCAATTGATATGTCAGCCATTGTTTGTGTAAAATATATGATAAATAAATTTTCGGTTTGACTTCAAATATGATTTTCAATTACAATATTTTTGTTACAATAGTATATTTTRGTGTCATATATCAAATTGATTTGATTAACACTTCTGGTAATTATGATTATAATAAGTATCAATAATTACAGTTATTATATAAATATTTATTTCGTATATAAATAGCCCCTAAATTAAGTTCTGGATTGAATCACAAAAATGTGATAATTGGTTCAAATTTTATGATACTATGCAATACAGAGATGGGATCACATCCACTATTGTTTGAGTGGTCCAGAAATGGACAGACACTTAAACCGGGACCGGATGTCAACTATAAGATCGATAACTTTGAAATGCACTCTACTTTTACTATTAAATATGTATCCATGAGTGATGTCGGGAATTATAGTTGTGTTGTTAACAATGCTTTCGGATCCGATTCTCGCAGTATTTTACTTACTATTAAAGGTTTGAATTTATTAAAATAAGATTTTAATATTTGATTATATTTGTCTAATAAGAAAATAARCRCTAATTGARTTGAATAATTGTTATATTATTTGAGAAATGATTAAACAATTTAAAGTTTTATTCTATTATATCTATTATATTAATACTGTATAAACCGCCAAACAATTGCATTATGAATGGCAATCAAAGTGTGTCACTATTGTACAGAAAAATATCCAAATTATCAAATATTTATATATCTATACATTTGTCGGCCATTATATCTTTGTATTGAATTGCAGTAGTTTTAAAAGCAATGATAAAAATGATTATTTTTGTGATATTCTTATTACTTCTCAATATAAACAATATATCAGGTATTGGTTAGAAAACGTTTAATAGATGTTAAATTATTTTTTAATTATTAAACATTTCTTATATCAGCCCTAAAATTAACACCACTTCTATCTCCTACACAAAGCTTGGGTTCATATTTTCAGATAACATGTACTATACAGGAGGGCACACCTCCTTATTTCTTTGAGTGGGCTATTAATGGCAAAACAGTCAAATCGGGACCCGATGTTAATTATAAGATTGAAAATTATGAAATGTTTTCTACATTTGTGATTAAAAGCATTGTCATAACCGATGCGGCAAACTATACGTGTTTTGCCAAAAATGACATCCAATCTGACATCAAATCTGCTATTCTTACCATTACAGGTACCACTCATTTATTATATATTTCACAATAATTTATATTATTATGTGACATAATTTGATATTTATTCATTTATTATATAATAATTACAAGAAATATTTATATATTTAATTAAAATTAATTTACTTATATATATAATATAATATTATTGTTATGAAAGTTTAACCCTAAGCGCCAAAATTGAAACAAATTGAATGGCAAACAAAAGGTGGCGAAAGATATCCAAATTCATGACTAAAACTCAATTATATATTATTTGCTTTTGAAGTCATTGTTATTGTCAGCCATTGACTCGGTTTTTGTTGATTTGTTATATTTAAAGATTGTCTGAAAAAATGAATTATTTAAATAAGATTTTAATTTTGAATGTATTGCTAAACAATTTCTTTGCAATTAAGTCTAATGTTTTAACAGGTATTAAATCCAATTATATTTTTGTATTAATATAATTAGTAATTTGATATTCATATATTGAATATATTATAGCACCAAAATTGATACCATTATTGAATCAAAGAAATCAAAAGTTGGGATCAGCTTTTGTAATAACCTGTTCTCTAGAAGAGGGCTCACACCCACTATTTTTTGAGTGGTCTAAAAATGGACAGACATTGAAAACCATTTCTGATAATAATTATGTGATCAGTAATTTCAAAAGTCATTCAACATTTACCATTGAAAGTATCAATCGTTATGATTCCGGTAACTATACGTGTGTTGTACACAATGTTATGGGAAGAGATAGTCAATCAGTATTACTAACTATTAAAGGTATTTTGTTATTTCATTCAATATATAATATTTTTATTATTAAATAAAATTTTATGTAAATTTGATACCTATTGCACTGTAAGGCTTACAGTTTTGAAGTTGATATATAATAACTAATAATAACTGTATAAAAGTAGAACATGTGATCAAATGTAATTGTAAATTGAATATAGTATTTAATATTTATTATCTATCTAATTAAATGCTTTATTATTTTAAAATTTTAACATATATTTTTTAAAGTGTATTAAAAATATAATGTTTTATTAATGATTCAATTGTTAATCTCATTCAATGTGTGTCACTATATTCGACACTAAATTATAGGCATTTATAAAATTATATACATTTTTAGCCAATTGATATGTCAGCCATTGTTAGACTAATATATATGATGAATAAATTGTCGGTTTGACTTTAAATATGATTTTCAAATACAATATATTTGTTACAATAGTATATTTTTGTGTCATATATCAAATTGATTTGATTAACACTTCTGGTAATTATGATTATAATAAGTATTAATAATTACAGTAAATATATAAATAATATTTATCTCGTATATAAATAGCCCCTAAATTAAGCTCTGGATTAAATCACAAAAATGTGATAATTGGTTCAAATTTTATGATACTATGCAATACAGAGATGGGATCACATCCCCTATTGTTTGAATGGTCCAGAAATGGACAGACACTGAAACCGGGACCGGATGTCAACTATAAGATCGATAATTTCAAAATGCACTCAACATTTACTATTGAGTCGATATCCATGAGTGATGTCGGGAACTATAGTTGTGTTGTTAGCAATGCTTTCGGATCCGATTCCCGCAGTATTTTGTTATCAGTTAAAGGTTTGAATTTATTAAAATAACATTAGATTTATATTAAAAATAATAATCTTTATTATAAATTAAACAAATTATGAAATTACGTAATTGAAAAGATTTATTTTCAAATTAAAGTTTTATTATAAAATATTGAGTATCTATTATATAATTTATATTAATACTGTATAAACCGCCAAACAATTGCATTATGAATGGCAATCAAAGTGTGTCACTATTGTACAGAAAAATATCCGAATTTTCATTTTTTATTCATCTAATCATTTGTCGGCCATTATATCTTTGTATTGAAAAACAGTTGTTTCAAAAGTAATGATAAAAATGATTATTTTTGTGTTATTTTTATTACTTCTCAATATTAACATTATATCAGGTATTGGTTAGAAATGTTTAATCCATATTAAATTATATTATAATTATTAAAACATTTATTATATTTAGCGCTAAAACTAACACCACTTCTATCTCGTACACAAAGCTTGGGTTCATATTTTCAGATAACATGTAATATAGAAGAGGGAACACCTCCTTATTTCTTTGAGTGGGCTATTAATGGCCAAACAGTCAAACCGGGACCCGATGTTAACTATAAGATTGAAAATTATAAAATGTTTTCAATGTTTGTTATTGAAAGCATTATATTAACCGATGCGGCAAACTATACGTGTTTTGCTAGAAATGACATCCAATCTGACATTAAGTCTGCTATACTTACTATTACAGGTACTTATTAGTTATTAAGTATTTTAATACATAAATTTATATATATTATAGGACATAATTTTATATTTATTAATTTATGACCTAATAATTACAAGAATATATTTTTTTAATTATATAAAATCCGTTATATAATATTATTGATGTGAAAGTTTAACCCTAAGCGCCAAAATTGAAACAAATTGAATGGCAAACAAAAGGTGGCGAAAGATATCCAAATTCATGACTAAAACTCAATTATATATTATTTGCTTTTGAAGTCATTGTTAATGTCAGCCATTGACGCTGTTTTGATAATTTCTGTTATAAGTTATTTAATATAAAAATGTATAGGTTTTTAATTTTGATATTTTCAAGTTATATCATATCAATTGATTCGAGTGCTGTTAAAGGTATAGAAACAAATGATAAATAATTATAATATAAATACAGTAATCTTTATTTTAAAATCAATTATAGCACCAAAATTGATGCAATTATTGAATCAAAGAACCCAAAACTTGGGATCTGTTTTCAATATAATGTGTAGTGTAGAGGAGGGCTCACACCCACTGTTTTTTGAGTGGTCTAAAAATGGACAGACATTGAAAGCTACTTCCGATACTAATTATAATATAAATAATTTGAAAACATTCTCGACTTTTACCATTGAAAGCATAATACGAGACGATTTCGGTAACTATACGTGTGTTGTACACAATGGTATGGGAAGGGATAGTCAATCGGTTGAACTAACTATTAAAGGTATGAAATCATAGACTTTAATATAAAAATGAAAGATTATTAGTTAGTAGTTTCATATCTTTATTTGATAATTAAGTTTCAAATATTCATTCACTAAATTGTATTTTATTTAGTATTATTATGATATTCCTAACTAAAATTTACAATACAATTGTTAATCTCATTCAATGTGTGTCGACACTATAGATACTGTATTATATATTTACTGTATATATAAATAAGTATAAAATATTAAATAATCTTTTGTCAGCCATTGTTTGGCAATCATTAATAAGACACTAAACATGAATGTGTTTGAAAAACATTGTTATGTTATAATTTTATTGATATATTTGTCATTTATGATTAAAATTCAATGCAAACGCTCTATAGGTAAAGATATTGTTTTTAAATATAATAGTATTTATATTAAAATATTTGTCACAAATAGCACCCAAATTAAGTATTAGGGGATTGACTCACAAGAATCAGACAATTGAATCCATTTTTCAAATGCATTGCGCTATAGAAGAGGGAACTCTTCCCGTATTCTTTGAGTGGCAAAGAAATGGTCAAACACTCAAAACCAATGATAAAACTGAATATAAAATTGAAAATTCAGAGATGTCTTCATTGTTTAAAATTAAATCTATATCCATGAGTGATGTCGGGAACTATAGTTGTATTGTAAACAATGCTTTTGGATCCGATTCCCGCAGTATTTTACTATCGATTAAAGGTTTGATTTATGTATATAATTAATTTTTATTAATAGTTTTAAAAAATTACTAATTAAGGCATTTTAAAAGCTTTACACTATTGTTTATGTTTGAATATACTACTATTTAATCATGGTCAAATAATATTTTCAATTTTTACTCAAATATAATATTAATATAAACCGCCAAACAATTGCATTATGAATGGCAATCAAAGTGTGTCACTATTGTACACATTCACAAAAATATTTGTTTTATTCAATTCTTACTTATTTTGTCGGCCATTATATCATTACAACTGATTTCAGATAAACTCGTTTCAGATATGATGATAAAAATGTTAATTTTTCTGCTTTTATTGTTTCTAAATAGTAATTATAGTACAGGTAATGAATTTAATAATRAAATATATTTTTCAATAAATAAATCTAAACTATTTATTCATTGAATTAGCCYTAAAGCTAACTCCACTTTTTCTCGGACACAAAGCTTGGGTTCATATTTTCATATATTATGTGCTATACAGGAGGGCAAACCTCCCTTTTTCTTTGAGTGGGCTATTAATGGCCAAACAGTCAAACCGGGACCCGATGTTAACTATAAGATTGAAAATTATGAAATGTATTCAACGTTTATAATTAAAGCTATTGTCGTAACCGATGCGGCAAACTATACGTGTTTTGCCAAAAATAATTTACAATCTGATATCAAGTCTGCAATTCTCACTGTTACAGTTATTCATTAGTTATTTTGATTATATAGTTAATTAAAGTTATCTTTGTGTTATTGGTTTAGCTCAAAAAATAATTTACATTAAATTATTTAGTTTGAATATTACCTGTATTTAAATTTATTTTAAAGAAAATTTGATTTAAAATGTATGTATTGAGCGCCAAATTATTTCATTATGAATGACATTCAATGTGTGGCGCAATGTATTCAAAATGAGTGTTAAATCTTATTATTAAAGACTTGCAGTGATATAACAATTCATATCTATTGTCGGCCATAGTTTGTTGACTYTATTGTTATTTAAAATATTATAAAAATGGATTTTATAGTTGTTTTCTTGTTTACAATGATAAATATATTCAAATAATATTAATTGCAGCGAAAAATCAGGTATATAACTGAATATATTATCAAAAATATATATTAAAATTGCTATTATATTAGTTCCCAAACTCGATTCATTACATCCTCGACAGTTAACTCAAGGATCATATTTTAGTGTTTATTGTTCAATACAATTGGGATCACTTCCCATATTCTTTGAGTGGACTAAAAATGGACACAAATTGATGTCCACTTCTGATAGCAATTATAAGATCGATAGCTCTCAGAGATCATCGACTCTTATCATTGAAAGTGTTGCCGAAAGCGATGCCGCAAACTATACGTGTGGTGTCAACAATGCTTATGGATCTGATAGTCAATCGGTTTTATTAACAATTAAAGGTATTTTTAAATATTCATTTTTGATCTCATCTTAAATTATATCAATCAAATGGTCATATTTGATAATTGACATATACTTTACAGATTAAACTAAAAACTGTACGCATCTTACAGTTTGTGCATTGCTTACAGTTTGCATTTTTTWTATATATTTGTTATTTTTATAATATATGACATGAATTGTGAATCTGAATCAATATGTGGCGCAATATATCTATGATATACATAAAGATGATCAATTGTCAGCCATAGTTTGCTTTTTATTATTATTATGTTAAAATTTTAAACTAAAATTGTCATAATATAAACACTATATTGACATGGTTTTAATAATAGTGATTYTGATATTGTTGAATTTTCAATGCTATTTATATGGCAGCGATATTTCAGGTATAATAATAAATAACAATTACTATTATGTTATTTACTAAATATGATATATTATATTAATATAAAATTAGTACCAAAACTTCTACCATTGAACTCAAGAGTTTTATCTAAAGAATCATATTTTCATCAATTTTGTGCATTAAATGATGGATCACTTCCTGTATTTTTTGARTGGACAAGAAATGGACAGACAATTAAGTCCAGTCCTGATGTCAGCTATAAAATAGATAATTATGACAGACATTCAACACTGATAATTGCCAGCCTTGCCATCACTGACATCGGGAACTATAGCTGTTCGGCAACTAATACTATGGGAACTGACAGTCAAACATTTCAGCTATTAGTTAAAGGTTGAGTTTTTATAAATACTTTTTAATGTATATTTAAAATTTAAATTTATGTTTTTACTATAATGTAGTCAATGAGATATTCCAAAACATTAATTTTATTACTTAATGTATTCAAATTATCTCATGTTATATGATATATACAATTATAAGATTACAGCTTAATGTTGAAATTGTTACTAAAATGCGCCAAACATTATCATTATTAATGGCAGACAATATGTGTCACTATTGTACCAAACAATTGATTATATAATATTTGATGGCATTTAACTTTGATCTCTCAAAATTGTTTGTGTCAGCCATTATTAATTTAACAGTTTATGAGAATATTTTTAAAAAAGCTTTAAAAATGTTTTTTATAATTAATATTATTATTATGTGTTTATTTATTATTTATTGCAATCAAGTATCAGGTATTTACAATAGTAATTCAATATTATTTTGAAAATATATAATTAATGAATGCATATAATATTAGCCTTAAAATTGGCACCGTTTAGTCCACGGCTTCAATTGGAGGGCTCATACTTTGGGATTATGTGTTCAGTTATAGAGGGCTCACCCCCACTGTTCTTTGAGTGGTCACGTAATGGACAACCACTTAAAGCCGGTGCCGATACTAACTATAAGATCGATAAGTTTGAAATGTATTCAATGTTTACTATAAAAAATATCGATAGAAATGATTCGGCAAACTATACTTGTTTTGTAAACAATGATATTGAAAGCGATAGTCAATCGGTTTACTTATCTATTAAAGGTTTGATTTTTTTTATTTATTACAAAACATATATTTTATAAAATATACTTTATGTAGAATTGAATATTTAAATATTATTAATTGCAATGTAATGTTTTCATTTGTAATTATTTAAATTGACAGAAGTTTAGAATTTTTTTAAATATATATTTTTAGACATTTTTGATTCAATTGTGAATCTCATTCAAAGTGTGTCACTATATTCGACACTAAATTCATGTATTTTTTATATTTTTCTATCAATTGATATGTCAGCCATTGTTTGCCTATAAATTAATATAAGTGTCGGATTGTTTTAAATATGAGTTTAATTCAATATATATGTTTTAAACTATGTTTTTTAGTTGTATTTCAACTAAATTTAATCAACACATCTGGTATTTATAATAATAATGATTATCCATATTTCAATATATGAGTGTTAATACATTTTATGTATAATTAGTACCTAAATTAAGCTCTGGATTGAATTACAAGAATCAGAGTATTGGTTCAAATTTTTTGATTGTATGCAATACTGAGGAGGGATCACATCCTCTATTCTATGAGTGGTCCAGAAATGGACAGACACTTAAACCGGGACCGGATGTCAACTATAAGATCGATAATTTCAAAATGCACTCAACATTTACTATTGAGTCGATATCCATGAGTGATATCGGGAACTATAGTTGTGTTGTTAGTAATGCTTTCGGATCCGATTCCCGCAGTATTTTACTTACTATTAAAGGTTTGATTTGAAAATTTATTCTAAATTATACATTTAAAGTTAAAAAATTATTTATATATATATATATATAAATTGCATAATTTATTTTAGAATATTGTACTCTATTACAGCTGGTAATGATTATATATTTTACAGTTTTCCTATATCTTGTTATTTAAAATCTACAGAAAGCGCCAAATATATGAAAATTGATATCTGAATCAAAGTGTGTCACTATTGTACACATATTTTACAATCATTTTTATTAATATATATCTGTTTATTCTTCAGTTGTTTCAATCCATGTCAGCCATTGTTTGATATTCAATACTAGTGTTAATTATACACGTATTGGTTAAAATGAATTACTTAATCTTAGTTATAATTTTTATTAATTTACAATTATTAACTGGTAATATAAATTGACAATTTTATTTTTTAAGTATTAATATTATTTCCATATACTCTATTAGCCCTAAAATTAATACCAATACTTAATAACTTAAATCAAGCCGAGGGAGCAAATTTTCAAATCTTATGTACAGTTCAAGAGGGTTCACTCCCTTATGTCTTTGAGTGGTCACGTAATGGACATATACTTAAATCTGGTCCTAATGTCAACTATAAGATTGATAATTATGATATGTTTTCAACATTTGTTATAAAAAACATTTCTCGCAATGATTTTGGCAATTATTCATGTGTTGTGAGGAATGATATCACAAGTGATACACAAACAGTATATTTGACAATAAAAGGTATAATATTATAGATTTATTTATAATACATTATAAAAGTTTTGTCTCTATTTTTATGTATATCATATCCTTAATAATATAAGTAATACATTGAATTGATTGTATGATATCTAACAATTACTGCATTACTTAATGGCTTACAGTTTGCTTTTTACTGTATGTCTATTCAAAATAGCAATGAAAGCGCCAAATATATAAAAATTTAAATCTGATTCAAAGTGTGTCACTATTGTAGATATATTTACACTATTTTTTATATATCTTTTAAATCTTCAGTTGTGTCAATTCATGTCAGCCATTGTTTGAATATAATAGTTGAATAACATATGATTAAAAAATGCTTTGCTTTAGTTTAATATTGTTTTTAATTAAATTACAATTTTTATCAGGTATTTAAAATAAGTAATATATTTTTGGTGAATATCTAATAATTCATATCTTTTAATTAGCGCTTAAATTAATGCCAGTATTGAGTAATATAAATCAAGCTGAGGGTTCATATTTTCAGATTACATGTACAATACAGGAGGGTTCGCCTCCCTATTTCTTTGAGTGGTCAATAAACGGACAAAAGGCTAAACCAGGTCCTGATGTCGACTATAATATCGATAATTTTAAAAGATTTTCAACATTTACTATCGAAACAATCACTCGTAAAGATTCCGGTAATTACACGTGTGTTGTGAGGAATGCCATTTCAACTGATACACAATCAGTAATTCTTACAATTAAAGGTAGATTCAAAATATCTGTTATAATATTTATATTATATGATATATTTTACAAAAACTTATATTATAAATAATAAATTTATTGTAAGAAATACTTTTTTTCAATGCCTAGAATTTATCGATTTTTAAAATTTTCAATTTATTTAATGGAGTTTTTTTGTATTTTGAATATAATTTAATTTACTCCAAACTTTATGCCCATAATTGTGAATCTCATACAAAGTGTGTCACTATATTCGATAGTATATTACAGATACAGACATAATATTATTATTATTATTATTCATTTGCCATCATTTGCTTTGTCAGCCATTGCTATAATAAGTCTTATAAAATCAATTTAAAAATGTTAATATTTAGTTTGTTTATTGTTGTGATTATTAAAGTAGCAATAATTAACTCGTCAGGTATTTAGAGAAATAATACATTGAATGTATTTTATATTATAAAATTAACCCAATTATCTTAAAATAGCTCCGAAATTAAATTCCGGTTTAATTCATAAGAGTCAAGTGATTGACTCTATTTATCAAGAATTCTGTTCACTTGAAAGCGGATCACTTCCTGTTTTCTTTGAGTGGTCCAGAAATGGACAGTTACTCAAACCGAAACCGGATGTCAACTATAAGATTGACAATTTTGAAATGTTTTCCACATTTACCATTAAATCTGTATCCATGAGTGATATCGGGAACTATAGTTGTGTTGTTAACAATGCTTTCGGATCCGATTCTCGAATGATTTCACTCARTATAAGAGGTTTGATTTGATATCATTTTTAATTAAAATAATTTAATTATTAAGAGTACTATAAAAAAAACTATGAAATGTAATTAAAATATATTAAATTAAATTATTATAAAACATTCATTACTTAACCACAATAACAAAATGTAAATTATTACAGATTATCAAWAYTCTTACAGTTATTAGTATACAGTTATACTACAAAAAGCGCACAATTATATGAAAATTGATATCTGAATCAAAGTGTGTCACTATTGTACACATATTTTGCAATAATTGTTTTGTAAATCTTTTAAGTCTTCAGTTGTGCCAATCCATTGTCAGCCATTGTTTTTACATAATATTATTGTTGGCTTTACTTTATTCAAACAAAATGTTGAGATTGTGTTTAGTTATTGTTTCAATTAATTTTATATATGTAATCAATGCTTCAGGTATAATGTATATATTAATACAGTTTATTATTATCAAAATTATTTATTATTATAAATTATTTCAAAATAGTCCCTAAATTGAGTTATCCCGGTTTGAATCATAAGAGTCAAGTGATTGCCTCTAATTTTCAAGAATTTTGTTCACTTGAAAGCGGAACACATCCCGTGTTCTTTGAGTGGTCCAGAAATGGACAGACACTCAAACCGGGACCGGATGTCAACTATAAGATCGACAACTTTGAAATGCACTCAACTTTTACCATTAAATCTATATCCATGAGTGATATCGGGAACTATAGTTGTATTGTTAGCAATGCTTTCGGATCCGACACTAGATATACTTTGCTTTCCATTAAAGGTATGATTTTAAATTTTTTGAAGTAATCTATTATTTATAATTTTAAATGTTAGACAATCTTAGTCGTAATATCCATCGATTATATATTTAAAAACTGAACTAAAACCCCAAATGTTAACAATGAATTACAATGTCGTTATCATATTATTACTTCTATTATTCATTTGATCCTAAATTTAATGTTAGCCATTGTATATGACAATTGTGTTATATTACAAGTTATAAATATGAATTTAAATATTAATATTATACTMTTATTATTATCTATTATTKTTTATATTTTTAAATTGAAATGAATCAATTAAAGGTATTAATTCTATTGTTTTTATTATTGTAATATTCAAWTCAGATTARAAATTTTTAAAATTAATGTAATGTTTAAGAATAATAAAAGTTTATTCAAACTATATCTACAATATTGTGAATCTGAATCAAAGTGTGTCACTATATTCGACACTATATTTCAGATATCATATATACTTTAAATGATTACTTAATTTGCCATAACTTACTCTATCAGCCATTGTTGTAATTTTTATATTTATTTCTTTAAAAATGTTTAAATTTAGTTTAATGTTTATTGCKATCATTGAAATAACTGTAATCAATGCATCAGGTATTTAGAGATAATTGAAATATATTGTATATTTTATTTAMTAATTTATCTCAAAATAGTTCCCAAATTAAATTCCGGTTTAAATTATAARAGTCTAGACATTGGCTCTAATTTTCAAGAATTWTGTTCAATAGAGAAAGGATCRCATCCTATATTGTTTGAATGGTCCAGAAATGGACAGACACTCAAACCGRRATCGGATGTCAACTATAAGATCGATAATTTCAAAATGCACTCAACATTTACTATTGAGTCGATATCCATGAGTGATATCGGGAACTATAGTTGTGTTGTTAGTAATGCTTTYGGATCCGATTCTCGCAGTATTTTACTATCAGTAAAAGGTTTGAWTTATTGTTTTTTATATTATTATTAAWTAATATTATTTATCTGGTTATATCAATACTTTATAAATTTTTAATATACAATCTATTWTATWAAATAAGTTAAATATAAATTATTAGACAATTTTTAGATCAAWTATTAAAATAAGTTTATACTAAAAGCAATATTYAAAAGCTGGACTAAACCGCCAAATGATAACAATATGAATGTTAAACAATATGTGTCACTATTGTAGACATCATATCAATTATTCTTTTATCCATTTGGTCCTAAATTTTATGTCAGCCATTGTATAAGTCAGATCACAAGTGTTATAAAAATGATGTTTATATTAAATGTCTATCTATTWTTGCTTTCGTATATAAATATAAGCGAATCCATGAAAGGTATTAATTATTTTACAGTTTTTATGATGAATTCACTGATAATTTATTACTCAAATTAGCCCCAAAACTGATATTACAGCCGAATATGAGAACCAATTCYGAGGGTTCATACTTTCAGATTATATGTACGGCACAGGAGGGCTCACTTCCACTATTTTTTGAGTGGTCTATTAATGGACACTCACTTAAGTCGGGTCCWAATRTTAACTATAAGATCGATAATTTTGAAATGTATTCCGCATTTACCATAAAAAGTATTACAAGACATGATTTCGGTAATTACACGTGTGTTGTGAGGAATGCCATCTCAAGTGACACACAAACGGTTCATCTTTTAATCAAAGGTTTTTAAATATCATTTCAATTGTAACAATTAATCTAATTTTTAACATAATAGATGACAATTAATTTATTAAAAAGTATTACAATCTTAATATATATAATTAAATATAAACTGGTGAAATATTTTATACATTTGGYTTATAAGATATAACAATGTGGTTATAAAAAGTTTTAACAATTTTATTTCTGAATCAATGTGTGGCGCAATTGAACCAAATATTTAATGATTTTTGAGATCATAATTGTCAATATCAGCCATTTATTTCTTGGTTTTCAACTATAGTTATCTATATATTCATATACTTATGTGAATTTATATGTAATAGTTATGGATTTAATAAACATCTTGTTGTTATTTATTTTTATTGACTATTCMTTCGGTAATGTATTAACTAATTCAATAATTTTTTTAGACAATAATTATTTAATGAATATAATTTAGGTCTCAAATTAGTGCCATTATATCCGAGAACACAAAAAGAGGGTTCATTTTTTGTAATAACATGTTCAATACAGGAGGGCACACCTCCTTATATTTTTGAGTGGGCTATCAATGGCCAGAAAGTTAAATCTAGTGCTGATGTTAACTATAAGATTGAAAATAACAACAAATTCACGACATTTTCAATCGATGAACTCACCAGAAGTGATGCCACAAACTATACGTGTATTGTAAGGAATTCACATACATTTGATAGCCAGTCGACTGTCCTAACAATTAATGGTTAGCTATTTTTTCAAATACTGTATAATATTATATTTATATAGTATAATTAAAATTATAAATGTATTACACAAATTTTCACAATTTTCATTACTATAATAGATTTATCAGAAGTATAATAAATCTATTTATATATTATTTTAAGTTTGTGTAAAAGCACTGTAAAAGTCTTACAGTTTATTTTTTATTACATATGATTACCTCAATCATGAAAATTGTTTGCCATTCAATATGTGGCGCAATGTATTCAATAAATCTTGAGTTAAATAAAATATACTATATTTACTGTATTTTAAATATGTCTGCCATTTGTGTTTCGGCTAATTTTTTGTTGTGATTTTTAAACAAAATACAATTTTTAAAAATGTTTATCTATAACTATATTACAATTTTATTGATAATATTTATTAAAAATATTAGTCTATCTACTTCATCGACAGGTAGTTAAGTTATGAAATATTTTTTTTATAAATATTTTATATAATGAAGTATCTATTGAATAGCTCCGCGATTAGCAAAAGTGTTGTCAAATAAAAGTCAAACTGAAGGATCAATTTTCAATACTGTTTGTTCACTAGAAGTGGGTTCACAACCCGTTTTCTTTGAGTGGTCACGTAATGGACAGACACTTAAAGTCAGTTCCGATACTAACTATAAGATTGAAAATTCAAAAATACATTCAATATTTACCATTGAAAGCATAACTCGCAATGATTTCGGTAACTATAGCTGTATTGCTAGGAATGCTTACGGATCGGACACACAATCAGTTCAGCTATCAATTAAAGGTTTATATWTTTAAAAGTTATTTTTTATTATRATATTATATACGATAAATATAAGTAATAGACTATAGCAAGRTATATAAAAAAAGTCAAAAAAAWTCACTGCAACTATTAGTATTTGTTGTAMAATTTRTATATTATATAAGAAATTACAGTGCATTTGATTTTGAYAATTATTTATAAATGTTTTTTATATTTTGTATACAATTGTGAATCTCATTCAAAGTGTGTCACTATATTCGACASTWATTTTCAGACATTGAKATATTTTTTATATAGTTATTTACCAATTGATATGTCAGCCATTRTCTAAAWTATTCATCTATTTCTATRTCTGTGTTAAATATGATTTTAAATAAGTATATATTTGTKWTAWTATGTTTTACTTTTATAATTCAAATTGATTTAATCAACACTTCTGGTATTTATAAATGAGTGATTATATAATTATTTGAATATATGAATGATATTCAATTTGTCTATAAATAGCTCCCTAAATTAAGTTCATGGTTTAGTCACAARAATCAGATAATTGGTTCAWAYYTTTTGATTGTATGCAATGCTGAGATGGGATCACATCCGCTATTTTTTGAGTGGTCCAAAAATGGACAGACGCTTAAACAGGGATCTAATGTCAACTATAAGATCGATAACTTTGAAATGCACTCWACCTTTACTATTAAATCTGTATCCATGAGTGATGTCGGGAACTATAGWTGTGTTGTTAGCAATGCTTTYGGATCCGATTCYCGCAGTATTTTGCTTTCAATTAAAGGTCTGGTWTTWAAATTTATTGATATTTTTGAWAGTAATCTATTTTTAATAACTWTTGTTATTTACAAATAATCAATTTTAAATATATGAYAAWTTTAGTCATTACCGGTATATCTTAACTTATCAACCAATTRTATATTAAAACATTATTTAAAAATGAACTAAACCGCCAAATGATAACAATATGAATGTTAAACAATATGTGTCACTATTGTAGACATWATATCATTACTTCTTTTATCCATTTGATCCTAAATTTTATGTCAGCCATTGTATAAGYCAKATKACAAGTGTTATAAAAATGATTTYAATGTTAAATTTCTATCTATTTTGCTTYCGTTTATAAATTTAAGCGAATGTATGAAAGGTATTAAYTATTTTAAATTTTTTATGAGTTTTAATGAGTTAAATTTATTGATCATTTATAACCCAAATTAGCTCCAAAACTGATATCACCTCCGAGTGTGAGAACCCATTCCGAAGGTTCATACTTTCAGAGCACATGTACGGCACAGGAGGGTTCACTCCCATTATTYTTTGAGTGGTTTCTTAACGGACATTCACTTAAATTGGGTCCAAATSTTAACTATAAAATCGATAATTTTGATATGTTTTCCGCATTWACTATAAAAAGTATTACTCGTAAAGACTCCGGTAATTACACGTGTGTTGTGAGGAATGCCATCKCAAGTGACACACAATCGGTTCAGCTATCAATCAAAGGTTTTTAATTATCAWTTCWATTGTATTATTATATAGAAATTWTAACTAATTGTTATAATAATAATTTTAAAATCTATTAAAATATATAATTATGTATTWACCGGTAAAATATTTTATTGAGTTTTTTAACKSTTTGTTTATAACAATGTATAATATTGTATAACAAWGTTTTAACAATTTTATTTCTGAATCAATGTGTGGCGCAATTGAACCATATATTCAATGATTTTTGAGACCATAATTGTCAATATCAGCCATTTATWTCTTAGTTTTCAAATTTAAWTKATCTAATATATACARTATTTGCAACTTTTGTGTATTTTATTTAATAATTATGGATATAATACACATCTTGTTGTTATTTATTTTKATTGACTATTCCTTCGGTAATGTATTAACTAWTTCAATAATTTTTTTAGACAATAATTATTTAATGAATACAATTTAGGTCTCAAATTAGTGCCATTATATCCGAGAACTCAAAAAGAGGGCTCATATTTTCAAATAACATGTTCAATACAGGAGGGCACACCTCCTTATAWCTTTGAATGGGCTATTAATGGMCAGAAAGTTAAGTCCAGTAATGATGTTAAMTATAAGATTGAAAATTACAACAAATTCACGACATTTTCAATCGATGAACTCACCAGAAGTGATGCCACAAACTATACATGTTTTGTGAGGAATTCACAAACAATTGACAGCCAGTCGACTGTYCTAACAATTAATGGTTAGATAAATAAATTATAACTATATTTTAATTATATTAGAATTATAAACAATTTTAACTATTATTATTTTGAAATGGGTTTCAGTTATTTATATTCATTATWTTAATATTATTTAATCTGTATATAAACACTGAGTCTTACAGTTTTTGTTTATCAATTATATCGCTATACTGTATATGAGAATCTCAATCGTGAAAATTGTTTGCCATTCAATATGTGGCGCAATGTATTCAATAAATCTTGAGTTAAATATCATATTTATCGTAATATATATATATATATATATATACTTTAATATTTTAGTCCGGGGTAAAATTTACAAAATTCTCAAAAAATCTTGTTTTTGGGGTAATGATTTTTATTGCATTTTTAAACGGCAATTTTTTCAAAAATCCAAAATCAATATGAAAAATTCCCTAAAAATTCCTTAAGTTCCCGAATATTCATGTAAATTCAATTTACAAGTTCCCGTATAAATCCTTTTATATGAAAAAAAACTAAAAAAAACTAAAAATAACAAAAATTTAAATTTTAAAAAAAATAATTTTTTTAAAAAATGCATTAATAAAAACTTAAATTTTAACAAAAAAATAAAATAATGTATTTAAGATTTAAAAATAGTTGATAAAAGCATTTTATATAATGAGTTATTTTTAGTATTTTAATAATTTTTAACTTTTAACATAATTAATTTTTTAAACAATACTTAATGTTTATAGTTTGTTATATATTTTTATTTTTATACAAATACTGACTGAATACTACTTATTTAACTCAAATTTCTGATACTAATTATAAGATTGAAAATTCAAAAATACATTCATTTTTACCATTTAAAAATTATTAATGATTTCGGTAACTATAGTTGTTTTATTAATGCCTAACTTATATTTAAATTGTACAATCAGTTCAGCTATCAATTAAAGGTTTATATATTTTTAAGTTATATTAATTATAATCTTATAATATAAATATCTGAAAWATTATAAAAATTTATTTTTAATCAATAATTAGATTTATATAAATATATAATATAAAAACACTTTTCTATTTGAWTTTTACYAATAATTTTAAAAAATWGTTTTAYAAGTTTTGATTCAATTGTGAATCTCATTCAAAGTGTGTCACTATCTTCGACACTAATTTTTGTCATATAATATATATATTTATCTATAGTTTTTAYCAATTGATATGTCAGCCATTGTTTGTCYRAATATTTATTTTATTCTCWGATTGTKTTAAATATGATTTTAAAWAAGTATAWATTTGTTATAATATGTTTTACTGTCATAATTMAAATTGATTTAATCAACACTTCTGGTATTTATAAATATAATAAATATCGATAATTATATKTATTAGTAATATTCAATTTGTCWAAAAATAGCMCCWAAATTAARTTCATGGTTTAGTCACAARAATCAGATGATAGGGTCATATCTTTYRATTKTATGCAATGCGGAGATGGGATCAAATCCGTTGTTTTTTGAGTGGTCYAGAAATGGACAGACACTTAAAYCSGAACCGAATGTCAACTATAAGATCGATAATTTCAAAATGCACTCAACATTTACTATTGAGTCGATATCCATGAGTGATATCGGGAACTATAGTTGTGTTGTTAGYAATGCTTTCGGATCCGACTCSCAGTATTTTGCTTACTATTAAAGGTCTGTTSGATAWAATGATGTTTTAATTATATAGAAATTTATTGAAATAACTTTTTAATATTATAAWATCTATATTACTTTMCACACAATTTCATTTTACGGAGTGGTTAATAAATGTCTTACAGTTTATGTGTTTGTCATTTAAACATTGGTCTTATGCGCCAAAGTTATGACATTATGAATGGCTAACAATATGTGTCACTATTGTTGATAAAATATATAATCTATTTGTTGTCAGCCATTATTATTAAGAGTACATCAATAAGTATATATATATACAGAATATATTATAGACTTTATTTGGATTCAAGTAATTTGTACAAATATTAACATAGTTATAAACATGTTAATAATTTTAGTTTTAATATTTTCAATTAACATTGCTTATAGCGATCCATTGCAAGGTTTGATACTATAAATATAGTTTCATAAATAAGATATATTTGATTATAAATTTATATAACATTAGCTCCAAAGTTGTTGCAATTTCATGGACGGGAACAAAGTGTTGGCACAAATTTACAGATATTTTGTTCAGTTATTAAAGGATCGGTTCCACTGTTCTTTGAGTGGCAAATGAATGGACAGACAATTAGGTCCAGTCCTGATGTTAACTATAAGATTGAAAATTCAAAAATGCATTCAACACTCACTGTTGATAGTATAGTCACTACCGATGCCGGCAATTATACCTGTCTTGTGTCATACACTATGGGAAGGGATAGTCAAACACTAATACTGTCAATTAAAGGTGTGTTATAAACTATTTTTTATATTATAAAATGTTTTAATAGAAAATGCAATTTTCTATATGTAATAACATATTTACTTCATGAATGCATTGTTATATTTCTTACAGTTTGTTATAAGTTTTAAAAGTTAAAGACCTAAATATGTTATTATGTTTGTTATTTAAACATTGGTCTTATGCGCCAAATTGAAGATATTATGAATGGCTAACAATATGTGTCACTATTGTTGATAAAATCTATAATCTATTTGTTGTCAGCCATTATTATTATTAAGAGTATATCAAATTATTATATCTTAATTTTACTTGTTTTTTTATTGAATTTAATTCAAAAATTAACATGGGTCTAATTATTTTAGTGATTTTATATTTAATATTTTCAATTGACAGCGTTTTTAACAATGCGTTACAAGGTTTGAATTTAAACATTATTGTTTCATAGATAAAGATATATATTTTATCGTTAATTCATATAACATTAGCTCCAAAGTTAGTGCCATTTTATGGAMGGGAACAAAGTATTGGCACATATTTTCATATAGTTTGCACAGTTATTGAAGGATCGGTTCCACTGTTCTTTGATTGGCAATTGAATGGACAGACAATTAAGTCCAGTCCTGATGTCAACTATAAGATTGAAAATTCAAAAATGCATTCAACACTCACTGTTGATAGTATACAAACTACCGATTCAGGCAATTATACCTGTCGTGTRTCTAAYKCTATGGGAAGTGATAGTCAAATACTAATACTATCGATTAAAGGTGTGTTATAATTACTATTTTTTATAATTTTAATAAGAAATTGCAATTTTGAAAATGTAAAAATATATATAATTCAAATCAATATTTCATATATCTTACAGTTTTCTATATGTTAATAAAAATTAAAGCTTTAAATATAATATGCTATTTAAACATTGGTCTAAATATGAAAGACATTATGAATGGCAATCAATGTGTGTCACTATTGTTGATATAATATATAATTTATTTATATATATCTCATTATTATTATTAATTTGTATCATCATACTATTATATATAAAATTTTATTTGATTTTAATTGAAAATTTATAAAAAAAACATATAATTAATTTTGTGATTTTATATTTAATATATTCAATTGACATTTGATATTAGATAATTGCAAGGTTTGAATAATATCATTTCATTGATTTATATCATTTTAAATTTATATAAAAATAGCACTAAAATTAACGCCATTATTGAGTAATAGAACAAAGCCGAGGCACATATTTTCATATAGTCTGTACAGTTATTGAAGGATCGTTCCATTTCTTTGAGTGGATAATCAATGGACAGACAGCTAAATCTAGTCCTGATGTCAACTATAAGATTGATAATTATGATATATTTTCGACATTTGTTATAAAAAACATTACTCGCAATGATTTCGGTAATTACACGTCGTGTTCTAACTCTATGGGAATGCCAGTCAAATACTAATACATCACAAACGGTTGTTTATAATTAATTTTAATTTTGTTATTAATAATATTTTATATATATTAAAATTATAATATATAATTCAAGAATTTAAATTATTTATTAAATTTTAAGCATTTCTTTGAATTATAATATTTTTATTTTAACAAAAAAAAAGTTATACTAATCTATTATTTATATCGTATGTAATAATCTTACAGTTTATGCAAAAAATATTGTTTCATGAATTTCTACAATAATTGTATTTCTGAATCAATGTGTGGCGCAATTGAACCACAATTTCAATGATTTTTTTARAAACAATTGATTGTCAGCCATATATTTTTGTATTTATATAAAATAGATTTCTTATATAAACGGTGTAATTATTAACATTTATAATGAGTTTATTATGTTATTTGTGTTTATTTATTACATTTGTTTACTCCTTGGGTAATATAAAATTGTTATACATGTATTATTAGAATTAATATTATAACAATTATCAATTAAATAAAAATAGGTCTCAAATTAGCGCCATTGTCACCAATTAATCAGAAACAGGGATCATACTTTCAAATAACATGTTCAGTACAGGAGGGCACACCTCCTTATTTCTTTGAGTGGGCTATTAATAGCCAAACAGTCAAACCTGAACCCAATGTTAACTATAAGATTGAAAATTATGAGATGTTTTCAATATTTGTGATTAAAAGCATTGTCGTAACCGATGCGGCAAACTATACGTGTTTTGTGAGGAATTCACATAACTTTGACAGTCAGACAACTGTCTTAACAATTAATGGTTTGATTTATTTTTTAAATATTTAATTAAACTGCTAAATTTAATTTTTTACTATTATTTCTATCTACTTAAATATAATTTGTATAATAAGATTATTATATTTAAAGTATTTACAATTAATTTTTATTATTTAATGTAAAATAAACTACTAATAGACCGCACTGTAAGCCTTACAGACTGTAAGTTACAGTTGATACTGAATATACTTATTGTTAACTAATACTTAACGCGTGTTTTAAACAAATTATTTGCATTTAATATTAGCTTCAATATAATGAATATATTTATACGGTAGTTCAATATACAGTATACAGTAAAAATTCAAAATATAATGAATATTTTTATAAAAAATAATAATATACAATAATAAGTTATCAGAAATTTGTATTTATTGTAAAAAAGTATACATGAAATGTAATTCAAAAATTCAATCTTATAAAACAATTCTATAGTATTTTATAAATTATATATTTGATGATTAAATTAAATTTAAATTGGATTCATATTAATTTATAATTAACTCATTATCTGCAAAATAAGTCTAATGTTAACTTATAATGTTTTTAAAAATTTTTTTGCATTTAATATAAACGCAATAACAGTTTTAACTAAAATACACTGTAAAAAATAAAATAAATAAACTGCTATTTGCTTATTAATGATAACCCTACATTTACTGTACTATTAAATCAATATTGAAATGATTTTACTTTAATGACTATACTTTAAGTATTATATTAATAGGATTAAATTGAAACAAATTATATTGATTGACCATTAAATTATTACTTTGTAGTTATTTATAATAGAAAAACCACTTATATATGTCATATACTGTTTATTAAAAGATTAAATTATTTATAAGTCACGCATGTGTTGACTTGTTTTTCATGGGTTACTCATCAATTAATTATATATACAGTAATATATTATATGTGATGACATTAAAAATCTTATACAAAATGTGGCGCTTATGTATCATTTTTTGAAACATTTATTTATCAGTGAGTTTGACCATATATTTTACTGTAGGATAAATTGCTTTTTATTTATGGTTTTGCTTTAGATAATTAATAATGAATTTTCTTAATGTAATCTTTCTATTTATGTTATTTTGCTATAAGTTTAATATATTCACTTGTAATGGTATGTAATACATAATAAATTGGTTGTTTAAATATAATAATATAAGTGTTAAATTGCAATAGAAATACCTAAAATCGCACCATTGCTACCAAAACTGGAATTATTGAGAGGTTCTTCCTATCGATTTATTTGTCAAACAATTGTTGGATTTAAGCCTATATTTTATAAATGGGTTAAAAATGGTCAACATTTTGATGATAACTATAGAGATATGAAATATAAAATTGAAATGTTTGACGACTTGTCGATACTTACTGTAAATAATGTCGATTACAATGATTTCGGCAATTATTCGTGTATTGCAAGCAATGCTTTCGGGTCTGACATACAAACAACTGTTCTCTATATAAAAGGTCTGATAAATGATATTTATTTCGTAATATGTATTTTTGTACAAATAATTAACATTTAATTTTAATACATTATTAATTTACAATTAAATAATATTATTAACAAGGTCTGTACAGTTTTAAAAAAATATTTTATATATATTTGTATCGTTATATTATAAATTATAATATATAATTTAAAAAATATAATTATTATTACATTAGAATATTTTAAATATTAAACAATAAGTTTTGCTAACATAACATACAAGAGTTGAATCACATTTACGATATATAAAATAATAATAATTGACATTGATCATTTAATGCAAACAAATTTGAATCTCAAGCAAAATGTGGCGCAATGTTATTATTAAGAAAACATTAGATTTTAGTGTTGAAACTTTTTTTCATAATACAAGTCAGCCATTAGTACATCCATTAATTTTAATGACAACCATGAAATCCATAAATGTGTTGATTATTTATACGTATATTAATTTAGTTACAGCTAGTGATGGTATGTTTACATTAAATATTAGATTATTTAATAAGCCATTAAATTGTTAATTAATTATACTTTAGCCCCCAAATTAATTATTTACAAGAATTATTACCTTCAAAGCGAAGGCACCAAATTCCGTGTCTTGTGTTCAATACAGAGGGGATCAACTCCTCTGTCTTTTCAATGGCTTAAGAATAGGGAACAGTTAACAAATAGTCGCTATAAGATTGAAACAAATGATGATTTATCTATACTGACAATTGATAAAATCACAAAAAGTGATTCAACAAACTATACGTGTGTTGTTAGCAATACTTATGGCACAGATTCACAAACTGTTGTATTAGATGTTAAAGGTTTTTTGAGAGAGAGTGTTAACTTATTAGACATAAATGTTAACCATTTGATTATATCTATCCAACAGTACCGCCGACGTGGCTGAAGGAACCGCAGGACATACGCGTCAAATCAGGTGATGATGTGGTCGTGGAGTGTATCGCCGATGGATTACCCAAACCAACAGTTAAATGGATCAGCTCTAAAGGTATTTTCAATTTTTTTATCAATATTTTTATAAATTTAGTTAATTTTGATGTCAACAGGAAAGGTAATTCCGGGTGAAGTATTAAATTTGGCTAACTTTAAGGTCGGCAGTAGTGAAGCGTATGAATGCATTGCAGACAACGGTATCGGAGACTCATTGAAAAAGTCTATTAATGTTTTCTTCAGCGGTAAGTATTTTAAATATTTTTATTTTCTTGCTTATATATAAAATATAATTTATTAAGCAAATGTATGTAATAACTTGCTATGCATTTCTACTAAAATATAAAGTAAAATATAAAATTTGCATCTTATCAGTAAAAATTATATTAATGTAAATTATATATCAGTTCCGGCAAAGTTTGATGAGAAATATAGTGTACAACAAGTGAAAAGGGGTGAAAGCGCGCGATTGAAATGCAATGCAACGGGTGATCATCCCGTAACCATTAAATGGACCAAAGATAATGCCAAACTTGAAAAGATTGGATCGCATAAGTTAGTCAACAATAAAAAAAAATAAATATTTAAATTTTGATTGTAATTTAAACCGATATTTTTGATAGTTTTGAGATCATTGAGAGTATTACAGATTATGGATTAGTATCGGAATTGTTGTTACGTATTACTCAGCGAACTGACGGTGCTATCTATAAATGTGAGGCCGAGAATACACACGGAAAGGATGAGCGCACTATTAAACTGGTTGTTCTCGGTATGTATTAAAACGGTTATGTATTATTAAATACCTTATTAACTATGACCTCATTTATTAGAGATTCCCGGACCACCAAAGACAGTACATGTGAAGGAGGTTTGGTCGCGTACGGCCAGCATTGTCTGGTCGGCGCCCTATTCAGGCAATTCTCCCATTTCTAAGTATACAATACAGTATTGGCGACATCAAAGTGCACCGCATAGACTCAATGAGTTTACTGTCAGTAGTACTCAGACTTCGGCACTTATTAAAGATTTGAGTCCTGGATTGTCGTATGAGATGACTGTTGTCGGTAAGGCATACAAACCAATTAATTACTATACAATAGTTGACTTAATAATATGAAACAAATAGGTGAGAATGAGGTCGGAAGAGGTGAAGCGGCAGATACTGTAAAATTTACGACCGGTGAAGAAGAACCATCAGCTCCTCCTAATGATATATCAGTAGAGGGTAAGGGCCCCACTACTATTAGGATCACATGGAGGGCGCCTCCCAAAGAGCATTGGAATGGTGTTATAAAAGGTTATTATGTGGGCTACCGTAAGGCACGTGAGACAAACCATCCGTTTACTCTAAAATTGGTTGAATCCAAACCCAATCAGAAGTCGGCCGAATCGGAATCATATGAATACTTTTTGCGCGATTTAGTCAAAGGTAATGAATATGCAATTGTTGTGAAGGCATACAACTCAGCTGGAAGTGGACCGCAATCTCATGAGATGTTCGCCCATACCTTTGATGGTGATCTACCACCCGCTCAATTGTTGAGTGCCATGGAATCTACTAATACGTTGATAACAGTGCGATGGCATCAAAAAGATATCCGAGAATCTCAAACACCGACGCAAAGCTTTACATTACACTATCAACGAGAGGGTGAATCCAAATGGAAGGAAGTGCCGATATCATCTCTTGTAACGCCCGCACCTATTACTGAAGGATCAGCACTCGCATCCTATAACTATAATTTGGAAAACCTGGAGTCAGGCATTCAATATCGGCTGTTCGTTACTGCAGTTAACAGATATGGTTTCAGTGATCCCAGTAATGTAGTAATTGCCCGAACAGATGGTGGTATGTATTGCATTATTTTACCGAAGTATTATAAATTCAATTTTTTTTAAATGGATGTTATGTTAGGTGACATTAAAGTGCTTGAAAGCGAGATTTTCAACCAGTTCTTCAACGACGGACCCTATTATTTGCAGCCCTCCTTCACAATCCCTTTACTCTCTGCGGTTGTTATTATCATTATAGTCATTATATCGGCATTTGTTTGCGTCAGAAGAATTAATAGGGAAAGGGCTGCGGCTGAGGGATGTTAGTAATTATATTGTTATTTATTTAAATTGATATTTGAATTGTGCAAAACATTTTACTAAATATACTTAAATAAAACTTTAAATACTATTAGTTATTATGGACAGCGCAACCCTACATAAGCAGTTAGCCGGACAAATGGGAACCACACCTCGATATATGGACTTTGATAAACCTAGTGGTAAACCATTGATGATGACAGAGGCCGGTAACGCGTATCCGACGCCATACGCAACAATTCCAATGGGAGGCTTAGATGGATGTCAAGTAAGATTTATTTACAGAATTTTGAATATTTTTATGATTCACTATTAGATATATCTAACAGAAATATCATTGATGTAAAATTTAATTAATTAAAACCTTGTTTCAGTTCCAAACCCATCCATCGATGATGAAAAACAGTCATATATACGATCACCCCCAGTAAGCAGGCATTCATTTTAATAATTTTAATGTTTCAAATGGTTTCAATATATTATTGTAATTATTATTATTATTATTACTATTACTGTATATTGATTTATAATTATTTTAATGTTAACTTAGATAATACAATTTACTCTCATTTTATTGATATATTTATCTACATTTTTACTAATACTTAATCAACTTTAGCTTTATTAAACTATCTTATTAAAATCTAGATATACTTATATTAATAAACACTAGGCATGCTTATAAATTAGCTTATAAGTTATAATATTGCTCACATATAATACTATGATATGAATAAATAATCCAAGGTAATAATAGTTAGAAATTTTCGATGTCTATTGACCTATTATTATATTAACATTTTTAATAACTTTTTTATTTATATATCATTTTATTTAATAGGTGCTATATTATACTATATCTATATATTATTAGTGAAGTTTTTATAATTTTATATTACAATTTAGCATATTTTAGATTATACCCAGTGATGGCACAATGAATTATATGATGAATGAATATTGAAAGGAAAGTGATTTTTGTTAGACATTAATACAAATATCGTATTCATAATGTTAGGCATAAATGAAAAGTTTGTGATTAATTTTTACTTATAAACGATAAGTTAATTTGATATTTTAAATGTTATAATTATAAACAATTTTGACAATGATTTCATTGATATATTTATGTTTATTTAACATTTCTATCATTTTTATTGATATCTAAAACATGTTATGTGTATTTTTATTTATTTTTTTGAAAAATACTTAAATATATAGGATTTTCAATGTAATTGCCAAATAATAGTCATACAACCCATGTATTTATAGCACATTTTTACTATTATTAATTGTATTGAAATTAATTTGTAAAATAGTTTTGTATAATTTATTTAAGCATTTATTATTTAATAAATTAATAAAAATTTATAAAATTGATTTCAAATTTTTTATTATTAATATTTTTCATCACTATATGTTATATAAATTATACTTATGCTATTTGAATGCACAGGTAGGAAATATTTGTAAACAATGCATAATCAAAGAGAGATAAATAGTTATGGTTAGACATACAGTTTACTGCAAATGTCTCTAATATGTCTATCAAATATGTAATACTTTACTGTATTAAAGCACTCAAAACTATTACAGCATTAATAGTATTGAGGAAGAGGTGAATGGGCTCTAACAGTGTGTATATGTGATGCTTACAGTATTTACTGACTCCATGAGCGCACGTGCGGACACATATACAAAATATAGGCAAAAGTCGTGTGAATAGTTTTTTAATGATAAATTTATCGTAAATAATAATGATAGCATAAAATAAATAAATAAAAATTATTTACTAATAAAGAATATTAATTGTAGTTACTATTTATCTTAAATAAAATTAATTAGACATTTTAATAGTTTATTAATAATAAACATTTAATTTATAGAACTTTTAAATTAATCTATCAGATAAAAATTTATATAGACATAGTATTTGCGATATTAAATTATATTAAAGTAAGATAAATTTATTAATTAATATATTTTTAAAGCAGTTAAATGAGTTACTGTGTTTTAATGTATTTTTTTAAAATCATTAACTCATTTAACTGTTACAATTTACATTAAAACACACTATTAAATTAATAAAAAATTACATATTTTTATATATTACTAAAAATATAATTCAATCATATAGATTTTGTGCAAAACCTAGTCTCACCACTTTTGCCATAGATTTGACAAATATATTGGTTATACATAGATGTTAGTGAACTGAGAGAACAAGTGATAGACTGTGTTCTAAACACTTAACAGAAAAATCAATGTCTCATACAATCACTTGAACTCTAAATAATGATAGTTTTGAGAGAAAGAGAGAGAGAGAGAGAGAGGTTACCAAAAAATGTTTAGTAATGTATAGATGACACGAGACATGTGTGTGTATATTCAGTGGGGATTGTCGTGTAGTTTCAAGAGAGCAATAGTAGTAGTCAGTGTGTGATTGAGTGTGTGTATGTGTGGCACACATTGTGTGCACTACTAACCCGGGGCTAAAAAAAGTTGGTATAGAAATACAATGGATTTCCTGTTGAACTTTTTCAACGCTTCAATGATTTTGTGGCATATTTTTAAGCATTTAAAAAGTAAAAGGGAATTCCCATCCCATTTAAATGCCAACTATTTTACCACAGTATTTGTGTTTATACTATAATATATTATAATAGTCTTTAAACTAGTATATCATTTAAAAAAATATTGATATGAAAAAAATAAAAATATAATTAATTATGTTATAGTGTTTAGTTAAAAATATTGCAATTCATATACAAATTATTGTGGTTAATCAAATAAATAATCATTACAATTTAAAAAACTATAAAAAATATTTAAAAATAATTTTTAATATAAAAATAACCAAATAAACATAATAGAAAATTATAGTTAGAGTATAATAATAAAAATAATAATTATATAAATTAAGAAAAAACAATTAATGAAAATATTACAATAATTTTTTATTAAAAGCTTATAAAAAAAGAAGTTTTATTTAAATTAAATACAACTTTTTTAGAATAAAAATATATAAATATATTTTACTAATAAAACAATTGTTTATTAAACCACTAATCATTATGTATGACATAATGACATAATTACAACGATATCTCTAATTAGCTATTCATCAGATAATCATTGTAATCATAGCAACACTTTTTAGTAAAAAACAAACCCTTTTAATCAAAATCTATTGTATAATAAATATAAAAAATAAGAAATTCATTGGGTTTTCGACAATTATTATAAGAAATGTTTTTAAAAAATTTATATATAATTAAAATAAATTAGAATTTAATAATAATTAAAAATGAATTCATTGAGAGAGAAGCGCGTGATTTCATTGTTAATAATATTAATATTGTTTTTCGACTTATGTTTGTGTGAAACGACACGAAAACCGAAACGTCGTCGACCTAACCGACCCAAGAGTCGCAAGAAGACCGACGAACCGCCGCGTATCAGATGTTACACGTGTTATGTAGACTTCAGAAGCACGCGTTTTACTGACAAAAATCATTGCTATAATCCATATCTCAATACATCCCTAACCGATACCTTTCAATTGACCCAATGTTCACAATATGCTAAGTATTGTACGGTTGATATCATGAGAATTAATAGCGTTATAGCAGTCATTGATCGGCGCTGTGGTGTCTCAACGTGTCGTAACATTTGTATTAATAAAGGCTATGGAGTCGAGTTCGAGACCTGTTCTTACTGTTGTCCCGGAAAACTAACCGAAGAAGACGATGACTACGATCCCGATGAGTCAGATAACTACAGGTGCCCTAACATTGAGCACTAGTAGTCATAATGAATATACTGCTTAATCAGTAATCTAATTATTATTACTAAAATTACATAAAAATTACTTCAATAAATCACTGGTTAACTAATCAAGGCTAACAAAAAGGCTAATAAATAATCAAGGTTAACTCTAAATATAATTTTAAAATAAATATTTTCTCTTTAAATTTTATTATATCATCACTGATTCATCTCTAATAATAAACATCTATACATTGTGTGCATTAGTATGCATTATATTAGTATATAATAATTACAATTTAAAATGCAATATTTTTAAACATATTAGTCATAAGTGTTACTATAATAATATATCTAATGTAAAAAATAAAACCAAAAATATAAAAATATTATTTATATAAATAAAATATCAAAATAAACTATTTCTAAATTATTATAAATTCAATTTCTCACAAAAAATTTAAAAAATAGTAATAAACTAAAAAAACTTAAAATAAAAAGTTAACAAATATTTTAAACAAAAATCACTTTAAAGTTAAGCTTAAACTACACTTACAGTGCATTCATAATACATGTGTCCCATCCATACAACACCTGGTGTGTGCTCTTTAAGTCCAGTCATATAAGTTGACTAACTTTCCCCATAACTAACACCTGTCCCGACATATGTTGTGTCAAATGTTAGGCCAATCACTATAATCACTGCACTTCACTGACTCCAACCTCTCACAGGTGTCGACACCAGATATAAACAAAACCAAACAAAATATAAACAAAGCATTACTTCCAATGATGTCATACCAGAGGACACCACCTCTCGGACCACAACTTTGGGACCGATTTTCGGTTATAGTGTAAGACTCGACATCTGTCGGACAAATGGGAGTCACGTTTGCGCCAAATATAAACTAATCACTTATTTAACTAAAAATCACTTACTTTTTCACACAATTTATATGACTTTAAACTCAATTAATTGAATTGATTTTAATTTTTTCACAATTAATGATAATCTCTGTTATGTTTTTCATTTATATTTCATACAAACTATGCGTACATTGAATGCAATTATAGTTTAATTAAAAATTGTGTCAAATGTTTGCTAAAACTCAATGTTTGTCAAACACTATCTTAACTCTCATTGGCTCTCAATCTCTCCTATTGTTTGCAAACCCGTTATAATGACACATAATATAAAACATTTTTAAAAAACTAATTAAACTTTACATATTATGAAAATTACATATTATTTTTATCATAATAATAATTTTTTTAAATTATAAAAAATATAAAACTATAATACAATTTTTTAGTTTAATAAAACGTTTCTCAATATATATTATTGTTAACAAACAGTAACGACAATTCCTGTACTATGTTTTGTAAGCAAACATTAATTTTTTTTTTTGGTATAATTTTGTCAAATATTACGCCAGTATTTTAGTTTTTTAAAAGCATTTTTCAGTTAATTGCAATTAAACTAAAAATATTTTTCAATAGTTTAATCCCAATTAATATAATAATTTCCAAAATTATCTAGATTAATTTGAAAAAATATTGATGTCTTATATTTGTTAATTGTAAGTACTTTTGTTTTATTTACAAATTATTAACATTTAAAGAAATAATTTATTAAATATTGTAAATATATAATACAGAAAATTATTGATTATAATTAGAGTTACGATAGTATTAATATATAAATAAACAAAATACTTGAATAATGATATTTATTGTAGTATTTATTTGGTAATTAAAATTACGATATAATAAAATAAGTCAAATTGCATAATATTCGTGGAATAATTAAATTAATATCAATATTACGATATATATAAATGGATAAAAACAAAACAAAAATTAATTGATAAATTATTCCCGATTATAAGCGGGTAATTTGATGCCCACTGAACCCATACGGTTCGGATCTTGCGATGGATAATGAATTTGTTGGTTGAGAACTGGAGCACCAATTATTGGTGGCGCCAACTGAGGTATAGCAAATGGTTGAGCTCTCGATGGGCCGGCGCTCGAGGAAGACTGGCCTAAACCAAAATAGTCGGGCGCACCGATTGGCAGTCCCGGTACAGGCGTCAACTGAACTTTTTTCTCGTCGCCGTCACCAGTGGTACCTTTTTTTGCGTGTGATTTACCCCATCTGATAGTCAGTTTCTGTCCGTGAATAACCAATTTCTGATAAGATTTGTCAACAGCCATATCGGCCGCCTGTCTGGTAGTGTACTGAACGAACGCACAATTATTTTTCTGTACGACAGTTACCGATCGGATCTCTCCGAACTGATAAAAATAGTCTCTCAGGTCTTTCTCCTCAATCAATGGCCCGACATTTCCCACATATATTGTTGTAATTGTTTTATCTTCCGGAGGTATAGGCCGCGGCAATTCGGACGCCCTTTTCAATAGTTTTTCGGCCACCGGATCGTTGACACCAAAGTAACGATCCTTAATGTTTTGATCGGACAGTGGATCTTCCGGATCGTTAGGTTTTTCGTGACGATACGGACATTCTTCGCCACGTTTGCACTCACCTAAAGATTTTTTAAAAATATAATTAAAATTTATACATAAAATACCAAATTATAAATATTATGTACATTAAGTACATGACTGCTATTATTAGTATTAAACTATTAAACAAACCTTTAACCCAAAAACTACAAATATGCGGTCGATTGCGCTTATAGTACGGCGAATTACGGGCCAATTTGGCCAATACGTCTGACGGCGGCGCCGATTTTAGTGCACCGTATGGTTGGGTCGGATCCGAGTTGGCCACTGCGTTGTCCAGATTCTGACTGAAATATTCACGATTGATGTCCGATTGCGGTAATTCCAGTTTGGTTTGCAGTATCTGATCTCTGACCTGTACGGGTAGGCCGTACTGCAGATCAAGTAGACATGTTTGACAGATATTCTTCGCTCGGGCGCACGTCTGACAGATTTCGGTCTTCTTGTACCTCATCTTCAATCCCGGACACCACCGAAATGTAGTGAACGGACGGTTACATACTTTGCATTGAGCGCCAAACTTCTCGGTCATGATTCGCATATATGGATTGTCACCTATAATAATAATAACCCGAGGCATCGGTGGCCATCATCGGCAACAAAAAAAACAACAAATTAATTAATTAGTGACCTCTAAAAAAATCGGGACAGTTGTGTCCGCACAAAAACACATACCGAGACATGTTTGACAAAGTATGGGAAACTTTCCGTCCTCCCAGACCTGCCGATTGTAGTGTCCGGTTCCCAATGACATAGACATTATGTGGCCAACAATAGGATAATAATCGGGTGGTCAACGAAAAAAAGTGGTCACAAATTGAAAGTCAATTCAATTAACAGAAAATGTTTACAAAACGTGTGTTTACTATACGTTTTGTACGACTATTAATAGTGAGCCATAAATAATAAACATTTTGTTACTATTTTCCATATAATAACACATTATTATGTCTATAATATATTCTATAAAACTGTACACACATTGTATATACATATTGTTTGTTTAAAATAAATATACAGTATGTACTCCATATAATTATTTTTATTTATATATTTTATAACAATAATAATAGACTTAAATAATATTAAAATAAAATATATTTATTTTGACTAATGAGTAAAATTAAAATAATAATAATAGATGTCATAATTATTACAAATAAAATCCATTTGATATTATAACGGGTTTGAAAATAACAGGAGAGATTGAGAGCCAATGAGAGTTAAGATAGTGTTTGACAAACATTGAGTTTTAGCAAACATTTGACACAATTTTTAATTAAACTATAATTGCATTCAATGTACGCATAGTTTGTATGAAATATAAATGAAAAACATAACAGAGATTATCATTAATTGTGAAAAAATTAAAATCAATTCAATTAATTGAGTTTAAAGTCATATAAATTGTGTGAAAAAGTAAGTGATTTTTAGTTAAATAAGTGATTAGTTTATATTTGGCGCAAACGTGACTCCCATTTGTCCGACAGATGTCGAGTCTTACACTATAACCGAAAATCGGTCCCAAAGTTGTGGTCCGAGAGGTGGTGTCCTCTGGTATGACATCATTGGAAGTAATGCTTTGTTTATATTTTGTTTGGTTTTGTTTATATCTGGTGTCGACACCTGTGAGAGGTTGGAGTCAGTGAAGTGCAGTGATTATAGTGATTGGCCTAACATTTGACACAACATATGTCGGGACAGGTGTTAGTTATGGGGAAAGTTAGTCAACTTATATGACTGGACTTAAAGAGCACACACCAGGTGTTGTATGGATGGGACACATGTATTATGAATGCACTGTAAGTGTAGTTTAAGCTTAACTTTAAAGTGATTTTTGTTTAAAATATTTGTTAACTTTTTATTTTAAAAGTTTTTTTTAGTTTATTACTTTTTTTTATTAAATTTTTTGTGAGAAATTGAATTTATAATAATTTAGAAATAGTTTATTTTGATATTTTATTTATATAAATAATATTTTTGGTTTTATTTTTTACATTAGATATATTATTATAGTAACAATTATGACTAATATGTTTAAAAATATTGCATTTTAAATTGTAATTATTATATACTAATATAATGCATACTAATGCACACAATGTATAGATGTTTATTATTAGAGATGAATCAGTGATGATATAATAAAATTTAAAGAGAAAATATTTATTTAAAAATTATATTTAGAGTTAACCTTGATTATTTATTAGCCATTTTGTTAGATATGATTAGTTAACCAGTGATTTATTGAAGTAAATTAAATATTTTACTTTTTTATGTAATTTTAGTAAAAATAATAATTAGATTACTGATTAAGCATTATATTCAATTATGACTACTAGTGCTCAATGTTAGGGCACCGGTAGTTATCTGACTCATCGGGATCGTAGTCATCGTCTTCTTCGGTTAGTTTTCCGGGACAACAGTAAGAACAGGTCTCGAACTCGACTCCATAGCCTTTATTAATACAAATGTTACGACACGTTGAGACACCACAGCGCCGATCAATGACTGCTATAACGCTATTAATTCTCATGATATCAACCGTACAATACTTAGCATATTGTGAACATTGGGTCAATTGAAAGGTATCGGTTAGGGATGTATTGAGATATGGATTATAGCAATGATTTTTGTCAGTAAAACGCGTGCTTCTGAAGTCTACATAACACGTGTAACATCTGATACGCGGCGGTTCGTCGGTCTTCTTGCGACTCTTGGGTCGGTTAGGTCGACGACGTTTCGGTTTTCGTGTCGTTTCACACAAACATAAGTCGAAAAACAATATTAATATTATTAACAATGAAATCACGCGCTTCTCTCTCAATGAATTCATTTTTAATTATTATTAAATTCTAATTTATTTTAATTATATATATATTTTTTAAAACATTTCTTATAATAATTGTCGAAAACCCAATGAAATTCTTATTTTTTACATTTATTATACAATAGATTTTGATTAAAAGGGTTTGTTTTTTACTAAAAAAGTGTTGCTATGATTACAATGATTATCTGATGAATAGCTAATTAGAGATATCGTTGTAATTATGTCATTATGTCATACATAATGATTAGTGGTTTACTGAGCAATTGTATTATTACTAAAATTTATTTATATAATATTACTCTAAAAAAGTTATGTTTAATTTAAATTAAACTTTTTTTAATAAACTTATATTATTGTATTTTCTTAATTTATCTAATTATTATTATTATTTTATGTTTATTTGGTTATATTTATATTAAAAATTATTTTGCAAATAATATTTTTAAAATAATCTTTTTAGTTTTTTAAATCGTAATCATTTATTAGATTAGCCACAATAATTTGTATATGACTTGTAATGTATTTAACTAACCACTATAACAATTTATTATATTTTCATTTTTTCATATCAATATTATTTTTTAAAATGATATACTAGTTTAAAGACCATTACAATATAATACAGTATAAACAGTATACTGTGGCAAAATATAGTTGGCATTTAAATGGGATGGGAATTCCCTTTTACTTTTTAAATGCCTAAAAATATGCCACAAAATCATTGAAGCGTTGAAAAAGTTCAACAGGAAATCCATTGTATTTCTATACCAACTTTTTTTAGCCCCGGGTTAGTAGTGCACACATTCACACACTTTATAACATAACACACTGACTATGTATTGCTCTCTTGAAAATACACGACAATCCCCACTGAATACACACACATGTCTCGTGTCATCTATTATTATATTAGTAATATAATATTACTATACATTTTTGGTGACCTCTCTCTCTCTCTCTCTCTTTCTCTCAAAACTATCATTATTTAGAGTTCAATTGAATGTATGAGACATTGATTTTTCTGTTAAGTGTTTAGAACACAGTCTATCACTTGTTCTCTCAGTTCACTAACATCTATGTATAACCAATATATTTGTCAAATCTATGGCAAAAGTGGTGGGACTGGGTTTTGCACAAAATCTATAGGACAGCTTTATATTTTTATTTAAAAAATCAATGTAAATTTTTTATTTATTTGATAGTGTATTTTAATGTATTTTTTAAATCACTAGCTCAGTTAACTGTTTTAGAATATATTAATTTATACTTTTATTTTACATTAATATAATCTTATCGCATATACTATATGTTTATTTGATAGTTTAATTTAAATACATTATATTTAAAGGTTTTGTAAATAAAATGTTTATTATTAATAAACTATTAAAATGTATAATTTCATTTAGGATATTTTGTAACTACAATCAATCTCTATATTAGTAAATAATTGTTATTTATTTATTTTATGCTATCATAATTATTTACGATAAATTTATTATTGAAAAACTATTCATACGGCTTTTGCTTATATTTTGTATATGTGTCCGCACGTGCGCTCATGGAGTCAGTAAATACTGTAAGCATCACATATACACACTGTTAGAGCCCATTCACCTCTTCCTCAATACTATTAATGCTGTAATAGTTTTGAGTGCTTTAATACAGTAAAGTAAATGTCTATAATATGTCTAACCATCACTATCTCTCTTACTTTGATTACAAGTGATGATTTGATGCATTGTTTACAAATATTTCCTACCTGTGCTTCCAAATAGCATAATTATATATAACATATAGTGATGAAAAATATTAATCATAAAAAATTTGAAATCAATTTTAAAAATTTTTATTAATTTATTAAATAATAAATAAATTATACAATAATATTTTACAAATTAATTACGATATAATTAATAATAGTAAAAATGTGCTATAAATACATGGGTTGTGTGACTATTATTTGGCAATTACATTGAAAATCCTAAATATTTAAGTATTTTTCAAAAAATAAATAAAAATACACATAACATCCATAATGTTTTAGATATCAATAAAAAACACTATAAAAATGATAGAAATGCTGAGTATTGATTATTTAGATAATCAATATATGGCTTAATAAAAATAATATAACTTAATATTACATAAATATATTGTCAAAATTGTTTATAATTATAACATTTAAAATATCAAATTCACTTATCGTTTATAAGTAAAAATTAATCACAAATTTTTCATTTATGCCTAACATTATGAATACGATATTTGTATTAATGTCTAACAAAAATCACTTTCCTTTCAATATTCATTCATCATATAATTCATTTTGCCATCACTGGGTATAATCTACTAAAATATGCTAAATTGTAATATAAAATTATAAAAACTTTACTAATACTATATAGATGTAGTATAATATAGCACCTATATCATATTAATAAAAAAGTTATTAAAAATGTTAATATAATAGGTCAATAGACATTGAAAATTTTTAGCAATAAACTATTATTACTTTGGATTATTTATCCATGTTATAGTATTATATGTAAGCAATATTATAACCATGCATACTGTTATACATTATATCTAGAATTTAATTAGATAGATAAAGTTTAATATAGCTAAAGTATTAGTATTAATATTAAGTATTAGTAAAAATGTAGATAAATATACCAATAAAATAAAAGTAAATTGTATTATCTAAGTTAACATTAAAATAATTATAAATCAATATACAGTAATAATAATAATAATTACAATTATACATTGAAACAATTTGAAACATTAAATTTAAAATGAATGCCTGCTTACTGGGGGTGATCGTATATGTGATCATTTTTCATCATCGATGGGTGGGGTTGGAACTGAAACAAGGTTTTTAATTAATTAACTTCTAATTATATTTTTGTTAAATTAATTATATATAAATCTTACTTGACATCCATCTAAGCCTCCCATTGGCATTGTTGCGTATGGCGTTGGATACGCGTTACCGGCCTCTGTCATCATCAATGGTTTACCACTAGTTTTATCAAAGTCCATATATCGAGGTGTGGTTCCCATGTGATGTCCGGCTAACTGCTTATGTAGGGTTGCGCTGTCCATAATAACTAATAGTATTTAAAGTTTTATTTAAGTATATTTAGTAAAATGTTTTGCACAATTCAAATATCAATTTAAATAAATAACAATATAATTACTAACATCCCTCAGCCGCAGCCCTTTCCCTATTAATTCTTCTGACGCAAACAAATGCCGATATAATGACTATAATGATAATAACAACCGCAGAGAGTAAAGGGATTGTGAAGGAGGGCTGCAAATAATAGGGTCCGTCGTTGAAGAACTGGTTGAAAATCTCGCTTTCAAGCACTTTAATGTCACCTAACATAACATCCATTTAAAAAAAATTGAATTTATAATACTTCGGTAAAATAATGCAATACATACCACCATCTGTTCGGGCAATTACTACATTACTGGGATCACTGAAACCATATCTGTTAACTGCAGTAATGAACAGTCGATATTGAATGCCTGACTCTAGGTTTTCCAAATTATAAGTATAGGATGCGAGTGCTGATCCCTCAGTAATAGGTGCGGGCGTTACCAGTGACGACAGCGGCACTTCCTTCCATTTGGATTCACCTTCTCGTTGATAGTGTAATGTAAAGCTTTGTGTCGGTGTTTGAGATTCTCGGAGATCTTTTTGATGCCATCGCACTGTTATCAACGTATTAGTAGATTCCATAGCATTTAACAATTGAGCGGGTGGTAGATCACCATCAAAGGTATGGGCGAACATTTCATGAGACTGTGGACCACTTCCGGCCGAGTTGTATGCCTTCACAACAATTGCATATTCATTACCTTTGACTAAATCGCGCAAAAAATATTCATATGATTCCGATTCGGCCGACTTCTGATTGGGTTTGGATTCAACCAATTTTAGAGTAAACGGATGGTTTGTCTCACGTGCCTTACGATAGCCCACATAATAACCGTTTATAACACCATTCCAGTGCTCTTTGGGAGGTGCCCTCCATGTGATCCTTATAGTAGTGGGACCCATACCCTCTACTGACATATCATTAGGAGGAGCTGACGGCTCTTCTTCACCGGTCGTAAATTTTACAGTATCTGCCGCTTCACCTCTTCCGACCTCATTCTCACCTATTTGTTTCATATTATTAAGTCAACTATTGTATAGTAATTAATCGGTTTGTATGCCTTACCAACAACAGTCATTTCATACGACAATCCAGGACTCAAATCTTTAATAAGTGCCGACGTCTGAGTACTACTGACAGTAAACTCATTGAGTCTATGCGGTGCACTTTGATGTCGCCAATACTGTATTGTATACTTAGAAATGGGAGAATTGCCTGAATAGGGCGCCGACCAGACGATGCTTGCCGTACGCGACCAAACCTCCTTCACGTGTACTGTCTTTGGTGGTCCGGGAATCTCTAATAAATGAGGTCATAGTTAATAAGATATTTAATAATACATAACCGTTTTAATACATACCGAGAACAACCAGTTTAATAGTGCGCTCATCCTTTCCGTGTGTATTCTCGGCCTCACATTTATAGATAGCACCGTCAGTTCGCTGAGTTATACGTAACAACAATTCCGATACCAATCCATACTCTGTATTACTCTCAACGATCTCAAAACTATCAAACATATCGATTTAAATTACAAACAAAATTAAAATATTTTTTTTTTGTTGACTAACTTATGCGATCCAATCTTTTCAAGTTTGGCATTATCTTTGGTCCATTTAATGGTGAGGGGATGATCTCCCGTTGCATTGCATTTCAATCGCGCGCTTTCACCCCTTTTTACTTGTTGTACACTATATTTCTCATCAAACTTTGCCGGAACTGATATAATTGAATGTATATTTACTTATATGATGCACTTTATATTTTATTTTATATTTGAGCAGAAATGCATAGCAAGTTATTACATACATTTGATTATTATTAAATTATATTATATAAAAATATTTAAAGTATTTAAAATATTCAAGAAATATTTAAAAATGTAAAATACTTACCGCTGAAGAAAACATTAATAGACTTTTTCAATGAGTCTCCGATACCATTGTCTGCAATGCATTCATACGCTTCACTACTGCCGACCTTAAAGTTCGCCAAATTTAATACTTCACCCGGAATTACCTTTCCTGTTGACATCAAATTTAACTAAATTTACACAAATTTAATAAAAAATTGAAAATACCTTTAGAGCTGATCCATTTAACTGTTGGTTTGGGTAATCCATCGGCAATGCACTCCACGGCCACATCATCACCTGATTTGACGCGTATGTCCTGCGGTTCCTTCAGCCACGTCGGCGGTACTGTTGGATAGATATAAACAAAAACAAATGGTTAACATTTGCGTCTAATAAGTCAACACTCCCTCTCAAAAAACCTTTAACATCTAATACTACAGTTTGTGAATCTGTGCCATAAGTATTGCTAACAACACACGTATAGTTTGTTGAATCACTTTTTGTGATTTTATCAATTGTCAGTATAGATAAATCATCATTTGTTTCAATCTTATAGCGACTATTTGTTAACTGTTCTCTATTTTTAAGCCATTGAAAAGACAGAGGAGTTGAACCACTCTGTATTGAACACAAGACACGGAATTTGGTGCCTTCGCTTTGAAGGTAATGTAAATTCTTGGATATAATTAATTTTGGCGCTAAAGTATAATTGATAATCAAAATGACTTATAAATTAAAATAATTTACAGCAAACATACCATCACTAGTTGTAACTAATCTAAAATAAGCGAAAATAGCTATCAAATAAATGAATTTCATGTCTAAGCCGTAAAATTGATGGATAAACTAATGGCTGACATATGTTATTAACAAGTTTTAACACTAAAATCTACTGATTTTTAATGATAACATTGCGCCACATTTTGCTTGAGATTCAAATTTTTTTAGAATTATTAGTAAACTATACATTAAATATATATTGTAATTGTGAATCAACAATAAATATATCATATGTAGTTAGCAATTACAATTTTAAAATATTATGTATAGTAATATAAATATTATAAAAATATTTTAAATATTATTATTATATACAAACCTTGTTAAATCTTATTTACTAATTACTAATACATGGAATAATATCAAAATATAAACATTTATATACTAAATAAAGTTTACATATTAAACATTTCAATATTACTGTAGATATCAATAATCAGACCTTTAATATAGAGAACAGTTGTTTGTATGTCAGACCCGAAAGCATTGCTTGCAATACACGAATAATTGCCGAAATCATTGTAATCGACATTATTTACAGTAAATATTGATAATTCTCTAAACATTTCAATTTTATATTTCATATCTCTATTTTTATTATCAAATTGTTGACCATTTTTAACCCATTTATATAATATGGGTTTAAATCCAGAAATTGTTTGACAGGTGAATCCATATGAAGAACCTTTCAATAACTCCAGTTTTGGTAAAAATGGTGCGATTTTAGGTATTTCTATATTAGATTATCATTCAATGATAAAATGGTTTAACAACAAGAAATTCATTTGGTATTTCAATATTACGTACCATTACTAGTGATTGTATCAAACTTATAGCAATAAAACATAAATACAAATATTATTTTGACAAAATTCATTATTATTGTTGATTAGTATTTAAAAACACAACATAAATGGCAATTTGTATCTGAAATAATATGATTACAAATCCACTGTTGAAGTATAATTTTGTGTAACTTTTTTGATACATAAGCGCCACATTTTGAATGAGATTTTGAATGCTTAGTATTTTGGCAAATAAATGATTTGAAATAATCATGAAATACACATGTGTGACTTTATAAATCATTAACTTTTAAATTTAATCTTTTAAAATATTTGAAATTCAGGTGATTTATAAACAAATTATTAGTACTACTAATATTTAAATGTTAATCTTTAAATACTATTAACAAATTAATCCTTTCAAAATATACACACTATATAGCCTATAAATTAAGTACATCATTTCATGAAACTTAAATATAAATAGTAAATGTTTTAATTATTACTCATTATTTGTATTACTAAAAATTTTGTAGTTATTTTTATCATCATAATATTGATTATTATATATTTAGTTGTACTCATTTAATTAAAAATTATAGAAAGTTTAATTTCAGTGTATAGTATATGTAGTTGTTGTTTATTATTAAATACTATTATAAATAATATTATTAAGTATTAATAAAATATATATTTTTACAATAAATCTTACGGATTGTCTTATAAGACTTTTATGGGTTATTATAAAATCAGCTTGGATATTTACTATAGATTGTATATAAAAATTAATAAATATTAAAGTTACATAAATCACTTATTGAATGGCAAACAATTTGTTTAAATATAGCGCTAAGTATTTGATACATTGACGTATATTTATTATATAATTCAATATACAGTAATAGGAGTTTAAGTAGGCGTGTCAACTGTAAGGCTTACAGTGCAATGTATGCAATTTGTATATATGTTTCATGTAATGAATATATTAACCAATAATTTTGTATAATAATATATTTTCATTTTATATTTTATATAATACAAATTAAATATATAAATAGAATAAATATTTTATTTTATTTCTATATTAATTTCAAATAATTATAAAAATAAAATCAAACCATTAATTGTTAGGACAGTCGACTGGCTGTCAAATGTATGTGAATTTCTCACAAAACATGTATAGTTTGTGGCATCACTTCTGGTGAGTTCATCGATTGAAAATGTCGTATATTTCTTAAAATTTTCAATTTTATAGTTAACACCAGTACTGGACTTAACTTTCTGGCCATTAATAGCCCACTCAAATAAATAAGGGGGTGTGCCCTCCTGTATTGAACATGTTATTAGAAAATATGAACCCTGTTTCTGATTAATTGGGAACAATGGCGCTAATTTGAGACCTAATTTATAATTATTATTAATAAGTATATTATTAATTTTTATAATATAAACATTACATTACCCAATGAATATTCAAATAAGACGAATAAATATAAATTATATAATAAACTCATCATAAATGTAAATAATTTACACAGTTTTCATAAGAAATATATTTTATACCAATTTTACTAAATGAAACAAAATATATGGCTGACAATCATTTGTATCAAAATTGTGGTTCAATTGCGCCACACATTGATTCAGAAATATAATGAATATCTCCTTTAATTCAAATGTATAGCAAATATACTGTATATACAGTGCAAACTTATTAGCAACAAAAAAATACTAATTATTTAAGTAATTTTAAATTTTCAGAAATTAAAATTAATATATTATATATACAACTATTATAATTCGAATATAATATTAAAATACTGTAATATTTAATTAAAACCTTTGATTAAAAGCTGAACCGTTTGTGTGTCACTTGAGATGGCATTCCTCACAACACACGTGTAATTACCGAAATCATGTCTTGTAATACTTTTTATGGTAAATGCGGAATACATTTCAAAATTATCGATCTTATAGTTAACATTTGGACCCAATTTGAGTGACTGTCCGTTAAGAAACCACTCAAAAAACAGTGGAAGTGAGCCCTCCTGTGCTGTACATGTAATTTGAAAGTATGAACCCTCGGTATGGGTTCTTAATGATTGCTGTGATGTTAGCTTTGGGACTAATTTAGTAGCAAATCATTAATAAAATTATTTGAAAAACAATATAATGAATACCTTTTAATGAATCAACTAATTTTATGACAGACAATAGCAATACATATTTAATAAAAATCATTTTTTTAAAACTTTATAAGAAATAAACAATGGCTGACATCAATGATAGTATTAATTGGATAAATGATATACGGATTGAATTGTCTACAATAGTGACACATATTGTTTGTCATTCATATTGTAAAAGTTTGGCGGTTTTTAATACATTCAAATATAAAGCAATTTTGTAATATAATTGATTACTTGAACTGTAAGGTTATTACCGTAAGACTAATATTTTAATGTTAACACTAATCCTAAAATTGATAATTGGTTTGTTTGAAAATATATGCAAAATTAGTTTTGAAACAATAATAGTTACCTCTAATTGATAGAGAAATAATGCGGGAATCGGTTCCGAAAGCATTGCTAACAACACAACTATAGTTCCCGATATCACTCATGGATATCGACTCAATAGTAAATGTTGAGTGCATTTTGAAATTATCGATCTTATAGTTGACATCCGGTCCCGGTTTAAGTGTCTGTCCATTTCTGGACCACTCAAAGAACACGGGTATTGATCCGCCTTCTAATGAACAGAGCTCTTGAAAATTAGAGGCAATCACTTGACTCTTATGATTAAAACCGGGATAACTCAGTTTTGGTGCTATTTTAGAAATAATTTAATAAATAATTTTGCATTTATTTTTTAAAATCAAAATAAAATTGTACCTGATGCATTGATTACATAAAATAAGTTAATCAACAGATAAAACAAACACTTATATATCATTTTGATTTCAATAGACTTTTGATATCAACAATAATATTGAATATCAAACAATGGCTGACATAGAGATCAGCATAACTGAAGAATTTACAAACAATTATTATAAAATATGTGTACAATAGTGACACACTTTGATTCAGATATCAGTTTTTAATATAATGTACAGTATTTGGCGCTTTCTGTAGTATTTAAATTAATAGATATAATAATTTAAATACAAATTGTAATGAAATTAACTATACGAAGTAGTCATTAAATAAACATAAAACTAATAAATATTAATTTTTTGTAATTATTAAAATGATTTTTACATTGCTTTTAAGTATTATTACAAATTTGATATAAATATATAAATTCTAATCAAACCTTTAATAGTAAGTGAAATCATTCGAGAATCGGATCCGAAAACATTGCTAACAATACAACTATAGTTCCCGATATCACTCATGGATACTGATTTAATGGTAAATGTAGAATGCATTTCAAAGTTATCGATTTTATAGTTGACATCCGGTCCCGGTTTAAGTGTCTGTCCATTTCTGGACCATTCAAAGAACACGGGTATAGATCCGCCTTCTAATGAACAGAGCTCTTGAAAATTAGAGGCAATCACTTGACTCTTATGATTCAAACCGGGATAACTCAGTTTTGGTGCTATTGTAATATAATATATAAAAACTTAAAATAAAGCATATATTATAAAGTATTATTGCTTTACCTGATGCAGAGCTATCATATGTTTGAAAATATAATATAAATATAATAAACTTAATTTTTTCAAACATTATAATGATTTATATAATGAAATAAAAAACTGAATTTCAGACA